CAGTTTAGAGCCAACTTCTTGGTACTTCCAATCCTTGCTTGACGTGCCACTTCATCAAATTTTTGCTTACTTTTAGGTGATGCTATCCAATAAGCAACACTCTCATGGATTTTTGCTACGGCTTATCCAATAACTGATAAACTATCCTAAACAATCAAATTTAGAATATGCGCACAAAAACGCATATGAAACATATCACCATGTAGCATAAGGGAGGAACGTGGAAGCTCTCCCAATAGATCCTGGACATCCGCATCATTAGTGGAGCAATTATCAACCGTCAATGTCAACAACTTAGTATCTATATTTCACTCATAAAAACAATCCATCAAAGCAGTTGTAAGCACATCTCTAGTTTGGAGACAACACTCATGTACAAACCTACAATATAAATAATACATAATTCAGTCATTAATATAAATGAAAAAAAAATCAATGAAGAATTAAGAATAATAAAACTTAAAAATACAATACCTTAGAAGTCGATTTTGTAACACTCAATTGTATTAATGAAGTGTGCTATGACTGTCATATATCATTTGTTTTGATTACTAGCAGTTCATAAATTAGAAGTTATAGCAATTCTACTCAAATTCTTGTTTAACAACTTCATTGTCTTCTCATTTTCAACCTCATAAATCTCCATAATATCCTTCCTAATACTTCTCCTAGAGACAACCTTGAACAATGGTTGTTAGTGCTACAAAATGTTCTAAACCCCGAATGGTCAACCATGCTAAGTGGATACTCATGTAGAATTATCACTCTCGCAAGCTCCTTTCTCCCCACGTCTTGATCAAATTGGTAATTTTCTAATGTCTTATTTGATCCCTCTTTCTGGACCCCCCCACCAGCATTTTCTGTGATACATCTTGGTACTTTCACTTGGGACAAATCTATGATGATCATGCAAATGTTTTGTCCCCTTTTTAGAACCACCTACAAGTTATTTACGACAATAGTTACACTCTACCTTGTCCTTGCCATCTACTTTCATGAAATTTAACCATACAACTGACTTAGTCTTTCCACTTCCGACAACAATTGGAGAAGGAGTATTTGAACGTATTGGTTCGATTACTTCAATACCTTCATCAACTAGGGATTGCAATTGGTCACTATCATCAGCTGGAGTTGGCATTTGGGAACTCGCAATCAATGTCTTTTTTGATGACTCGGAATTAGGATTGACCTCCTCATGTGGACTCTTTCTTTTGCTAGGTAAAGAGTATTGAATGGACATGGTAAAACCTAAAAGGAGTACAATATAAAACACCAATAAAAACATCAGGAATAAGCATGCTTAGACACCAAGTTTTATACAAACTACGCTGGACATAGTAGAAAGGGTAAAGATTACAATGAAATATGAAAAGCTAGGTTTGAAATGAATAATGCTAGATGGAAATGACACACCTATCTACCCTCATCCAAACTTTATCAAAACAAGCCCCACAAATTTGAACAATAGAAAACCTAAAAAGTATTCATTCTAAGCCTTAGATTCTTCCCTCTAATATCATATAGTTGCTAATAGCCAAATTAATGTTATTGTCCTGCAATTAATATTGTAAGGCATACTACAAACAATGTTGCTTTTGTAAATATAGATTGCTTGAAAAACAAAATTTTCTCATTATTAGCAAATCGCCTGCTGGTGGGGAATTTACTAGTTCTATTCCATGTTCAGCTCATCATCCTCGATGACTTCGGAGTAGGCAGATTGGTTTCAGTGGTGACAGAGAGGAAAATAAAAAATATGTTTCTATATATATATAACATGTTAATTAGTTAATATAGTATGTCATCTTTATATTATTTTATTATCTATGTTGTATCAGTTAAAAAAAAAAAATACAATGTATCATAATTCATAAGAGATATTATCTATAGACTATAGTTTAAATGAACCATTTGATTACATGAAACAAATTAATCAATTCCTATAGACTATAGTTTATCTACAATAATATTTATTCATGTTAATTAGTTAATATAGTATGTCATCTTTATATTATTTATTATCTATATTGTATTAGTTAAAAAAAATACAATCAATCATAATTCATAAGAGATATTTTCTATAGACTATAGTTTACATGAACCAAATTAATCACTTCCTATATATATATATATATATATATATATATATATATCTGTGTGTGTGTCATTTGTTGATGTATTTAATATTAATTAATCTCTTAAAAAAATAAAAAAATAAAAAATTTAATAAATTTGGACATTGGACAATTTAGAGTTTTGAACTTATAATTTCATACATTTAAGATTAAGAGTTTCAATTTCTATGTAACACTAAACTTTGTCTTATATTTAAGATTAAGAGTTTCAATTTTTATTAGATTATGTTAATAGTTTATATTTACTTTACCAATTATTAAATTAAAATGTATAGTGACATTATATTTTATTTACGTTTGAGGAAAAATTATAGCTTATATTTAATTTAATTGTCGAGGATTTTTTGGGGTTGGTTGGGTAATTGGTGGGGATTTTTCAAATAGATGGGTAATTTCCGAGGGCGTGTTCATGCAGGGTTGGGGCAGGGACCCGAGGGGACACACACATTCCCAACCACGACTCGCACCTGCTGACGAGGAATAAAATTCTACCCATGCTTGCCCCTATACTTGAAAAAATCAGGGAATCTCTGACCCGTTTGGGGTAGGGTGGGTAAAACACCTATCTCTAATAAAGATTGGGCTGTACGAGACATTTTGGTCATTGAGTAAATATTTGGATTGCCAAATTTTGTGAAACAACTTAGGGATGGTAATTTGGCTCATGGTTCGGGTTCAAAAAAGATCCGACCCTAATGAGATATGCAATCTATATATATTTTTTGAATATGATATTTATTTAAATATAATCTCTATCACTTCATTTGAATTAATTTAATCATAATTTATCAGGTGGAACCCAGATAAGACATATTACAAGCTGACCAATTGCAAAATATCACATAAAGATTATCAGAGAAAGTTTGTGAGAAGAGATTGTGGGTATAACATTTTCCTACAACTGTTATTATCATTAAATAAAGTTGTTGATTACTTTAACTTCACTTAAATAAACATCAGTTTATTATATTAATACTGGGTTAATCTCTTGAACCAATATTAGGAAACAACAGAAACATTCCAAATTTTTGGCCATCCCATTAAAATAATACTTGTCAACATAGCTTAGCAGCAAGATTTCATTGACTTATTATTAATCTTCTAGATCCATTAAGGGTCATTTATTTTATTTTTATTTTTATTATTATTTTTTTTTTTATCTTTGGAGGATGGATGATGGTTGTCACCATAGTGATCATTAGTGGCCTTTAATTATTTATTAACCAAGATAAGACTATGCTTACCTATATTAATTAATTGTAATTTATTATGATTTCACAAAGCCAAAAGAAAGAGATAAGCATGCCCCTTAGTTGGCACTTTTGTTATATAAGATTCTTTTATGTTATTTTCTTTTTCCCCCACCTTGACAATGAAATCTCATATTAATCAAAATTGATAACCCCAACTTTGGTATTGTTAAAAAGCACACATAATTTGGTGATGAAAGGGTAGATTTGGGATATTGGAATTGTTAACTCATTTAAGAATTAGAAAGTTTGTGGAGGTTGAAACTAATCATAGACAAAATTGGGCCACTTTTATTTATGATTATTATAATAAGGTAAAGACTAAAGGCCTAGGTAATTTTCTTGGGAAAATGTCACATTTTTAGGGAAAATCCATTAAGTGGATCAAATGTTGTTGTCTCAATCTTCTATGCTTTTTGAGAGGTGATAGGGGAAGTACTCATTTCATCTCTTCTTTAACTTGAGTGTTGCTTGCTCAATGCTTAATTTACATCCATTAAACCCTAATTTTTTTATTTTTTTTTTTAACTGAGGTTTTATATACACTTTTACTAATCTTCAAGAGAAGCTATCCTATAGTAACTTACCGTCGTGACGTTGTAAGTAAATCATGGGTAAATGTATTACCTTTGCACCCAACGGGGAATTGAATTGGGTTGAAGCCATACACAACCCTCTTGGGTGGGTTAAACCCTAAAATTGGCTCATTTTCAAGTTTCAACTTCAATTTTGGTTTATTTTTTTTTATTAGTTTCTCAATGAAATGACACTATACTTGCTAATTCATTTAAAAGCATTAAAATTTTCTATTTTTTTTTTTCTTGAAATTGTGGTAGATTTACTTGCCTTTTTAACCAGTAGATAGAATTATTATCAACAAATCACAAAATAATCTCACCTGTAAAATAAAATTATTAAATTAAATACATAATTATGTTACCTTATCGATCGAGTGACAGGTTTTATTTTAATTTTACTAGTTTTTAAAATTATAGTATTCGAATTTACTTTACGAGTGCGTGAATCACACTCATTTATATAGAAAGTCAGAAACCACAATGAGAATATCAAGAAAGTTTTAAAACTGAATTTGGAGTATTCATATTCACTTTACAGGCGTGTAAAACACACTTATAAACGTTAAAGAAATCATAAATAAATATTAAAAAAGTCTTAAGTGAAACGGACTAATCACGTCATCCGTATACCTCAAATGAAATCTTGTGTATACGGGCACAATACTCCACAATTACTATAAAAATATAGGATATAATATTGGGCTATAACAAAAACCAAACATATTCATAAATATATGATATTATGATCAACTCCCTCTCTGAAAATTCTTATAATATAATTCAAAGAATTTGCAAAAATCAATGAAAGTGGGTGTCACGCAATGCGAAGGTGCGCGTGGGGGATAAGCTCAGGTGAAAAATTGTATAGAGACGGCTGAGGAGAGAGTAGTTAGAAACTTATGTAAAGAGTGTAAGAATTTATTACAAAAATTTAAGATGCAGGAACCTCATAACAAGACAAAACTATAATACAGACAAAACCAACTCAACTCAAAACCAACTCAACTCAACTCATATAATCTGTTTTTAAATAATATAAATAAACTAAATAAAATTATGCAGAGGAGGTGGTCAAGAAGGTGGTGGTGGAGATATTGAGTTAATGGGCATGGTGGCGGGTTGAGAAAGTTTGTGTCTTTCTTAAGAGAGTGTGTTGTTGTTTTGAGGAAAAAAAGGTGAGTTTTTGAATGTAAAGTTGAAAGCTTTGAGGGAGAAAGTTGAGTCTTTGAAAGGTTAGAAAAATACCCCATCTGTTATTCATATTTGTCAATATTCTCTATTACTATCTGGTTTACCATTCTTTAAAAGGTACAGTCTTTTTCTTGGCTTTCTCTCTTCTGGGTTTGTTTGTTTCGTTGTTTGTTTTTAGATGATTTCCTTTCTTATATTCATGGTTGGGAATCTTTGGAGGTTAAGATAGAGCTGGTTTTGAGTGAGAGTTGTTGTTGTTCTTTGCATGTTTTGGTGATTTATGAGCTTTCTTGTTTTGTGTAAGAATCTATGTGGGATTTAGATTATTGGTTACTTCTATTTTGAGATTTTGCTTGTGGGTTTCTATTTGCATGTATGATTTGTATTCCTTTTTTGGTTCTTATTTTATGTGCTTTGTGCATTGAAATATAGGAAAATCCAAACATTTTTCAGTTTGTCTTATGGAGTATGAGATATATATGCTTGGTTTTGTTCAAAATTATTTAGTGTTTAGTTTAAATCTATCTGGTTAAGTTTATTTGATTCAGCTTGTTAGATTGTGTTTTCATGCATTGGCTAACTCTCTGCTCTTTGGATAGCCATGTTGAATTCGAAAAAATAAAAATAAAGAGTCTTTAAGGAATTAGCTTGTGTATTGATTCGGTATTAGAACTTTAATCAAGTGTGAGGAATTAGTCGGCCAGAAATTTTCTATTTTGCTTGTGTTGGTATTAAAATTCGGGGGTATAACTTGACCCTGTTTGCAAAAACTTATTCGACGCATATTACAGTAAATCTTGTTAACTGGTTTGGGTTCTGTGGAACAAAAACAAACACTGAACATAAGTTGACTAGAACCTTAAATTATGAACTGCAATCATTCTTCGATAGTATCGATGATAGAAATGTGCATGATTGATTTTCTTCGAAGACAATTACATCTTCTTCGGTGCATCCTTTAGATTTTGTTGAAACTATGTTGCCCAATTCAGGCTTTGGTGAAGTTTTCGTTTCAATTGCTTCCCCATCCACTCCTCTCTTTCTTTAATTGTATTTAAATTATTTATAAAGCTCTCTGGGTTTCCTTTTGTGTTATGCTAAAGTTGAGGTATACTTTAGTGGTATGTCATGTGATTGCTTAATTAACTTTCAATACAGTTTACTTTCTGTATGTGCTCCTTTACTGTTTATCATTCCTTAGTTCAAGGTTGCAAGTCTTTCCATGCTTATGAAAACGTTGAAAACTTTTGTTGCGGTTGCTTTCAAATTTAAATGTAATGTTTGTTGATTGGCAGGTTGGCGGAATACTAGCAAACAATTTGCTCTTTTACATTTGTGAAGATTGAATTGAAGTTTTCATTGCAGTCTGGACACTTAACTGATATTTTATGACAATGCAAAACTTCTGTAAGAAAAATTCTGGTGGAAATTCTACCCACTCAACATTGTTGTATGATGTGAGTTGCCCTTCATGGGGGAGTTCAACTGAGTCATGTGCTCAGCAGTCATCTATGTCGGAAAGCTTAAGCTTGAAGATGGGTGCTCCTCCTCAGCATTTTCTGAACTCTAAGCAGTTGAATTTTCACCTTCAGGACCAGGAGTCATCATCTACTCAATCGACTGGGCAGTCTTGCCCAAAAGAGGCTAGTATGGAACATAGCAATCCAAATGGGCCGGCAGCATCAGGTTAATATATGAACTCCCAGTGTTTCTTATTTTGGTGTTTTTCTCTTCTAATCTATTTATAAAAGATTTGCTCTTATCAAGTAGCTAAGATCTTTAATATATGCAACTGGGTTTACATATACGGTATTTGTATATGTTTTTTTGCTTTCAATGATGTTACTTAAAATGCTTACAAAAGAATAAGGAAAAGAGTTGAAACCTATATTTAGTAATGATTAGTAGGTAGTCCGGTATCTCTTCACTTGGCTCTACGTATTGATATATAATGCTATGCACAATCTTATGCCTATTTTTGGTCTATTTTGTGGCATAGCTAGATGTATGTCTAATTTAGCGGTTCTTGTTCTTGCTCAGGAATTAATGGAACTCATGGGAGACCTTTGGGAGCTAACACTAAATTTGCCACATCAATGGGACCTCAGGATTTTGTCTTCACTCCTTCACATGTTGATTATAACCATTCAGTTGTAAGTTAATGCTCATCTGTGATATGCTGGTTGTGTGAATGAAATGAATCTTATGCTTTGTGGTTCTTATTGCAGGCTCCTGTTCAACTCCATTATGCTGAACCATACTTCCATGGCTTAGTTGCTCCTTTTTATGGACCACAGGCTATGGTAAGCAACCTGAAGTTTCTGATGTCTTTCTCTTAATTCTGGTTCGGCCGCAGACATTTGAAATAGAGCTAAAATAGAAATTTTATTAACATATTTGCAGTCAGAACAGAAATTAAATTAAATTATATGCAATCAAAGGCCATTAGCTTACTAAGACCTTGCGTACACAAAGAAGTGAGAAGTCTTATTTGTTCCTTATTATAAAATAAATCAAGCCTTTTCCCAGAAGCCTATATGAAGATAAGAAAAAGACTTCGGGCCACATTTTATGCTCAGTGCACTTCAAAGTTCTTATGTGACTTCGGGAGAATATGGCCTTTAGATAGGGCAGACTGGACAGAAATGATTCAAGTAAATTAGTTTAGTATTGAGGGTCAGTTGGGTTGAGTTGTGACGAGAGCTCTCGTGATATTCTTTCTCTTCATCTGTTAACGTTGTTACTTTATTGCAATTCTTTGTTGTGTGGGAAGAGTATCTGCAACACCTTGTGATTCTTCAAAGTCTTAGACTCTAGACCATCTTTTTCACCAAGTAGCACCTTCCTTGGTGTCATGCTTAAGTCTTTAAATAATTGCATCAAATGTTTTGCCGACCCTTTGGATTCTTCAATGTCCAGAAAGGAGGATTGCTCTCTTTTATGATTTCTTAATCAATATATTTTACTTTGCATCTCACTTTGTCCTTATTCTCACCGCTTTCTAAATATCTTATTAATTCTTTTAAGTAGGTCAGTTTTCTCTTTCATTTTTGATATCATTAGGCTATTTCTTTAACAAAGTGCTATTGCTTTATGAAGTGTGAGCTTTCTGGAATCAATGCAAAATGATTGTAAACTAATTGAAATTGTTCTTGTCAAGCATTTTTAACTGCAGAATCCAACGATATCTAGATTTCTTTTTAAATACCATATGTGCTTTCAACCCTGTGGAGTAACGACCGTTGATTTCTGATATGGATTCTGATTTTCATGTCCTCGAATCAGTCTCTCTGTCACCTGCAAACTTATTTAAACCAGACCACTTTTAGCGTACAACTATACCACGATGTGTCTCCTCTGTTACCCATTTATGAGATACGTTTCTTTGAACTGTCAGCAGATTCATCCTCCTCAAATGATGGGAATGGCTTCAGCTCGAGTGCCACTGCCTTTGGATATTACAGAAGATGAGCCCATTTTTGTCAATGCTAAACAGTATCGAGCGATTCTCAGGCGGAGACAGTTTCGTGCCAAGCTTGAAGCCGAAAACAGACTCATCAAAGGCCGCAAGGTATGTGCCCTTTGGTTTTTCCATTCCCTTGTGCTCCTCAGTTGTGCACTATGATGGCATATTGGTGTCGTTATTTGACAATGTGAGATTTTTCTAAGAAGTGCTGTCATAAACCTTTGCAGCCGTATCTTCAAGAGTCTCGTCATAAGCATGCACTGAATAGAGCTAGAGGATCTGGAGGGCGTTTTCTGAACACGAAGAAGCTCCAAGAATCAAAGTCCACAAGTGAAGGTGTGCATATGTCAGGCTCTGGTGAGTTACTCTCAACTGGAAATTTCTCAGAATCCGAAGTTCATCGTGAAACCTGTAAAGAAGCTGCTTCCACCACATCCTGTTCCGACATGACGAGTGCCTCCAACAGTGAAGACAACTTCCAGCAGCCAGAATTCAGGTTCTCCAGCTACCCCTCGCACATTGGCAGAAACACTCTGCAAGGCTGCTCAGCTGATATCAGCGAAACCCGCCTACGCTGCCTCCTGTCTTCCGTTGACAGGTGAGGCGAGCACTACCCGTTTCAGCAGTTCGAATTCAGGAGAATGCAGCTGCTACTATTCCATTGGGAAGTCATCCTTGGCTCTTTTAGTTTACTCTCAATAGTGTTGGTGTTGCTTTGAGTTTCAGCTTTTGTCAAAAAAACCAAGGATAATGGAGTTTCATTTTGTTGTGGTTTAAGTTTGTTCTTGTATGCTTTTTGTGATAGCTTAATTATGAAAATCTTTACCCCTTTCGGAACTCAGTGACAGAATCAGGAATTTATGTTAATTACGTCCGATGAGGAATGGACTAATTTTATGTTGCATTAAACTATTCTCTCTCTATTTGGACATGTTATGATTTTGGGACATCTCATTAAAACTAGAAATTTATAATATTGATTCGATAATGTTATTTATCAACCAGCATCTTGTCGCTGTTGTTGGCAATGTTGTAAGACTCGGATCGGGCCTTGACCCAGTTAAGGGGGCGGTTTTTGGGTCGGTAGGTCCTATCTGTTGGATCGATCGGTCGGACTGGTGATATCTGCATGACATATTGTTATTTTGATTGGAATTTATTTTATTTATCATTTCATCTTTAGATTTGGATTTTTGATTTATTTTATTTATGTTATATTATTATTTGGATTTTGGATTTGGATGGAATTATTTTAGAAATTTATTAGAATTTTAAAATTTTGTTATGCCATGTTGATGTCATTGCTCCGTTCTCTGGCCTGACCATTGAATCAGTGATTCAACACTGTTTCATTGGTTTAATCCCAAGTCAATCCGATCTAATTGTTATAATTGGTTTAGGATGTATCCGCATTGAATAAAGGTTCGACTCTCGATCAGACCGGTTGAACCGATTGGTGTGGTTTGGGTTTTAAAAAAAATACTTATATAGAGGGCATTTGGATTATATAATGTTTTATTATAGGGGTATATTATATTAACGGAAAGAAAGAACACCTTGAAGATTGTTGAGAATGCTTTATTATAGGTATTTGTCTAAGCTTATAAGTTGGTCAACTTTAAAATTAAGCTGATTTGTTTGTTTATAACCTTTTTGAGCTTATAAGCAAAAAAAAAAAAAAAAAAAAAAAAAAAATTAAGGCACTCTGCTTATAAGTTAGTTTGACAAAGTATATTACCACGTTATCCTTGTTTAATTTTAAAATTCCATAGTATACATTTATTTAATATAGTACCCTTTTTAGTCATTTTATAATAAAATGTATTTATAAGCCACATTTTACCAAACACGTCAACTACTTATCAGTCACTTATAAGTACTTTAACCAAACACGTAATTGCTTAAAATTTCAAATGCTTATAAGCTAAAATTAGCTTATAAGCACTTGTTGCTTATAAGCTAATTTTCATAAGCTCAGACAAACACCCCATAAATTGGTGAATAATATGTTTGGTTAGGAGGATAAATGGGTGAGTATGTTATATAGATTACTAAATTGCTCTCCTTTTTAAATATTAATATAATAGTATTTTTTATTATTATTTTTGAATAATTTTTTTTAACCTCTTACATTTGAAATTTTGCTAAAACACCCCAGCTATATAAAATTTTAATTTATAGCAAAATCATCCCCACCCACCCCAAGCCATTGCCGACAGCTAGCCATCATTGCTAGCCACTGCCGGCAGTCGACGGAATGACGCATGATTGGTCGTATATGGCCGATCGTGCACCAGCAAAGTTGAAAATGGCCATGGATCACAAATCCATGGTTGGAAAACGGCCAGATCTATGGCCAGTTCACAGCCAAAGATGTGGCCATAAAATGACCATAGGTCTGGTCGTGAAATGACCATAGAAATGTTAGATCTGGTTGTTTCTGGCTATAAATCTGTGATCCATGGCTGGAAAAAGGCTTTACTGGTGCATGACCGGCCAAATCCTGCCGGTTGTGCACAATTACGGCGACTGACATCGACGGTCGGCAATGGTGAGTCACGATCGGCAGTGGTCTTGGGTGGTTGGGGGTGTTTTGTTAACTTTTAAACTTTTTTGTGGTTAGGGTGTTTTAGCTAATTTCTCAAATATAGAGAGACTAGGTAATTGTTATTTGATAGACATTCGAAGGCAATTGTGTCCGAAACGGTTTTTAATTAAGGGCAAAATGGGTAAAAAAAATCATATTACTCCGGTAATGTTTTAATAATACTCTTTAAAAAGATAATAAATTACCCCCCATATTACCAACAGTAAATACTATTTGTAATAAAAGATTATTGTAATATTTTATTACTTACAAATCAAACACTGAAATCTTGTAAAATAAACGAAGATTATCCTCGTTACTTTATATACCCCTAATCCAAATGCCCCATAACATAATAAACTTTTTATGACGGTTCTTAATTAAACTTAAAAAAAAGAAAAAATTAATACAAAACTGGAGTTTAAGTGAATTAAACCCTCATTAATTGTAATTCCTAATTAAATTCATTTTTATAAACTCATATCCTATAACATGCTCATTATCTATGCAGTATCATAGGGTGCGTTTGGCTCCCTATTTTTATCCATATTCTCAATCCTATTCTCTAAATAATGTTTGGCACACTATTCCAGAAATATTACCCTATTTTTTTAATTACTTTTAGATCCCATAAGATTATTAATTTCACTAAATGCCCCCTGAATTTTTTTTAAAAATTAACAAAAACCCCCCATCAACCCAACTTGTCAGATTCCGACAACCACCGCCGGTGATAGCCGGAATCTGTACAACGGCCTAAATTCCGACCATAAACTTCCAAAGGAATGGCTGTCGTTGACCGAAAACGACTTGGCCGTCGCTGACGGCCAAAAATGGCCATCGTTTTGGCCTTTCCAGCCGTCGACGGCCATAACAGGCTGTAGATCTGGCCTTTTCCGACCAGATCTGTGGTGGATCTGGCCGAAAAAGGCCATAATGATGCATTACGGCACAGATCCGATCAGTTTGTGCCGTAACAAAATTTTTCGGCCAGATTCGTTCGGTGGCGGCCGGAATCTGACACTGCAGGTGGTGGGGGTGTTTTTTTCATTTTATATAGTAGGGTCTTTAATTAAATTAGTAAACCTAAGGNGAGCTTATGAAAATTAGCTTATAAGTAACAAGTGCTTATAAGTTAAAATTAACTTATAAGCATTTGAAATTTTAAGCAATTACGTGTTTGATTAAAGTATTTATAAGTGACTGATAAGTAGTTGACATGTTTGGTAAAATATGGCTTATAAGTACATTTTATTATAAAATGACTAAAAAATGTACTACATTAAATAAGGGTATACTATGGAATTTTAAAATTAAACAAGGATAATATGGTAATATACTTGGTCAAACTAACTTATAAGCAGAGTGCTTATAAGCAAAAAATAAAAATAAAAAATAAGCTCAAATTATAAGTTTAAAAAAGTTATAAACAAACATGTCAGTTTAATTTTAGAGCTTATAAGCTAGTTTGATCAGCTTATAAGCTTAGACAAACACCCACACGTAATTCCTTAAAATTTCAAATGCTTATAAGCTAATAATTGCTTAAAATTTCAAATGCTGATAAGCTAAGCTAATTTTTATAAGCTTCGACAAAAACCCCATAAATTGGTGAATAATATGTTTGGTTGGAAGGATAAATGGGTGAGTATGTTATATAGATTACTAAATTGCCCTCCTTTTTAAATATTAAGTATTTTTTATTATTATTTTTGAATAATTTCTTTTAACTCTATACATTTGAAATTTTGCTAAAACACCACAGTTATATAAAACAATTTATAGCAAAATCACCCCCACCCCACCCCAAGCCATTGCCGGCAGCTAGCCTTCATTGCTAGCCACTGCCGGCAGTTAACGGAATGGCGCACGATTGGTCGTATATGGCCGATCGTGCACCGGTAAAGCTGGAAATGGCCATGGATCACAAATCCATGGTCGAAAAACGGCCAGATCTATGGCCAGTTCACAGTCAAAGATGTGGCCATGAAACAACTATAGATCTGGTCGTGAAATGGCCATAGAAACGCTAGATCTGGCTGTTTCCGGCTATGAATATGTGATCCATGGCTGGAAAAAGGCCTTATTGGTGCATGACCGGCCAAATCCTGCTGGTCGTGCATAATTACGGCAACTAACGCCGATGGTCGGTAGTGGTGAGTCACGGCCGGCAGTGGTCTTGGGTGGTTGAGAGTATTTTGTTAACTTTTAAAATTTTTTGTGGTTGAGGTGTTTTAGCTAATTTCTCAAATATAGGGAGGCTAGTTAATTGTTATTTGGTAGACATTTGAAGGTAATTGTGTCCGAAACGGTTTTTAATTAAGGATAAAATGGGTAGAAAAATTATATTATCCCGGTAATGTTTTAATAACACTCTTTAACAAGATAATAAATTACCCTCCATATTACCAGCAGTAAATACTATTTCTAATAAAAAATTACTGTAATATTTTATTACTTACAAATCAAGCACTGGAATCTTGTAAAATAAATGAAGATTATTCTCGTTATTTTATATACCCTCAATCCAAACGGTCCCATAACATAATAAACTTTTTACGATGGTTCTTAATTAAACTTGATACAAAACTGGAGTTTAAGTGAATTAAACCCTCATTAATTGTAATTCCTAATTAAATTCATTTTTATAAACTCATATCCTATAACATACTCATTATCTATGCAGTATCATAGAATTTTCGAAGGTCTACGTCAACAACTGCAAATTATTATCATGTAACGGACCGCAGCTGATCCTCTCCCCAAAGTCTAGATTTGGCCTTTTGGGTTTGGATTTTCGGACTCAAACCCTCCTCTCAAATACAGTTAACCCAAATCAATAACTCCAGATTCAAATCCGAAAAACTTTTCATTATTCCAAAAAAGACCCTGAAATAACTTTAAAATCCCTATATTAACCTTCTCCTCGTCACTGTCCTCACTATATATATATAATCTTTTTTTTGTTTTAACTCTCATTTTTGGATTCTTGAAAACAATTTAAAAATATATATATATAAAAAGATTAATCGAATATTGAGATATGGACGGCGGCGGAGCTGGTGGAGGCGGCGCCGGAGCTCAGTACAACCCGCGCACAGTGGAGGAAGTGTTTAGAGATTTTAAGGGACGGAGAGCTGGCATGATCAGGGCTCTTACTTCAGGTGTTTTTTCTGTTTGGTTCTCGAGAGAATAGAGAAGAAACTGAATGAAAACATGGGGTTTCCTGGGATTTTCAAAACTTTCAATGGGTTTGGGTTGGTTTTTTGTTTAGTAATGCGGTTTGTCTCTTTTTTTTTCTCTACAGTTCTCCCTTTTCTTTAAAAAAAAAAAAAAAAAAAAAATAACACAAGGTGAGAAATTTGTAGTAGGGTTTTGTGTGTTGAGAATTTTAGTGTTTTTATGTTATTTTTTTACGAGTTAAATCCTTTTTTTATTTTTTATAATTTTAACCTTTCTTTTTTACAGTGAAGGTTTTGTTTGTTATGGGAGAAAACATACGAGCAAGTGAGAGAACGGATTTGTAATATTGAGAATTTTTAACGTTTTTCTGTTATTTTCGGCTTAGAATATGGATGTTTGTTCCCCAAGAAAAAGTTTGAGAAAATGGAAGAAAGTTGTCTATTTTGGGAATTTAACTGTTTAACTGTTGTTCTTGGTTTTGTTATTATTATCTTTATGGGTTTTCCGTGTTTCATGCTTGTTTGTTTTCTGAGAAAATGTGAGGAACGTGGAAGAAAGCTTTGTCTGTTGACAATTATTCAGAATACTGTTTTTCTACTGTATTGGTTTAGTTATGCTCTTAGAAAATGCTACTTTTTTACCGTTCCCTGTTTTAGTTAAATGTGGTTGTTTCCAATTTTGTCTACTACAGGATTGTATGTTTGGTTCTTGAGAAAATGAGAACACATAGTCAAGAAACTATTGGAGTGCCATGTATTTTCGGCCGGGTTTGTGATGGAGCTGGAGAGAAGACAATTTTGAATTATTTATGCTTATGGTTTTCCCGCTGTTTTATATGAGAAGATAAATGGAGTTTATTGTTTTGTGATATCAATTTTTAATGTTTGCTTGACGAGAGACCAGAGAAAAGTGGGGGGAATATTTGTTATGTTTTCTTCTTTAAATTTTTTTGTTCTGTTGGGAAGTACTTTCCTTTTCAATAGATATGAATATTCAATGTGGTTGATGAGAAACTGTAATGAAAATGGAAATTGAAATGTGAATTAACTGCTTTCTTATAAATGATAATTGAGATGTGAAATCTTGCTTCTGTAATTGGCCTCTTGGAAATATGTCCATTTGAGATTTTAATGACATGTTTCGTTGGTTTTGCAGATGTTGAAGAGTTCTATCAGCAGTGTGATCCTGGTAAGGATTTACCTTTCTTGTGAAGTTTTTCATGTATCTTTATTTATTGATAAATGCTCAAGTAAATGCTTTATATGTTATTTAATTCTGTATAGTATTTCTGTGGAATATATATGCTGCTTTGTCATTGTTGGGTTGGTTGCTTTTCCATGCTTTTCATGCTCGTAGTTTTATGTTTCTTTGGGGCTATGGTTATTGGTCCAAATGCTTTCCTTGTCATTATCTTATTTATGTTTATGAGATTTATGCTTTGTGTATGATGTATCATTACTCTTGACTGTAATGAAGTTTGTGACAAAATGCTTGTACTGGACCAATTTCCAAGAAGTCTACTATTTCTTGATCTGGTTTGACTTTTGATCCAAAACATGATTACTGAAGAGTTTCGAATGCTTGAAGTGGTATATTCTTTCTCTTCCGCTTGGCGGTTTTGCTGTCTTTACCTATTTCTAAATTTTTTGTTATTGAAATGAAATTAGAATCTTGTCTCTTGATTTTTTGTTGTTTGTTGTGTTTTTTTTGTTTTCTTTGCTTGTTGAAGTTTTCCCTTTATAAGTAAATTTATGATCATTGTTCTTTTCAAAATCTTAGTTCATGATTAGGTTATGAAGCTATAATAGTAATGTTTATTAGTTTTCCAGGGGCAAGGTAGACCTTTTATAGCTGCCTGCCACTTCATAACCGTCCATTTTATGTTTTCATTAAAGTTTCCATCTTTCATAGGTTTTTTTTTGTTTGTTATACCGGGGGGTTGGAAATGTGTCGCAGCCTTCATCCAAATGTACAAGGAAACTGTTTATATCGAAAAAAAGGGTTGGAAACGTGTTGCAGCCTTCATCCAATTATGCAAGAAACTGTTTTTAGGAATGATAGGGGGCTCGTCGCTTGGCATAATGTAAAAATTCTTTAATTGACCTGTGCAAGCACTTGAATTTAAATCTTGGGAGCTGCCACTTGTTTAACATGCTAAAGTGTAGTTCTGTACCCAAAACTCCTGTGCCCGGCGTCTACTTCTGCAGGACAAGCATTGGTGATAAGCGTTTTATTTTAGGAATCACTGAATTTTAGTGAACCTTTTTTGAGACATACTCTGTACAATGAAGGTGGTGCGTAGCTTTCTCATTCTGTTGATATTTCAACGTGGCTGTGTAATCATGACACGTACTTAGTGTGTCCAGGCGTCCCATACAGTTGTGCAATAATTCATGTTTTCTATTTATGGTAGCTATAAGCATCAATTTAATGTAACGTAAATTTGCTTATGAATCATATATGATGGTTGGCATATTGTTCAAGTATGTCTCATTGTGTGGATGTTAGAACTGGACCACATCTTATTGTATCACTTTGGTCATATTATTGAAATTACTATTCAACTATAAGATCACATGCTTTTAAATTTATGAAGTTTAGTTACTTCTTCATGTTTTGGCTGGAAATTTTTGTTTGGGATGTTATTATGAGAGGTTTTACATTTATCAATTTATAGAGGTGAATACCATATTTATATGCATGTTTAGAAACTTTTGCTATTAACTATGACTAGAGCATGGCACATGTTTCATGTGTATGCTTTGGGATATGGTTTTGGGTGTACAATTTCCAGTATTTTTTTGTTTATCATTTGATGTGGTCATTGATTCTCATTTTTCTCGTATTCCATTCATAGCTGTATTATCTACTGTTATTTTCAACTCATGTTTATGATAATTATTTTCTACTTACAGAGAAGGAGAATCTCTGCTTGTATGGCTTCCCTAGTGAGCAATGGGAAGTCAATTTACCAGCTGAAGAAGTGCCTCCGGAGCTCCCAGAGCCTGCTTTGGGTATCAACTTTGCAAGAGATGGCATGCAAGAAAAGGACTGGTTGTCTTTAGTTGCTGTCCATAGTGATGCATGGCTGCTGGCTGTTGCATTTTATTTTGGTGCCAGATTTGGATTTGATAAGGCTGACAGGTATATATCAACTCATTTGAAATTTTTAGTTCTCCCTCCTTTGAGACAATGAAGTTGAGGTGTACTTTTTTAAATGTTTGTATAAAGTTGGGATTAATATTTGGCTTATAGAGTTAAATTTACCTGTGGTTGGTGCATACTTCTGTTGTGCTTTCAAAATTCTTGTTTGTCATTTTCATATATTTGGCAAAGTATTTTTAACTACATTGAAAATTTAAAATGATTCATTTCTACATTTACTTTAAGTCAAATGATCTTAATGATGTCTTGTTCCATTTATTTAAGCCGAAGAAATAATGTGATCTGACTTGAGCTTTAAATGTTTCGTAGGTTGGCCATTATTTTGGGCAGTGTTTGTTATGTTACTCATCAGATAGAATAATTGACTTTATTGATAATTGTCATTTGGCAAGCTATACTTTTTGACTAGTCAATCACTTGCTGCTGGTGTGAACTATTGGCTGTTGATTTGTTTTTAATGTCTTCTAGTTCTAGAAGGCTGTCTTATAATGTTTGCTATCAATGTTTATGATATGATTAAGTATTTTCCCTGATCTCGATCTTTAAATAAATAAGATCAAGCCTACAGTGCTGAGGTTACTCAAGGTCTGTCAATTCATATGCTTCTTGTTTTCTTCACTGCATGATGTTAACTTCTTACATTCAACATATCTTATTACCATCTGAGGTTTAAGGGTATTATACCTAATTCATAATCTTACGGAGATGAGGTCAATTTTTTAATTTGGTAAAGTTAATCTCAATCATGTGCTTTGTGAGGAACAACTTTTTCACTTTATCTTGGTCCCAGTTTCTTGCAAGGAACTGTCTGTCACCTGTAAGATTATATTTATTTCAAATATGTAAATAGTGATTGTTGCACTAATACATAAATTCTGATAGAGTTAATTTTTCAGTGCAACGCTATTTCACTTTGTTATATGTGATGCAGAAAACGACTTTTTAATATGATAAATGATCTTCCAACAATATTTGAAGTTGTAACTGGTGCTGCAAAGAAACAACAAGTAAAGGAGAAGACATCAGTCTCAAATCATAGTAGCAACAAGTCCAAGTCAAACTCCAAACCGGTAAATTACAACTTTCTGTATCTTATCTTTACATTTTGTAGAGCTGCCAGTTATGCTGGTATGATTTGATTTGTGGAAAGCAAAAAATTTAAGCTAAGGTAACATTTCGTTTTAGGTTACAAGTTCTACTGGTTATTTAGTTATAATGTAAAAGCATAAATCACTGAAGATGTTAGGTTTAATAAAATTTCCAACCAGTGTTAATTTATCAGCCTGGGTTTCACTGGCAAAATGAAATGTGTTCTCTGCCTGTAATCATGAGGGATGATGCCCCGGTGTGTTTTAAGTTCTAGATTACAAATTGAAGGAATTCTCATTAGTTGTTTGTGAACACATGGCATCATTGATGAGATGGGGTTTCTTTTATGCTAGCATGCTGTCTCTGCATTCTCTGGTTTTCAGAATAGGCTTAAAACATTTTTCAATTGGCTTTGCTCTTACTAATTGGTACATTTTTGCCTTTGTTTTCTGGGGTGACAAAAGCAACGAGGATCTGAATCTCAGGCAAAGTACTCGAAGCCATTGCAGCCGAAAGACGAAGACGAGGGCTTGGACGATGAAGATGAAGATGAGCATGGTGAAACTTTGTGTGGGGCATGTGGCGAGAACTATGCATCAGATGAATTCTGGATTTGCTGTGACATCTGCGAAAAATGGTTCCATGGGAAGTGTGTGAAGATCACCCCAGCGAGGGCTGAGCATATCAAGCAGTATAAGTGCCCTTCATGCAGCAACAAGAGAGCTCGCCCGTGATTTAGTTTTCTCTCTCTTTGTAGACTGCTAACTTGCCCCGTCCATCAGTTTCTCTGTTTACCAGTTCTATCAGTAGTTCAGCTTGTGAATGGTTATGGATACTTAAGTTTAGGAGATCTCAGTTTTCAAGATGATACTGTTTATCTTGTCCATTTGGTCGTATGTGATACATAATTGTAGTTTATCTTTCTTAATTCAGTAGGCAAATCCTGCTATCCAATTGTTAAACACTCAAATCTTCTCCCTTTTTGGTTGGTTTAGGACTCATTTCATGCTGTTGTATCGAATATTTCTCTATAAATCCAACTGCCCCTTCTGCTTTCAAGAATTTGTGCAGTATAAAATACAACTAGAAGTGACTCAGATTTTCTGTGTTGTTGGGTTACAGGACAGGACCATGGCACATTCTGCAACCACTGGAGTGTACAGAAAGGCAAATTAATTAATCAATTGGGCCAACTAAGGGACCCAATCATTGCCATCCATAGATCTTATCCAATACCAGCTACCATTCCCAGCCCTATTATAGAGAAAATACAGAAATCAGGGAAGAAATTGTTTCCCAGAAATGCTGTATTCGATCAGAAGAAGGCTTACAAACTCGCTTGGCCAGAAATCAGGTAACTTGTTTAGTTTGTATCTAGATGTCAATCTAACCGTCGATATAGATTCAATTATGAGACACACCATTTGCTGCATCAGTCTGGATGGAAGATAAGGGGCAATGTATTGTTTATTATCATAATGACAGTTTTATATTCTTACTTAAACTCATGGATATATATAAAATTGGGCATCATAAAAAGTTGTTAATGTGATGGCAACATAATAACTGAAAGATTAGCAATGAGTGATTTTTTTTAATCAGTTTAAGATTCTATAGTGAAAAGACATGAAATTAGATACAGAAGGTTAAACCATTGAGCTTGTAATTAATTAGTAGGACTGTAAACTGACGAATTGCAAACTACTAGGTCAGGATTGTAAGAGAAAATGTGTGAAAAAAGATTGTTGGTGTAGTATTATTTTAAGCCGTTAACCTAATTTTATATATAAAAGATTCTACCAAAGCCACATCCATCTCAGAAACTCATAGATCCACCATTTATTTCTGAAGTTATCCACAACAGAACACAACCCCACCACCAGCATTACCTAAACTTTAGCCAATTATAGAAAGAACAAGATGCCAAAGATAATGCTACACAAGAGTTTGATTTAAGGGCTCAGATTTAGTTATCAAATCAAATAATGCTTGCAGAAAAGACTTAGATAAAATCTAAAGTGGAGGCTGCTACTCCACTTGCAATGGAAGGAATCTCAACATCACTAAAATAATTGAACATGGGAAGATGGTTGAAATGAGACTCATAAAGTTTTAAGTTCATAAGTGAAGATCCAAAGTTTGGATCACAAAATTTGAAGACTGAGGAAGAGAAAAAGAGATTTATATTTATATGCAAGAGAGGTGACATCAATTACATTGATTAACCCAGGAGGCAGGCTATGGCTAACAAAGAGAAAGTAAGTAGGCAAAAAGAATATAGACAAGTAGAGTGAAATTTAACAAGATAAGAGATAATTCCCCATTATTAAAGAAATTCACAGGCAGTGAACATTGCCATTGCAGGGATTTACATTGAAGCAGAAGGCTCCAATCTTGTATACCAAGTCATTCATCGTGTAACAACCCTCCATTTCTCAACTCCCCTTCAGGTTAAAACCTCTTGACTTTTAGTCGAGAGGCGTTTCAGAAACTCATAAGTAGTGATCATAGTTGTTGCAGAAATAGACATTGATGCCCACCTTGGCCCCAACCCTCTATAACAGGCCGTCCAACCACCTTCCTTGACCAAATTCCGAACAGTCTGCCCAACAGTCGGTCCAAGCCTACCATTCGCTTCCCCTTCCAAAACCTGCAACCTAGTCTTAATTGTATCAAGTGGCATTGTAATTAAAGCCGATACACCACCTGCCATAGCTGCACTCACTCCCTGAACTGCCATTACCATTTTTGAATCCGGCCTAATCATATTCATACTCCCCTCACCATCATCCCCACCACCAACACCATATCCACCTTTCCCCGAAAAATGCCACCCAATTCCTCCCCAAACCACCCTTTGAGCCACAGAATATGATGCCCACCACACTGCATTTGATGGTGCATATGTCAAGATTGATATCCCAAATCCTCTATACAATCCTCTTGCTCCATCAGTCCTAACAATCTTCCTACACGCGTCGATCCCATTTACATATCTACAATCTTTTCCATTAGCAACCATTAGCCTTTGACTCACAACATCAATTGGAGTCCAAACAAGTTGAGCAGCCATGGCTGCACTCAACCCTGCAGCGGCATTTGCAATTGCAGCTGCAGTCCCTTCATTAAGCCCTAATCTAACAGTAAAGCTCCCCACTTTACTCTTTGTAACCTCTAAAGCCCCCATGTAAAGCGCCCTCGCAGGGATTGTACCCATCAACGAAGTCCCGAATCCTCTATACAAAGCCCTAAAACCCTCATTTCTAACCACAAAAGTTGCAGTTTTTACACATGAAACTTGACACTGACCCACTTGCTGTCTTGTCTTTAACACAACTACAGGATAAAGGGCTGCTGAAACTCCAGAAAATAGCGCCGCCCCATGTAAGAAAAACTTCCATTTATCTAACATATGCCAATCTATATCGCTTGGTACATCAATTTCTTGACCTGATACCGAAACCGAAACCGATTCTTCATCTTCCGCCGCTCTTAAATTCATCTTTCCAACACCAAAAACAAAAAAATCTCAAAATATTTACAATAAACAGTAATTACAACACAAATTTGCTTTGTTTTACTCTGTTTTTGTTTCCTTTTTGTTCTGTTTCTGGACTTCAAATCAAGAAACCAAGGGAGAACCAGATCAACGCATGGATCATACCACGCAAGGTAGCCACCGGCGACCGCATAAATCGCCGGAGAGTTCTGATCTCACCGGAATAAAGAGACCGAAATGCAACACAAAATGAAAAGAAAGTTTACACACTGCAAAAGGAAAAGAGATATGTGAGGGTGACCGGAATAAAAGGTGATTTTAGATTAGAATGACTTCAGGGAAACCGACACGTGGCAATTTCGGGTTAGGAGGTTTCGTTTTAATATTAGGTTGTCAGGTGGCTTATCTGAGAAATTGTATTTATAAAGTATGGGTGGGGAGGAAATTGGAGAAGAATCAGCCGTTGATTGTTTTTGGGAAGTGATGATCTGGCGGTTGTCATTTGTTCAAGGTGGTGATACAAAAGATTCTGACCTTTTTGTCTGAGAAAAAGTTGGACCCTAGTGGACGTACGTAAGCTGACGTGTAAAGTCTATCCATTATGAAGTTAGGTTCCGGTGTGGACGGGTGTATAGTCAAAAGGGTGCATTTCTACATCGGTAAACATTAAGAATTACTCGATCTATATTCAATGTTACCTCTGCAGTCTTAATAAAACAGTCAATAATACGTTTATGGTACGTTTGGTTAAGAGGATATTTTATTACTAAAAAGATAAGGTTATCATCAAAATAGATTAATTTAAAGATTACGAGAGAATGTTATATAAATGTTTCGAAATTGAACTGACCTCTCTCTTGAATGAGATCCGTTGCCATCGTCTCTTTCTCCAGTGCCAAGTTATGTGGCATGGATTTGACGATTGACGAATCGGATCTTTACAGTCTTAAAAATAATACATGTTCTGAGTCAAAGAGTCAAAATTTTAGGTAAAAATATAAAAATGTTACATGTTAAACTCTTATTAGTTTTACTTCGATCGGTGGATAATTCTACTATATACTTTTTGATATAAAAATAATATGAGAAATTAAAAATAAGAGTTAAGACGCTCAAAGTTTGAAGATGTTAAAATAAATAATTTGTCGTTGATTATACCACAAACAAAATATAATAACCAAAGATATGGTAAATGTCCTAACTATGGTCTGATGTCAACAATACCAAGTTATATATCTGAACCTTCTTGTTAACCAAGGTGTCCGAGCCAACTTATACGCAACTCGACTAATCTTCAGGAGAGACTAGTGCAATAACCACCACCACAACCCCCCTTAAATTACGAATGTTCAAACCGGCTGGGAATCGAACCTGAGACCGTGCTATATGTGTGAACTCTTTAAAAATATATATAATGTCTATGGTTGAACACATTTATATCCGTTCTACATAAACTTTTCTCTGTGTCCATTCAAATAACACATATTAATTGATCGAATGTATATGTGTTCGTTTTCACAAATAAGTTCAATCTAGCTATAATCTCCCTAAACACTCACCATAAGAGGCTGATCAGGCTGTTTTTTGTTCTTACAACAGCAACATTCAGCCACATAAATCACTCCCATGAACAACTTCACCACCACCCACCGGCAAAATCTAATTATATGTATAAAAATTATGGCCACAAACAACACAAGCCAAAACCATGGGTACCATTGATCAATAACATCAAATATTTCATCATGTGGCATCACCAAGCGTATTGGCCAATAGTATGCAGCTGCCACAAACAGCAACGTAGCCCACATTCCAAGGAGCAAAATCCCCACAGAAACTCTATTCCTGAGAGGAACTCCACTAATGAGCCACAAGATGATGCTGAGTGAAACTGAGAATGAGAATGTGCTGGAGATTATTAACCCGTCATAATCAGTTTCATGAGTGTATGCATGAATTGAAGTTCCAGCTCTGCATATTACTCCCTTTGGGCAGGTTTGATCTTTCTGATTGGTGGTGTCGGCTTGCCAGTAGCCACCTGGTGGGTTTGTTGCAATTTGGAAACTTATGGTGGCAATCAAAGTGGCCACCACCATCAAGTTGCCTCTTGTGGTTTCATGGTGGTCGCTCTTGTACTTCATGAACTTTCTCCATTTAAGGAATGATGTTATTGGTTTTGGTTTTGGGGGTGATTGAGTGGTTTGAGCTTTGGTAATTGTCTCAGTGATGGGATTCTTCTGTAAATTGCTTTCAGTTGTGCCATTTCTGCAGCTTCCATCAAAAGCTGCAAAGCCATTTTTGATCAAGGAGTTCGCATCCACTCTTATTTTTGGCAGTGAAAGCAAGTACCTAGTGGTCTGCATAAGGCATAAAATCATGCATAGCTTTAGGATTGTTCATGATCTTACTACTATTAATATAACATTAATATAAGATGCCGTATAAAGTTTGAAGATTCGAGTTGAGGGGGACATGTTTTGGGTCCTGTTATTTGAGGTGGGTAAGAGACAAATCTAAACCCCATCAAATGAGGTGAATAGTTCAATACATGATGATGGTAACACTTTGAGTTTGACACTAAGCAAGATTGACAAAGAATACTGCAAGATTCAACTAAATTGAAATAATACTATAATAGAATGAGCAAACTAATAATTTACTATATAAGTAGTAGGGGTGAGCATAATTTTAGGGTAGAACTGTAACTGATGGGTACCCGGGCTTCTGATTCTGGTTCCTACTCAAAGTTCTAGTTCTTAAAAATTAGAATCGATACTGTAGAGTTTTAGTTCTGGTTCCCCCATTGTAGGACCCAAAATCAAAACCAGAATTGAGATATGGGCACCCGGATAGGAACCTGGACTAAAATATAATTTTTGTAAACTATTGGGGGTGTATTTGTAATTTTTAGAGGGTTTATTTATAATTTTTTAAAAAGTAAGTGGGTAATTAAATTATCCTGGGTTCTCGGAATTGGAACCAAAACTTATGTTTTAGGTTTCAGTTCTTAGCTTCTGGGAACCAGAACTAGCTGGTTTTGATTCTAGTTCTAAATCCAAGGAATCAGCCCATTCTTGTTCTTTTGAATTTGGGTGAGTACCTGGACCCGCTCATCCCGAATAAGTAGTTTTATACAGCTAGTAGATAATGAAGTCAGTGATATCCACTAGTGACAGTGCCTGCCTGCTCTTTGAGTGTGCAATGTGACAATTCTCCTTGAATTCAAGCAAATTAAGCAAGAGATAGAAAGGCTTGTACCTCATATTGCTCCAATATAGAAGATACTTGCAAGATAGTGTTGCCTTCAAGGTTTTGGGAGTTGAGAAACTCCTCATCTTCAACTGATGCCACCAATACTTTCAGCGCACCCAAATGATTATACCTAACACACAAATGTAAAACTGTTTCTCCATGGATTTGCACAAGAATTGACTCAGGTTTTGCACTTATAAGCTCTTGTATCACCTCAACTCTCCCTCTCATTGCAGCCAAATGGAGAGGAATTCTCCCCTCTTGGTCAGCAACCAAACCCACCTCCTTATTTGCTAGTAACAACTCTTTGACAATCTCCCTGTGGCCCTCAGCAGCAGCCAAGTGAAGAGGTGAGCGTTTGAAAGAGTCCAACTCTGTGACAAGTTGAGGCTTTTGGCTCACAATAGCCTTGGTGAACTCAACATGACCAAGCAAAGCTGAGATGTGTAAGGGAGTTTCAGTGAAGGCAGAGAGTGAAATTTTATGAAGAATGAATGGATCCTTCTGAATCAGTGTGTTCAAAGTGGCTACACTTCCTCTCATGCTTGCTTCATACAGCATTTGGGTGTCATTTTGAGCTGCTGCTTCCTGAGCTTTAATCTCCATTTCTGTCTTCCCTTTGTTTTGCATTTTCTCTACTTCTCCCCTCTTTGACTTCCTTTAACCTCCAACAACTCTAATTAGATAAAGAAAGAATATGAGTCTGAATGCACTCTCATAGTGGAGATTCCAATTTCAGAAAAAGTTGACTGATTGCTACTATTGACAATTCACACACATTTGGAAACTCCACCATAGATGAATGACACTTCAAATTGTCTAGTTCACATAAAAAAAAAAAAGAAAATTCTCGTCGATATATATAGAATTACTTAATCTAAAAAATTTAAATTATTAGGTAAGATCTATCATCTTTTAAATATAAACTCATTCGTGGATAGTTCAGATAGTTAGGGTAAATTGAAGATAATGAGAATAAGTGCACGGTTTTAGGTTTGATTCTCCATTTAAGCATCCACGATTTAAGTGGAGGACCGTGACGCTAGGTTACTGTGCGAGTCTCTTCCGAGAATTAGTCGAGGTTTGCTGCATACTTGATCTTAATTTTTACATGAATGTGAATGGAGTGACTGATTTATTCGAAATATTGACGATAAGTTTATCAACTCCAAAGGCCCTATCAACGAGACAATCTTGCTTACACCTGCCAGGCTAAAACAACTTGAGGTATGATATCAGCTGCTTTAATTGATTAATTAAAATAAATTATATTTTATCACATGATCCATCCATTTAGTATGATAGTCTCATTATTTATTGTAATTTTTTTTTACGTATTTTTGTTTTCACTTTTTTTTTTTAATGTATATTGTAAAGTACTACAGGATGTCTAATAATTATTAATTTGCTCTCTTGTTTGGAATCTTTGAATAATGATCAATACGAAAAACTAAGAGGCAGTTTGATCGTGGTGGCCTCTCCGATTGCGCAAATGAGTTTCCAGGTTGCAACAAATCCTTCAGGCGGGTTCTGGCAGGTTGACACCAAAAGGTTTGATGAAGGTTGCCCTGGGGGCCCGGAACATGCAAAGCTGGAACTCCAGTATTAGCATATACTAGTAAAGTAATTAACACATATTTACAGCCTGCAGCACCCTTTCTTTTGTGGCATCACTCAGCGTAATCCTTTTGCTTATTAGTCAAGTTCCTCTCCAAAATAAGGTTGTTTAGTTGGGATTTTGATAATTGGGGATGTGGACTTCAATCGTATTGATAGCGGCTACCTACATTTTCTCAATTCGCATGGTTCAGGTGCACAATGGTGAAATATTTTCTGATTTTGTTCGCATATGCTCCCATAGTTCAGTTGCGCACCTTCAAGAAATATGGTTGGCTTTGATAAACTCTTGTATCACCTCATTGCAGTCAAATGCAGAGGGACTATTCTACCATTGTTAGAGTTATGAAAATGACTATTCTGATGATAAAAAAACCTTTTGTGTAATTAAATTGAAGTTATATTGAGACTATTAAACAATCTATGAATTTATTCACGAAAAATCACATCCTAATGTTTTCTTATGAATTTAGCATATTTGGAATGAATTTGGAAATGGTGTGAGTTGATATTAGGTTGCGGTTTATGGATTAGAGGTGATTTTGTCTCATTTATGCTGTTCAGGGGGTAAAATGTTATGTTTTCAAGGGGTTAATTTTGTCACTTTTCAATCATGTAGGGACCAAATGGAAATTTGCCATATTTTGCATAAAAGAAAAGCCAAAGATCATAGATTGGTGGCTTCCGCCCACGGAAACCCTTCACTTTCTTTGATCAAGCTTCGGTGAGCATCTCTGGCAACTCTCCAACTTCCCCTTGCACCGATCTCCACCATCTATCACCCCCTGCTGCCGCACGACGCTTCATCTCCCCTTACCAGCGACGTTTCAGCTTCCGGTGGCTTTTCTCCCATTTTCTGGCGGCCTCGCACTTCCCTGGTGGTCGATCTACCCTCCCCACACTCAGATCCACCTTCCACCAAGTTTCGCTGAAATATCGCCGTCGCAGTGTCTTTCAAATTCCATGCCAGTTTTCATGCACTCTTTGGTGACTTTTCACGTTCCAATTAGCTGATCTATCATCCCCATCACATGATCTATCTTCTAGTACCTTCAGATCCCATTTCCGCCACCACTCGTCAAAAAACTAACGTATTCCAATGAGTTACGATTGTTCATATTTCGAGTTGTCCGTTGGTCATTTCCGCTCATTCTTCACATCATCTTGTTGTCAGTTACTTCCTCTTTGCCAAGACCAACCCCATTTTTGACTTTTCAACCTTCGTCGACACCACCATGAGCGACTGAGCTCTCAGTTGCTTGTTACAGTGTAGGCGAGATCAAGATCGACACTCATGGATCTTCTCTGCAGTTCTCTACTAGTTGGATGAGCTTGAATGTTGGACATTTGGTTAAATTTCTTGTATTCAGATTATATTTGTTTTCGTTTCAGTTTGTTTGCGATGCTTTAATATTATTTTGATGCTCGACGTGCTGAATTGACAATGTTCATTGAGAATGTTTGTTGATATACAACTTTTTGCATAATTAAACGTCAGTTTGAGATTATTGAATGTTGATTATGGCTTTAAATTGCTTCGGTACTGATTGCAATCAAGTTGTATTAGCGTTTAATATCATTTCTACAGAATGCATTTGTTGTGTAATTGGTTGATTGGATGATATAAGTTGATAGGTTGTACTTGTTAGCGTTGTACCAATTAGTAGTGTTTAAGGGTTTAGTGTTTTTCGGTTAGTTGATGATAATCTTTAACCAATTGATCTATAACTAAGACGACGGGGAGACAAGATAGATTATACCTCGATTACCGAGAGATGTTTTTATTGATTTGCCTAGCCTTGTAGGTTTAGGAAATCGTAGAGTGTGGAGGAGAATTGAGAGAGTTGGTCTCGAGTCAAACCAAAACCGCAGCGGCAATGTTTTTATTATAAAGTCTTAACTAGTTTTAATTTCAAGCTTTTATTATTTGCATTTAGTTTGTTTAGTTTAATAAATCAATTTGCCAATTTCCCTTTCGTTAACTTTAATATACATTAGGTCGTTAGTCTTTGCTCCCCGTGGATTCGACTCTTCTTATCGCTAACTACGGTACTTAGGTTTAATTTTATGGCTGTGACGACCGGTTCGACAACCATCATGATTAGAAACCATCAGACAAAACACCATCATGTGCTATAATTTGAGCCTATGATTAAAGCAGTCTGACTTTTTGGCAAGTTCTGGTTATCCATTCCCAAAAGAGCCTTGCTAGAATCCTCATAACCATAGAAATCGGAGATGTGCCGATCTTCTTAATTTTATCAGTCTAATCAAGGTATCTGTCAGAAGCTAATCAGAGAGAGGCAAGAGTAGTAATTAATTTGCCAAGAGAATGCAGAGAAGAAGAGAAGAGGAATTACAATTATAATCCGTATGTATTTCATTGTGTTTGTATGATTATACAGAGTCTTATTTATACAAAGTTTAAGAGTATAAACCAGGTAATGCAATATTGCACCTTAGTGGTGAGATTACATGTAATCAGCCTATTAATGGATAATGATTCAGGATATCAAGCCGTAGTCCCAACTTGCCATTTTGTACATTCGCAATATTTGCTTTCCAAATTACATCACCCCCCATAAAGCTGGTGGCTTGTATATGTCGAAAACATCGAGCTTGCCAAGCAAATACAAATGCTGTTGACTACATAATGGTTTTGTAAAGATATTCGTTGGTTTTTCTGAGGTGCGACTATGCATGGTCTTGATTACCCCTTCCTGAATTTTATCTCTGACGAAGTGACAGTAAATTTCAAACTGCTTTGTCCTTTCATGGAAAACAAGATTTGCTGAAATGTCGTTTGTGGCTTTATTGTCATAGTACAAGACAATTGGTTTTTCCATTTCAGCTCCTAAATCCTTTAATAACTTGAGAATCCAGATGATTTCACACATGGCTTTGCCATAGCTTTATATTTTGCTTCTATGGAGGAAAGGGATACTGTTGACTGTTTTTTCGTTTTTCAATAGATAAGAGATCCACCAAGCTTTATACAAAAACCAGTAAGAGATTTTCTCGTCATTGGACATGTAGCCCAATCGAAGTCACAATATGCTGCAATATTCAGATTTCCATTCCGAGGTAAAAGAAGTCCTAAGTTGGGGCACCCTTTTAAATATTTAAGTACCTTTGTTGTAGCATCCATATGGGATTGCTTCGGTCCATGCATAAATTGACTAAAGATGTGGACATCATAACTGATGTTTGGACACGTCATGGTGAGATAGATTAATCGTCCCACAAGTCTTTGATAAATTGAGGGATCTTTTAGTGGTGGATCATTGTCTGAGGCTAAAGTTGCATTGTCATATTTCTTTGTGGTGAGCTTGGTATTCTGTTCAATGGGTATGGCACTTGGTTTGCATGTAGATAATCTTGAGTTCGATACAAGCTCAAGTATGTATTTTCATTGACTAAGGGATATCCCTACTACAGATCTTGCAATCTCAATTCACAAGAAATACTTTGGCTCCCCCAAATCTTTTATGCTGAAATGTCTATGTAAATTCTCTTTTAGAGCCTTGATTACCACATCATCATTTCCTGTGATTAGGATGTCATCCACATAGATAATAAGGGCGATAAATGAGTTACCTCTTTTCCAAGAGAATAGTGCATAGTCATGTTTGGATTGAATGAACCCTCTGCCAATAAGAGCTTCTGTGAATTTTGCGTTCCATTGTTGAGATGCTTGTTTCAGACCATAGAGGGACTTTTGCAGACGACATATAGTATTTTCCCCCTATCGGCAAAGTCCCGAAGGTAGATCCATATAAATCTCTTCATGTAAATGACCATGAAGAAAGGCATTGTGGACATCCATTTGGTGGAGAGACCAATCTCGAATAGTAGCAACGGAAAGGAAGGACCGAACGGGTGTGTTGCATTTTACCCAATGTTTGTGCATTTGTGGATCTTCTGAGGGCAAGAGGGTTCCATCTATGAATCCTTCTTTATCCTTTGCGATTAGGGCTCACCCAGGTTGCATAGTTGCTTGATCCAGTGAGAGGCTGCTTCATAAGCACAAGCTCGGAGCCATCAGTTGCCGGAGAATAGAGAGGATCACCTAGTTCTGGGTGTTTGACAGAGGGTGATACAAGTTGGAAAAGTGGGTAAGGGTTTGGACTTGTTGGGTTGGTATTCAGACCCGACAAGTCTGGGTTTTGAGGGTTGGTTTGGGTGAGGCCATCTGAATTGGCTGTGGATTTTGTGTGGTTACTTGTTTGGTTGTGATCTAAAGCTGTCGGCAGTTTGGTAGTATCCATAGTAGATGAAGGTAAAGGTTGTTTTGTGTTATGAGATTAATACTATCTTTGAGTGCCTTGTTTTGCAGATTGACAAAACGAGACTAGAGAGGTTTGTTTTGGGTGGAAGCAAAGCTAGGCTGAAAGCTCTGATACCTTGATAGAATTTGAGGTGGGCCTAACTCGTCACCCAATAAAGCCTTATTGAATGGGATGATTACCCCCTCTTATAAATTAGTAGGCTTGAGCGTACCTAATCGGTGTGAGACTCCAATACTCCCCCTCACGGTCAAGCCCATATGTTGGGTTATGCCTGTTGATAAAGGTCGTTGCTAGCTCAAACTCCTCACCCATGGGTCAAACACTCAGCTCAACTGAACCTGGGCTCTGATACTATGTTAGAAGCTAATCAGAGAGAGGTAAGAGCTGCAATTAATTTGCCAAGAGAATGCCGAGAAGAAGAGATGAGGAATTACAATTGTAATCCGTATGTATTTCATTGTGTTTGTATGATTATACAGTCCTATTTATACAAAGTTTTAGAGTATAAACTAGGTAATACAATATTGCACCTTAATGGTGAGATTACATGTAATCAACCTATTAATGGAGAATGATTTAGGATATCAAGCCTTAATCGCAGCTTGCCATTTTGTACATTTGTAATATTTGCTTTCCAAATTACATCGGTATCTTCACACCCCACCACCAGGCATGCTTCAAAGTGCTAAATTATCAACTCTTTTATTCATCTTTCTGATTTTGCAACGCCCAAAATGGAGCTCTGAAGAACACAACTAGTAATCGGGTAATGGTAATATTATGAAAAAAGGTTATCTTCACGGTTGACAAAAGTTAGTTACCAATACTGTCACTCACACCGGTATTCTATTACTATAAATAAACAGACGTCATCGTAACTGTTAATAAACAGACCAAAATTTTGCTGTTTACTAACGACGTTAGTTTTACTTTAATTAATGGACAGGTTTTTACCGTTAACTATCTGGCGTTAAGGACGTTGTAGTTAAGTTACGGATGTCTCACTTCCCCGTTAGTTAACCGACATAATTTTAACCGTTATTACACAGACGTTTGTTTGACCGTTAAAACAGCTGTTAATCTCACAATTAACAAAAGACGTTACCGTTACTGTTGTGAAGATCAAATTTTCCCTGTCAATCCTTGCGGATAATCTCAAAATGGCACATCAACCGTACGATCCTTGCTACACGCCCTCTCTTCATCATCACCATCAGCCTCAGCCTCTGGGGTGGCGGTCCTTAGCATCATAATCATCAACAACCGTTCTCCGGGAAGTTCTTCATATGTTTTGGAAGAACATGCACGATGTCGTTTTGGCATTTGGATCGGCTTGCATAAGCTTTGCTGGCCTGTCTTACAGTAACGCAGGTAAGACGCTAACAACTCAGAGAGAGTAAGGAATAATAGGTCCAGTTATTGCCTTAACTCAGACTATAATTTCCAAGAAGTTGCTCATTCAAATTCGGCATTATTTAAGTAACTTGTTTCTGGGAAGTTTTAGGCATCTAGCGTCTGCAGTTACATAGATTCCTTATTTAATTTGGTATAATTCAATGGTCAATGAAGTTATGGTATGAATGGTCAACGAAGTTATGGTATCAAATATCAATGGTCAATGAAGTTACACAGACAAAAGGGTAAAGTTCTTGGAAATTATAATTGAGGAGAAGTCAATAACCTGTCAGATCAAACCTGAAATCTTTGAACTTGACTGAATGTTTTGGAGGCAACTGCACGATGTCGTTTGGCATTTGAATATCGGCCTGCATAAACTTTGTAACTCCTGTTTTACACTAACAACTGCAGAGAGAGGAGATTTGAATATACTTCTGAATTTGATGAACTTCTGCTTGATGATTTAATCATTGATCAAAAGTTGATAGCTTGCATGCATCTTCAGTTGAAAAGTCTGATCCTTCAGGATTTGACTTCACTAGAATATTTGGAAAGTCTTATTTTTCTGCAGGAATTAGTATGCTTGTTTTATCTAAGACCTGGTTTTGTATATTTGGAATTTAACAATGTGATGTCTATTTTGTTATAGTATTTCCTTGTCATATAAAGTCAATTTCGTTGAAAATTCAATTAAACAGACAAAAAGGTTAAACTTCTAGGAAATTATATAATTTCAGAGAAGTCAATAATTGGATAAAGAATATATCAATTCTAGAGAGGTCAACCTTTCAGATCCAATGAAACTGCGTATTCACATCTAATGAGTAGTGCACAAGCATCATACTGTTTTAAAATGAATATTGTACACAGGAGAGATAGATAATATAAATATGAGAGAGGGATAGATGAAAAATAAAGGAAAAAGGAATAGAACAATCATCAGAAATGGAGATAGGAGCTGAGGAATCTAACAATACTCAAACGCTGTATGAAGCAAGCATGAGGGGATGTGTAGCCACGTTGAACACATTGATTCAGAATGATCCATTCATTCTCCATAAAATTTCACTCACTGCCTTCACTGAAACTCCCTTACACATCTCAGCTTTGCTTGGTCATGTTGAATTCAGTAAGGCTCTTGTGAGCCAAAAACCTCAACTTGTCACGGAGTTGGACTCATTCAAACGCTCGCCTCTTCACTTAGCTTCTGCTGAGGGCCATACTGAGATTGTCAAAGAGCTGTTGCAAGCAAATAAGAAGGTTTGCTTGGTTGCTGATGAAGAGGGCAGAATTCCTCTCCATTTGGCTGCGATGAGAGGGAGAGTTGAGGTGATACAAGAGCTGATAAGCGCAAAACCTGAGTCAATTCTTGTGCAAATCAACGGAGAAACAGTTTTACAATTGTGTGTTAGGTATAATCATCTGGATGCTCTGAAACTACTGATGGCATCAGTCAATGATGAGGTGTTTCTCAACTCCAAAAACCTTGAAGGCAACACTATCTTGCAAGTCTCTGCCATGTTGAAACAATTTGAGGTACCAGCCCTGTCTTTTGCTTTGCTTTAATTTGAGGAGAATTGTCTCTTATAAACAGTCTAGTTTGTCAATGATCATTTTGCTCGATCTAGCTGATTTTATATTATTTCTTTTTGAGTCTAATCTGCACAGTTTTTCTCTAAAATAACAGAGTTTTTACACACACACACACACACACACACACATATATATACATCTAAGTTACCTTCTCTTACTAGGTGATTCGAGAATCTGATCATAAAGAAATTTAAAATTTCACCTATATTCGCACCGATCTCTTAACCTCTATATGATATCTCATATTTATAGTAGTAAGATCATGAACAATATTTTACCTAAAATTATATATCTATATGCTTAATTTGTGCAGACTACAAGGTACTTGCTTTCAGTACCAAAGATAAAAGTAGATGTCAACTCCTTGATCGAGAATGGCTTTGCAGCAATTTACAGAAACGGCACAATTCCAAGGAATTTGCAAAATCCTATTACTGAGACAACCACCAAAGCTCAAAGCACTCGATCGGCCACCAAAAAATCAAAAGCTGCTCTCAAGAAAGAAGCAAAATCTCATGCAGCATTATTGTCATCAACGACATATGACTGGAGCAAAAAGGTAATGAAGTACAAGAGTAACAATTATGAAAATATAAGAGGCAACTTGATAGTGGTGGCCACATTGATTGCAGCCATGAGTTTTCAAGTGGCAACAAATCCACCAGGTGGGGACTGGAAAAGTGACGGAACCAATAAAAAAGATCAAAACTGCACAATTGGAGCAGTAAACTGCATTTTTAAAACTTCAATAAATGAATACACTCATGACAAGCTAGTATTTTTCAGCACTCTCTCATTTTCAGCATCACTAAGCATAATCTTGTGGCTTATCAGTGGAGTTCCTCTCAAAAACAGAGTTTCAGTGGGGATTTTGCTCATAGGAATGTGGGCTACAGTGCTGTTTGTTGCAGCTACATATTATTTATACATCAGCTTGGCTATGCCACATGATTCACAAGATCAATATGATCACGTATTTGATTTTATTAGTGTTTGGTACTTATGGCTTTGGGCTGGGTTGCTTGCAGTCATAATTGCGATTCATACGCTTAGATTTTGTTGGTGGGTGGTGAAGAAGCTGTTCATGGGTGTAGTTTATATAGTTAGATGTTGCTGTTGCTGTTGCTGTTATAAGAACAAAAAGAACCAACACCATGATCAGATTATGGTGAGTGTTTAAGAAGAAGACTAGATTGCACTTTATGCATACATACAGCTTCCAATTTCCATTGCATCCCATCATGACGTCGTTAACGAATAAGAGTTTAAGTTAGTTTATAAACATTGAATTTCTTGAATAGTAAATGCGTTTTAGATGAAGGATGCTTGCGTTGTTATAGAATTACTTAATCCCAAAGCTTAGACTATTAGTTAAGATTCAACTCTTAAATATATATAAATACTGCAAATTAGACTGATAAGTTATTTCTTTCCATGTCTCAGACACACCGATACTAGTACTAATGTTACGTAAATGTAACTCTTTGTTCAAACAATTCTATTTCGAGTTCTTAGTTAGAGCTCTTCGTAAAGCTTGTTAAAAAAAATACATTGTTCGACTTGATTAATTGCTCTTTGTTATTCAAAACGGATGGTTTCAATTTTGTAATTTTCTATTTGTCCCAGAGCTTCATAAGATGTAACATCTACTAGTGACAGTGCTTCCTGCCTGCCTTCGAGTGTGCAATGTGATAATTCTCCTTGAATTCAAGCAAATTAAGCAAGAGATAGAAAGGCTTGTACCTCATCATGTTGCTGCAATATAGCAGATACTTGCAAGATAGTGTTGCCTTCAAGGTTTTGGGAGTTGAGAAACTCCTCATCTTCAACTGATGCCACCAATACTTTCAGCGAATCCAAATGATTTTACCTAAAACACAAATGTAAAACGCATATAGTTGGTTATTTCCATAAGAAAACGCATATTCAAGGTTAAGCCACGCGATGACATTTTACTTGTGTGTAATATGTCATGTTTTTAAATTTTCCGCTGCAAGACTTGTGTTTTTCTATCATGTAGTTTAATTCGTGTTTTCTTTGGATTGTAAGGAATTTGAAAATGTCTTATACCATATGTTTTCCCTTGGTTTGCAAGAAAGTACTGTGTATGTTTATGATGAATGAATGAGGAAATGTTGATGAAATTGATTTGGAAACAGGTTTAGCATATTTGATGGTTTTTCCACATGGGACTAGTGATGGCAATGGGCTGGGCCGAGACCGGGTACCTCTTGGCCCAGGCCCAAGCTCGATCTCATGACAAAGGCCCAAGCCCGGCCCGGGCCCTTCACAAGTTTGATAGATAAAGCCCAAGCTCAGCTCGACGGGTTTTTTGTAACCTCAGGCCCAGCCCAAGCCCGCTCATTTTTATAATGTGAATTTTTAAATATTAATAAATTTCATTTTTTTTATATTTTTAATTCTAGAAACAATTTTTAAATATTAATTTATTTTTTAATACTCACCAAATATATAAATAATTTTCCACAAAGTGCATCCATCCATTCATGTAGGGTTTGCAAAAAATGACTATATATATGTAGGACAATCTTGTAATTAAATATATAGTATAAGGGTAATTTAATATAATTAATACTAAAATTGTTGGGTCGGGCTGGGCTAGAAGACATACACAGGCTCGGCCCGTACCTGAGGTCGGACCCTAAAATTAGGCCCAGGCCCAAACCCATACCCGCAAATATCAGGTAAAGCCCGATCTTTTTGGGCTGGGCTAGGCTAGGTATCCAAAAATATCGAGCCCATTGTCATCTCTATATGGCATCTCTCCGTTACCCGAGTCTCATGAGCATGTCTGAAGCCTATGGGATAGGGAAGGCCGAGACAAGTCTTGTAAGTTGGGTATTTCCACAAGAAAACGCATTCTTTTTATTATTGACTACTCGGTCAACCATGGATAACGGCCGGGATGCAAAGAAGTTCCTGTTCACATGGAAAGGATCCAATGAAGTTCCCGGAAAATTTCAGCATCATTAGAAGTCGACAGATAGCTAGCCTAGAACTTCAAAAGTAATTTGAAAAGTCTAAAAGCTTAAACTTTTAAGTTTATATGCAAGTTCCTGGAAGAATATTTAAGCTTTGATCCAATAATTGGACATGACATGATCACGTTTCTAGCTAGACTTTTGATGATTTTTGGTGTGAACATACGCATGTCTAAAAAGTAAGTGGTCGGTCCAATTGATGTCGTCTCTCACATTATAATTTCCAAGAAGTTGTTAACCTCTTTGCCCATATTGCTTCCAAATGAAATTGATGAAGGAAATGTATCTAGAAATATATAACCTCAAGCAAATAATAATGATAAAAGGAGTTGACTCACAAGTCCATGACGATGCTAGTCATGTTTTTTTTTTTTTTGTCATCGTAGTGAATCAGTTTGTGTATACCTTAATTAATTCTGCGATCCATTGGAACTCTGTTGGACATATATACAATTGATTAACCACCAAGTTCCTAGAAGATTAATTTAAAAGTTGATTTTATGTGGAAATTAAACACAAGTCTAAAAGTAAGGTGGTAATTGCCTAATTGGTAGCTTAATAATTTGTAATTAATTAAAAATTAATTGATTCTTGATTGTTATTCTTTGTCTATTACTTGATATACACAACAATGAGATTTTACAAACGCAGACTCTAATATTATTTAGTAATTATTTAGCTAGATAATTGGAAATAAGTGTAAACTTCTAGTGAGATGCAAGAGATGACATATTAATTGTAATTAAAAAATGTAGAGTGGATCTGAATTTTATGGATAAAAAAAAACACCGATCTTCAATTAACCAGATGAAAATAGTTGAGTTTTTGCTTGATTGTGTTCTTGTTAAAAAAATAAAAAATAAAAAAATAAAGAAATTGGGTAAATAGGAAAATTGGGAGGTTGTGGTGGTGGGCAACTGGGGATGGCTACTACTGCGGCAGTGTGGAACTGTGGATAGCTGCTTCCTGGCTACAGTAGTGAAGGTGGCAATAGTGGTGGTTCAGTAGCAGAAACTATGGGTCCATTTGGCAGACTCTTTTCCCACAATCATATTTTATTATCCTATCCTGAAATACAAAAAATGAATTTGTTTTAATATTCTTCAAATTCCAATCCTATTTTATTTAACTTAAAACATTAACCATTACCTTTCTCAATAAAAATTTTAAAATTAACAAAAATATCCCCACCCACCCAAGCCACTATCACCTGCCAACAGCCACTGTCGCTACCACTGTCGAAGCTGTAACGAAGCATGACTGACTGGATTACACCAATTTGTCTATTTCTGGCCAAATAAACCATGGATCTGGTAAAAAATGGTCAGGTTGACGGCCAAAGATCTGGCCGTTGACAGCTAGATCCATGATGGCTCGTTCGAAAAAGGCCAGATCGACGCACAACCAACCAGATCCAGCCAATTGTGTGCCATTCCAGTAGATTTCGTCCACCTTCCGACTGTGGTGGCTGGCTGCCAGCAATATGTGGGTGGGTGGGGTGTTTGTGTCAATTTATAAACTTTTATTGTGGGGAGTGTTTAGTAAAATTAACAAACTTAGGGGATTAAAAGTAATCTAGATATTTTCAGGGAATACTGTTAAGAAATGTACCAAAAACTTCTCAGAATCCTATCATATTTTCCAAAAATGCTATTCAGCATAGAATGCTATTCTAAAAATCTAACCAAACGGAGCCATATGGCAGATTTTGGTTTGGTCTTCTTAGTAAAATTAAAACAATAATTTTTAATAAATATGCCACATGTTAAGATTTAAATGGCTTGTGGTATCATATTAGATTACTAAGTTGGTACCACAAGTGTATTGTAGATTTTCTAATGACTTATTTATGTGGTTATATTCCCTCTAATTTATGTAATTATAAAATAATTTTATAGATAGCGTTTGATTCAGGGTCATAAAAGATAACACCAATAATCTATCTTTTAATTACCACGTTTGGATGTCAAGTATTCAAAGATTTTGGTAATTGACCAATACCAATAGTGATTACTGTATGTAATATAGGGGGTAATTCGATTATCGCATGAAAAGGTGTTATTTCTTTATTACTGGGGTAATCAATTGTTCATACCAATTTTACTTTAATTAATAAATATTTTGGACACAAATGCCCTCATATGTCTATTAAATAACAATTAGCCCAAATATGCGAAATGACTTATTTAACGTCATATTTTAATTTTTGGACATAAATACCCACACTATTTACATGGCTAATACGCAAAATACCCACAACCACCCAAGACCATTGTCGGCCGTCAGTCGTCATCGACCATCATCGAAATAGTCGGTCATGCACCGATCTAGCCGTTTTTGGCCAGATGAAGGCTGGAAATGACTAGATCCATTATGACTGTTTCTGGCTAGATCCAAATTCGTAAATGGCCACAGATATGGTCGTTAACAGCCATAATAGATCTGGCTATTTTCAGCCAGATCCACAGCCGTTAACGACCATAGATCTGACCGTTAATGGCCAGAATGGATTTGGCTTTCTAGCCATATCCATCGCTAGATCAGGGAATGGTCGACTAGATTCGGTCAGTTGTGCATTGTTCTGGCGACTATCGACATTGGTTGATGGTGGTGGTTGGTGATTGACAGTCGTCTTGAGTGGGTAGGTGTATTTTTTAAACTTTAAACTTTTGTTATTGGGGTGTTTTAGCTAAATTCTAAAATGTAAGGTGTTAAAAAAATGTTCTAAATAATAATACTAATATAATAATAATATTAACAAGGAAGGGCAATTAAGTAAAAACTCCTCTGATAATATTTTATTCGATCCAACCAAACATATTAATTATTTATACTCAGCAATCTAACCTCTGTTTTAAAACTTGGACTGGATCGGCTAGTCCAACTAGGACCTGGCCTTAACTTCGGTCCGAGTTAACATTAAAATCAGAAATAAGATAAAACCCGCTTTGGACCGGTAATAGACCGGTGAAACAGTACAAAACCGTTGGTTCGATTGGTCTGGGGATTAAAACGGTTCACTATTTTGGGGTTAATTTGATCCCTAAAAAAATCCTATTCTAATTCCTAAACCAGATTTGTAGCACCGTTTCATTCTCCATTTCATTGAGCCAACAAGCATTCTCCATTTCATTTCAATACCATTTTCATCTCCAAAGACCAAATTGCATCTTCCATTTTCATTTTCTATTCTTCTTCGCTTACTCTAAAATCTACCATGTAAAGAAGAAGAAGTAAGGGGAGGGAAAGGAGGAAGAAAGAGAAGAGGAGACGAAGAGAAAGAGTAAGGAAGAAGAATTGAGGAAGGAAGAAGATTAGAAGAAACAAAAGAGGAGACGAGGAGAAAGAGGAAGGAAGAAGAAAGAGGAGGAGAGAAAAAAGTTATAGGAGAGAGAGGGAAAGTGATAGAAGAAAGAATAAAGTGATAAGGAGAGAGAAAAAAAGGAGAAAGAAAAAAGTGATGGCGAGACAAAAGAAAGGAGAAAGATGAAAGTGATGGGGAGAGAGAAAAAAATAATTAATAATAAAAGTTACAGGTGCGTTTGCTTTATTTTAAACTTATAGGGACTTATGGATAAGTTTTAGGGGTGTATTTGTTAGTCTTCAAACTTATAAGTTTTGATGGAATTGTTTAGATATGTGTCTGTTGTACACCTATTAGATCAATCGGGAGCGGTTCGGTTTTTAAAACAATAAATCTAAGTCTAATCAAACATATTAGTATAACATTTTCTCATTAATCTTCAAGGCAATCTATTTCAGTGGTAATCTATATTTTTAGTAAAAAAAAAAGTTCCTGAAACAAACGCAATTGTCTTGGTTTTTTTAAATGCAACCACAAGTGTAAAACTATATCTTCATGCAGTTTTACGATCCGCAAGTGTAAAACTATATCTTCATGCAGTTTTACGATAACCGACTCAAGTTTTGCCCTTACCAACTCTTATGACCTCAACTTTCCCTCTCATCGTAGCCAAGTGAAGATAGACTCTCCCTCATTGATCACCATCCAAATATGCTGTTAGAATATTATGACTTGTTTTCCTATTTGTTCCATGTAAAATTAGATCTCTTTAGGAAATCTATTTAAAGAGGAATGCAATCGTATAGGAATAAAACTATGGTAGTTCTACTAGGAAAAAAAAAAAAAAAAAAAAAAAGGATTTCATCTAGGAGTACAATATCTCATTGATCGCCTATAGGTGCGAATCAATTTAATGTTACAAGAAGATATGAAAACATAAGACATATATATATGATATAAAGGTTCATTAAAAACCATGGGTTGAGTGTTTGTTAATTAACAACTGTCTTTGGTATTGGGTTTATGATGTGTGTACTCTTCTATATCTGTGTTGATGTTATAATAGTGAATTTTTCTCTCATCTGTTAATGTAGACAAGTTATATTGAAGCACGCTAAATATTGTATCTTTTCATGTGACCGTCAGTGGAAGCTAAGATCAGATACTTCTTAATGAGTTTAAATGAAGGTGTGAATGAAATTTTATGAAGAATGAATACATGGATGTTTTGAATCAATGTGTTCAACGTGTTAGATATTTGTGAATCTTATTTATTAATCTATAAGCTGCATGTCGTGCTCGTATTAACTTTTTTTTTTTTTTTTTTTTTTCCTTTTATTTTTAACTTGTTTTTTTTATCTCATCAGTAATTTGTATGGCCTTGATTTTAGTTTATTTAAATTTGGAAAGACATCGGATTCTTCTTAAGGCATGCTTCCATGTCTCCCCAAATTTGAATCGCTTCACTTTTATTTAACATAGAATTTGATGAGACGTAATGGGATCATCTGAAACTCGCTGAATCATTTAATTTAAGACCCACATGGATTTAGCAAGATTGTGGTGGCAACCACTTTTGTTATAATTTTTAGCCTTTTAAGTACATCTACAAAATTATTATGATTGGTAAATAATATTCTTGATGTCATGATCACGTCACCGGTCCGACCGTAGGCCGACCTTCCTACCGATTCAACGTACGGTCTCATTCTCAAAACATTGTTTCCAGCCACATATAATAATTAATAAAATAGTAATTAGTTGTTGACTAGCTACAGCTAGTAAACGATAATGGTGGTAGTGATCTTTTATATCTACTTATGAAGAAGACAAAGAAAAGAAAAGGAAGAGAAGAAAAATATTAATGGCAAATCCATCTACACCCTTGCACATCTCAGCTTCTCTTGGCGATCTTGATGCAACCAAAAGACATTTAGCTTCAGATCCTCGATCTGCCACAGCAGTGGACTCTGGCGGCCGCACAGCTCTTCATCTCGCCGCTTCCGAGGGGCACATGGATATCGTCAAAGTGTTGTTGACAGCAAATGGAGAAGCTTGTTTGAAGCTTGTTTGAAGGCTGATGAAAGAGGGAGAATCCCTCTCCATTTGGCTGCAATGAGAGGGCAAGTTGAGGTTATGGAAGAGTTGATAAGCCAAAAGCCTCGGTCGATTCTTGAGAAAAAGCATGGATGTACAGTTTTACACTTGTGTGCTAGGTATAATCATCTCGATGCTCTGAAATTATTGCTGGAATCGACTGATATTGACGATAAGTTTATCAACTCTACTGACCCTAACAATGAGACAATATTGCTTACATCTGCCAGGCTAAAACAATTTGAGGTATCAGCCCCGATTTCCTTTTTCTTTTCTTTTTTCTTTTCTATTTTTTTTTCTTTTTTTCTTTTAAATATTTTTAATTTTCAGTTTTTATAAGAAAGTGTTTTCTAAATCTAACTATTCGGTAAAGAGTAAAGTAAAAAGGGTACTTGTGATAAAGCTCTTGAACGTTTGTGAGTTTTTAAAAATTTGAAGACCTTAAGTAATTTTAGGAAAATGTGTTTGGTTAAGCGGAATAAATGAGTAGGTATATTATATTAATATGTTTGGTTAGGAGAAATAAATTGGTGGGTATATTATTTAAATTACTAAATTACCCTCTTTTTAAATATTAATATATTTTTATTTTTATTATTAATTTTTGAATAATTATTTAACCTCCAATATTTCAGATTTAGCTAAAACACTTCTGCTTATATAAAACTTTAATTTATAACAAAATCACTCCCATTACCCTGTCGCCACCACAAACCACAGTTGAAAGTTGTCTAGAGTCGCCATGAGTTGCCCACTATGATAGCGAGGCTTCAATATGGCTGTTTTAGGCCATATTGATGGCTGAAAATGACCATATTAGGCTAGATCTGGCCAGGTTAGATCTATTCTGACCATTTCCAACTAGATCGATGGATCTGGCCTGGTCAGATCTAGCTTGATATGGCCATTTTGGCCATCAATATGGCCAAAAACCACCATATCAGAGCCTCTCGGAGCCTCCCAGCGACTCTCGGTCATTTTTAGTGCCTTCAACAATTTTTCAGCGGTGATCCGCAGTGGTTGGCTCGCTATCAGGCTGGTCATAGTGGTGGTCTGTAACTTGTTTTAAGTATAAGAGCATTATTGTTCAAAAACTTAATTTAACAAGGGTAAAATTGTAATGGTAGATTAATGTAAATTGATTTTAAAACAGGGGCATTATTGTCCAAATTTTTTATCAATAAGGAATAGAATTGTAACAAAAATAAGATTACCTTGGTAATCTTACAATACCTAAGAAAATGGAGGTAATCAGATTACCTCCGATATTACCAACAGTAATTACTGTTGGTATAACCAAAATCTTATATTACTTGACAACCAAATGTAGTAATAAGGAGGCGTTTGGTTGGGGGTTATAAGGGATTACTAGGGTAATGTCATCTTATATTACTTGATTACCATGTTTGGTTGTCAAGTAATATAAGATACCGGTAATCTTTAAATACCAATAGTGATTACTATTGGTAATATCAGAGGTAATCTGATTATCTCCATTTTCTTAGGTATTCTGAGATTACCAGGATTATCTTTTTTTGTTACAATTTTATCCCTTATTAATAAAAATTTTGGACAATAATACCCCTAATTTAAAACAAATTTACATTAATATCCTATTTCAATTTTACCCCTGTTTAATTAAAATTTTGGATAATAATGTCCTTATATTTAAAATAATTTACAGCAACCACTGCCACCCAACCACCACCACCATTGCCACCTAGCCACCATTGTCGACAACGGCCAACTACCATGGGCCGCCGCCGGAAAATCATCGGAGTCCATAAAAAAGAACGAGACTCGGTGGGAGACTCCGGAAGGCTTAGATATGGCTGTTTCTGGCCATATTGATGGCCGAAAATGGCCATATCAGGCCAGATCTGGCCGCTAACAGCCAGATCCTTGGCCATTATCGGTCAGATCTCGTCCAAATCTGGCCGTTAACGGCCAGATCCTGGCCATTATCGGCCAGATCTGTAACGGCCAGATTTGGACGAGATCTGGCCTGATATTGCCATTTTCGGCCATCAATATGGCCGGAAACGGCTATATCGAAGCCTCTTGTTCACGGTCAGCTATTGATGGGGACTTTCGGAGACTTCCGGTGATGGTCTACGGTGGCGGCAGGCGGTGGCAGGTGGTGGGGGTGATTTTGTAATAAATTAAAGTTTTATATAAGCGCGGGTGTTTTAACTAAATCTGAAATATTGGGGGTTAAAAGAAATTATTTAAAAATTAATAATAAAAATAATATTATATTAATATTTGAAAATGGGACAATTTGATAATTTAAATAACATACCCACTAATTTATTCCCCATAACCAAACATATTAATATAACATATCCACCAGCTAACCAAACACATTTTTCTAAAGATTCTCAATAATCCTTAGTGATTCAACATTCCTAGTAATATAATATTCTTGAATCAAACGCCCCTTAAAAGTAATATAAGATAAAATAATTCCAGTAATCTACCTTCAACCCAACGCGCCCTAGGGTATCCATGATATTCTCACTTATACAATGCCTAATTATAATTTGTTCTTGTTTTCTATTAACCAGTAGTTCCTTTAATGAAGTATTTAAAATTTTTGTCGTTTTTTTTCCTTCAAATTTTGTACCTTAAATAATAATATCTCTTTCATTAAATAAGTGATAGAAACATTTTTCTTTTTTCAGTTTCTTAATTGCTTATAAACAGTCTACTAAAGAGAAAAAGAAGTAGCAAATTTGTTCTCTTGTACACATATAATGGAGTACTTTAAATTTGCTCTAACGAAAATGAATTTTTTTTGAAGTAATATAAATTCATTGGTTATGACGTGGATGGTTTTTGCAGATGGTGTCCTACTTGGTTTCTCACCCCCGAATATCAGTTGATTCAAAATCTCTTGCAAAAGCATTTGGGTTTGAGAATCCTCCGAATGATGATCAATATGAAAAACTAAGAGGCAATTTGATGGTGGTGGCCTCTCTGATTGCGCAAATGAGTTTCCAGGTAGCAACAAATCCTCCAGGTGGGTTCTGGCAGGTTAACACCAAAAAGTTTGATGAAGGTTGCCCCAAGGGCTCCGGAATATGCAAAGCTGGAACTTCAGTATTAGCATACACTAGTAAAAGGGATTACCACATGTTTACAGCTTGCAGCACCCTTTCTTTTGTGGCATCACTGAGCGTAATCCTTTTGCTTATTAGTCAAGTTCCTCTCCGAAATAAGTTTTTTGTTGGGATTTTGATCATTGGCATGTGGAGTTCAGTCACATTAATTGCAGGTGCCTACATTTTCTCAATGCGCATGGTTCAGATGCAAACTGACGATGAAATATTTTCTCGTGTATTCTCGCTTGCTCCCATCTTTTTGGCTTGGTTGATTTTTTCTTTAGTTTCTTATCATGTATTTCAATTTGGAATCTGGCTGATATTTCACAAGAACGATGCCATTGATAAGAGCTGTGAAATTTTGGATTCCCTGGTGAAGAAGATGAAGAATTTGAAATCCAATGCTGTGAACACGCTAAAGAATTTGAAATCCAATGTTGTGAACAAGCTAAAGAATTTGAAACCCCATGTGTGCTGCCAAGAACAGAGGCCTACAGGAACCGTCGTCTAAGAGGGAGGAGATGTACTACACCTTCCTGTTTAATTTCGCTTATTATTTGAAGTGTGTTTAACATGTATGGTAGGTTTTGTTTCTTTCTTTATTTTGTTGACGTTCTGTAATATATTATCAAACACTTATTTCTAATCAATTAGCGAGTTAACGAGAATGAACTATAATGGAATGTCAATATTTAATTGTCCTCTTTTATGATGCAGATATCCACACCGGAATATAAATTAAAGATATACAATATTTTGATTTTACTTGATAGTTTAAGATTTTGGATGTCATTGTCTAAATATTTAAAGTTGAATCTTCCATTATAACTTGAGCTTGGAGATCAAGTGATTCTCCATCTAGTTGCACTTTTACGGACTCATGGAATTGCTGAAATTCTGATAACCGCAAAAAACTGAAATGTGTAAGAGTGTGAGTGAAACTATGTGAAGAATGATAGAACCTGCCTTTTGTTAACATACGAATATGAGAAGAAAAAATGTGACATTAATTTAGATATCATCCGAACATGAAATAAGAATATGTGAATTATTCTTATTCCTAGTTATGCTGAGATGTTATTTTCTTTTCTTTATTATCGAGATTATATCATTATTTGTAATATTGTATTAACATACATAACCAATACAATTTTGTATAAATAGGTGCTGTAAACATGAAGAAATTCATTCAATATACAAAACACTTTCTATTGGCATACTCTAACATCTCAATTGTCTCTCTTTCACCTCTCTGTTCTTCACCTTTATCAATCTCGTCAAGGCGTCTTCATGCTTTACCAGGCATAATGCTTTAACTCTCTTAAATCTGAAATTCAAAAAAGTCACAAACAGGAAAGGGCCTACCCAAAATCACTCATTAAATTGTTGCAAAGTTCATCTGTTCCTCTGTCTGCTTTTCCATATTTATTTTGATTTTGTAGCACCCAAAATGAAGCACTCAAGAACACAACTACTATCAATAAAACAAATGTCATCGTAACTGTTACTAAACAAGCGAAATTTTAGCCGTTAATTAACGCTGTTAAATTCACTATTAACTTACGGTCACGTTTTTGTCGTTAACTGTTTGACAATAGTTTCACTGATATTTAACGCCATCAATTTCACCACCATCCAACAACTATTAGGTTTGCGTGAACCAATGATCATTTCACTTGTCATTTACTAATGGACATTGGTTAATGGGTTAATTAACATATATTTGTTTAGTCGTTATTTAACAGTAGTTTATTTCACCGTTATTTAACAGTCGTTTATTTCACCGTCACTTAATAGCTGTTAACGTAACCGTTACAAGAAAGATGTTTTTTTTAACGAAAGACATAACCGTTACTATTGTGAAGATCAAATTTTGCTTCCCTGCCAAAGCCCTGTTTGATAATCTCGAAATATGTAAAATCAATGGGAGCGGTTCCTTGATCAAAGCAGCACATCCGCCCTACAATCCTTGCTACATGCCTTCTCTTCATCATAACCGTCAGGCTCCAGCAGTGGCGGTCGGCGGGCCTCCTTCAAATCAAAATCATTAAGAATTGCTCTTTGGGAAGTTCTTCGCATGCTTTGGATACAAATGCCCGATGTCGTTTAGCAATTGTATCGGCTACAAATAAACTTCATGGCCCTTGTTTTACACTAACAACTGTAGAGATAGGAGATTTCAATATACTTTGCTTACTGTATATTATTGAAAACAATCACGATTTGATTTTTTTTTTTTTTTTTTTTAATCTAGGGCTGCTTCATAGGCACAATAGTCACAATTTCAGTGGTACCTCGTAGTAGAACTTTTTTTGACTAACAATTTCAGGGCTTACTGTATATACTATTGTGTATAAATTTTTTTCCGAATAATTTAATTATTAGTAATTATATTTTATTTCTCTACTGAAAAAAAGATATTATAATGTTAAAGTTTCGAGGGCATGTGATTAAGACTTTGGAGAATCAAAATATATTACATTCATTAATTATCTGATTAATTAAGTGTATAATTAGAATTAGGATCCAATTAAAAGTGTTTTAATGTTATTAAAATATTTATTTTTTAATAAAATGATATATTTGATTGAATAAATTTACTTAAAGTATCAAATTCTAAGCATATTTATAGTAACTTAGCAATTATATATGATAAATTGATAAATATTAGTACATTACTTAATTAAATGGTTAGATATTTAATTAACTTTTCGGCAAATTCTAAAACTTCATTTTCACTCTAGTAATTACAATATTAGATAATATTTTAAAATTTAATTCCCAAAATTAATTCCACAACTGTACTTTGGTGTAAAAATTTAATAGTATATATATATATCCAAGGATTTGTGACTGTAATTAGACACAAATGAATAAGTAATAAAAATTAAAAACTACTCTCGTTTTCTTAATTTTTTTAGTGGTGTATTTGTAAATTTGTAAAGTTTATTTGTCATTTTTTAAATTAATAGAGGGGTAATTAAAATTTTCTAAGGTACTGGGTAAGGAACCAGAACTTGTATTTCAGGTTTTGGTTCCAATCATAGAAACCAGTTGGTTCTGGTTCTGGTTCCTTCAAACAATGCAAGATACCAAAAATTATTCACCCCTAATTATTGGAAGTCATTGAATGACCATGTGAAGATATCAAATTAAAGTATTACAATCATTCATCGTGAAGTAGATGAATATTAATTCCAAGTAAATTTTGTTGATCTAAACTTAATTTATCAATTAAAAGAACATTAATATTAGAAGATATTTATGTCAAATTAGTTAGTGGATTTCTAAAGAATTAATTATGGATTAGGCAGTTATTAAATAAAAAAATGTTCTCTTTGTCTTTTAAAAGCATGTACTTGTTGGCTTGTTTCATGCAATTCTCGTTATAAAATAAAATAATAAAAAATAAAAAGTTCTCTTTCATCTTTTAAAAGCGTGTACTTGTTGGCTTGTTTCATGCAATTCTCTTCTCTTTTGGTAGCTTACCTCAATGTTTAAATTTATCGATTGTGAAACACTAAAGCAAAGTAATATATGTAATAGAAGAATAATATTAAGTTTACAATCTAATCTCATAATCTTTTCTCACAATTTTTGATATGACAATTTATAATTGATTAACTCGTAAATAGATATACGAGACTCAAAGCAAATTGACGAATTGCGACCTGTTATGTCGAGGGTTGTGAAATAAGGTTATAAGATTGGATTACGGACTTAGCATTACCAATAGCATAAACATTTTGTATAATGATTTAATTAAAGTTCAGAAATGTGTAAGGGAGTTTCATGCTTGCTTCATATAACAGCATTGAGCAAACGTTAACAGCTAGCGTAGAATTACTTCATTTGAAATATCTGAAAGCTTATATTTAACTATATTTATTTACAGGATGCCAGGTTCCTGGAAGATTTCAGCTTTGATCCTTCAGGTAAGCCTTCACTGGACTTGACTTGTTCTTCTGGAGGAACAACCAATGTCCAAAAAATTAAGGAATAATAGATCCAATTATTTAGAACTTGATAATTGAAGTAAATATTATTCAATCAAATCTACTATTTTATTCAAAAATTATTATTTTAATAAAATTAAACCACTTTTACTTGAATTTTAATTGTAATTATACACTTAATTAATAAAAACTTTTAAGTTTGACATTACATTATAATACATTTTTTAAAATATATTTATATAATGTTTATTATTCAATTATTTAACATAATCCACCCTACCCACTTCTTAGCCACGTCACCCACGTGTCTTCATTGATCATTGCCTTCTAAATTTTTTATGTAAAATTCAATAGACCCCCATGCTTTACTGATGTTGGTTCCAGTCCTGATTCCAATATGTGTTCTATCCCGGGTACCCGACCTCGGTTCCCATTCTAGGTTTTGTTCGGGTCCGATTCTTACCCGTACAAGAATCGGAACCAGACTAGTAAGGTGGTGGTTCCAAAAAATTGGAACTGGAACCTACCCCATGAAGGTTAGTTCCGAGTAGGATCCAGTTTCAATTCCTGTTTTATCCACCGGTTTCAAGTAGAACCATTACCCATGATCACCCCAACTATTACAGGTGGAGATATGCTTCGTCCAAGGAGCAAGAAGGGTGGAGCATCCTCCTCACTTAGTTCTTAAATCTTCTTCTTTGGTGCTTTGGATATGTTGCACAATAAAGAAAATTATATTCTCAAATCTTTGATGCCAAATTTCAAGAATGAATCATTTTACATTTCCTTCTTTATACAGATTTCGTCTTTATTGTAAATATTTTCTTTTCATTATGTTACATTCTTTTCTTGTATAAATTCACAACAATTGTACATGGAAATACACAACAAGGAGATACAAACTTCTTCTTTACTTCACATCTAGTATTTGAGCTTTTTCTCGTAAATACTGCCTTCTTTAGCTCAAATTCTCTTTACAACTTTACAATATGCCTTAAGGCTTAAACTTTACAATTTGCCCAAGTAGTGGACTCTGGCGGCCGCACAGCTCTTCACTTTGCCGCTGCCGAGGGGCACAAGGAGATCGTCCAAGTGTTGTTGAAAGCAAATAAAGATGCTTATTTGAAGGCTGATGAAGATGGGAGAATCCCTCTCCATTTGGCTGCAATGAGAGGGCGACTTGAGGTTATGGAAGAGTTGATAACCACCAAAGCTCAAAGCACTGAATCACCCAGCAAAAAATGGAAAGCTGCTCTCAAGAAAGAAGCACAGACTCATGCAGCATCATCAATCAACAACATCTGAATGGACGAAAAAGTATATGAAGTACAATAGTAACTATTATGAAAATATAAGAGATGGTGGCCACATTGATTGAAACCACGAGTTTCCAAGTAGCAACAAATCCACTAGGTGGGAATTGGAAAACTGACACAACCAATCAAAAAGATCAAAACTGCACAAAGAGAGCAGTAAAATGCATTTTTGGAACTTCAATAGATGAATACACTCATGACAAGTTAATATTTCTCAGCATCACTAAGCATAATCTTGTGGCATATAGTTCAGGAATAATACCCAGCCGTATTATTCACGAACTATATGCCTCAAATGTTTTATTCGCGAATTATTCCCATATTTTTCTCGTATCCAAATTTTTGTCGAATTTTTACAAACGTATTCTTCACCCTTTGCTGTATCATACTCGTAAAATCTCATACCCTTTTTCTATCGTACTTTTGTATTTGAAATGCTATATTGTTTTAACAAGGTGGTCCATGAAAAGTGCTAGAACTAGGATTGATAATGCCGTATTTTTCAAAACGTATTATTGACAATGTTCCGTATTAAATCCGTATATACCTATACCGTATTTTTTTCGTATCCTAATTTTATGGCTGAATTTTTATAAATATATTTTTTACTATTTGCTGTATCATACGCCTAAAATTCTCATACCCGTTTTTTTTTTTTTTTTTTTTTTGTTGTACCATATTTACATATTTACTAACTAGGCTCATGGCTTTGGGCTGGGTTGCTTTCAGCCATAATTTTTAGGCTGGGTTGCTTTCAGCCATAATTTTTATTCACTCACTTAGATTTTGTTGGCGGGTGGTGAATAAGCTGCTCATGGGTGTGATTTATATGGTTAGATGTTGATGTTGTAAGAACGAACAACACCATGATCAGCTTATGGTGAGAGTTTAAGAAGAAGACTAGATTCTACCTTTATGTATACATAAAACTTTTGTTACATCCCATAATGACGTTAATGAATAAGAGGTTGAGTGTTTATAAACACAATAAGAAGAAGACTAGATTCTACCTTTATGTATACATAAAACTTTTGTTACATCCCATAATGACGTTAATGAATAAGAGGTTGAGTGTTTATAAACACAATAAGTAAATGTGTTTTATATTACAATAAAGATTGACCCATAATCTGTTCTTACAAACTCTATCTCACAATTCTAACGTGGTAGCTTACAATTGGTTAGTTTGCAATTAGTCAGATAGAAAAATTCATCAGAAACCAATCGTGAACTGCCACGTCGAGTTTATGCAATTAAGTTGTAAGTGTAGTATTGCTCTTTAGATCATGATATTGGCATAGAGTCAAAAACCTTATTACTAGCTGTAGAGGTGGCGGTGGGCTGTGCCCTAGTTAGTAAATACACATTTTATACGCGAATTATATGGTCAGCCATATAATTCGCGTATAAAACACGTATTTACGTATTTTGATAATGGCTGCCGAATTATTCACGAATTATTGGAATATCCGTATAATTCGTAAATAATTCGCGGATTATTCGCGAATTATTCCCCCCCAAAAAAAAAAAAAAAAAAAACTGATCCAAACCAGTAACAGATCTATGACTGTTAAAACACAAATCAATGACCCAAATCAAACTTCCCGTGTCAAAACACAGACCCCCACATTCAGTAATAGATCCAAACCAGTAAAAAAAAAAAAGAAAAAAAGAAACTCTCTTTACTGAGAAAGACAAAAAAACAAAACCAACCCACGAGTGTTTGAGTCACAACGGAGCTATAAAAAAACGCAAGAAAGAAAAAAGAAAAGAGTGAATGGATGGATGGGAGAAGGAAGAAGGAAGGTGGAGGATGGATGGGTTGGAATTGGAGAGATTAAAATAAAGAAATGATGATAACGCGTTGGTGATCTGAGAAATGAGAATATAAAGCCGTGGAAGATTCAAGAAACTAGGTCTTTGTCAGAGAAATAGTGTCGTTTGGTGTCGTTTAGAATTTAGAAGAAGAAAGATTATAAAAACAAATCTAGATTGCTGTTGATTCTCTTTCACTTTTTACTGTTCTACTTAAAAATAAAAGTATAAAACTATTAGTCTATTACCGCATGTCCGCATTGGCTTCAGTGTTTCATTTAAAAATAAAAATTTACCATTTTCAATATTATTGACCGATGTCAATTAACAATATTTATTTATTAACAAACTAAATATACGTTTTTTTAAATTAAAATCCTAGGTTATTGTTCTTAATAATATAAAATAGAATTTGAGTATATTACTCAAGAGTCCTGAGTAAGAATCCCTATGACTACTAATAAAGGATAATCACTGAAAATTTATCTAACCGTTAATTTCACAGTCTCAAAAAATTCATTGAGATACGCGCAAACTCCAAACTAGTTTACGCATATCTCAACGAATTTTGGTTTTGTTATAACTTATGTGTTTGGTTTGACACTATAGTTGAATTTTGACTAAATATCATGTTTAAGTCTGGAGACTATAATTTGAATATCAGTTATATATTGAGTATTTGTGTTATTGGTTAATTGAATACTTTGCATTTGAAATACTATATTGATTTTAACCAGGTAGTCTATAAAAGAGTTAAAACTAAGATTGATATTATCGTATTTTTCAAAACGTATTATTGACAATACACTGTATTAAACCCGTATATACCCGTACTGTATCTTTCCCGTATCTGAATTTTATAGCCGAATTTTCATAAACGTATTTTTTACCGTTTGCCGTTTTATACCCGTAAAATTTCCGTACCATTTTTTTGCCGTACCCGTATTTACTGAGTAGGGGAAGTGCTGTGCCAAAATTTCAGGCCCACCGTGCCATGGCAAAAATGAGTTCATGTTTCTGGAAATTATAATTTAGGAGAAAAGGCAGTAACTGGGGAAAAAAAAAAAAAAAATCAATTCTAGGGACGTCTCTCTGTCATATCAATCCACAAATATTGAAACTTTGCTGGTTAGGGCCGTCAATGGTTGATATTCTTCCTTATCCAATATTACTGGGATTCTTGCAGATTAAAAGGGAAAGAGGCAGAGAAATTACAGAAAACAAAGATCAGAGAGATGGAGATTATAGCTCATGAAGGAGCTCAAAATGAAAATGCTGTATGAAGCAAGCATGAGGGGATGTGTAGCCACCTTGAACACATTGATTCAAAATGATCCCTTCATTCTCCATAAAATTTCACTCACTGCCTTCGCTGAAACTCCCTTACATATCTCAGTTTTGCTTTTTCATGTTGAGTTCAGTAAGGCTCTTGTGAACCAAAAGCCTCAACTTGTCACAGAGTTGGACACTTTCAAACGCTCACCTCTTCACTTAGCTTCTGCTGAGGGCCACACTGAAGTTGTCAAAGAGTTGTTGCAAGCAAATAAGAATATGTGCTTGCTTGCTGATCAAGAGGGCAGAATTCCTCTCCACTTGGCTGCAATGAGAGGGAGAGTTGAGGTGATACAAGAGCTGATAAGTGCAATACCTAAGTCGGTCTTTGAGAAACTCCATGGAGAAACAGTTTTACACTTGTGTGTTAGGTATAATCATCTGGATGCTCTGAAAAAATTGGTGGCATCAGGTGATGATAAGGAGTTTCTCAACTCCAAAAACCTTGAAGGCAACACTGTCTTGCAAGTCTCTGCCATGTTGAAGCAATTTGAGGTACCAGCCCTGTCTTTTGCTTTGCTTCAATTTAGCATACTTCAATTATCATTTTGCTCATTCTAATTTTATATTATTTTGTTCTGGGTCTGATATGCACAGATTTTCTTTTAATATAGAGTAGTTTCCACATATATATATATATATCTCAGTTACATTCTCTAATCATGATTATATGCATATGCTTTGCGCAGACTACAAGCTACTTGCTTTCAGTGCCAAAAATAAGAGTAGATGTCAACTCCTTGATCAAAAATGGCTTTGAAGCCTTTGATGGTAGCTCCACAAATGGCATACCTCTAAACAATATACAGAAAATCTTATTTACCGAGACAATGACAAAAGTTCAAAGCACACAATCAGTCACCAAAGTTCAAAGCACACAATCACCGAAAAAATCAAAAGCTTCTCTCAGGAAAGAAGCACAAGCTCTTGCAGCACCATCACTAACATTCAAATACTGGAAAAAGTTACTGAAGTACAAGAGTGAGTACTTTGAAAAAACAAGAGGCAACTTGATGGTGGTGGCCACTTTGATTGCAGGCATGAGTTTCCAAGTGGCGACAAATCCACCAGGTGGTTACTGGCAAAATGACACAACCAATGAAAAAGATCAAAGCTGCCCAAAGGGAAAAACATGCACAGCTGGAACTTCAGTACATGCATAAGCTCATTACGATGAGTACCACATGTTAATGGTTCTCAGCACTCTTTCATTCACAACTTCACTAGGCATTATATTGTTGCTTATAAGTGGAGTACCTCTCAGGAATAGAGTTTCAGTGTGGATTTTGCTGGTAGGAATGTGGGCTACAGTGCTGTTTGTAGCAGCTGCATATTATTTCTCAATCAGCTTGGTGGTACCACATGGTCATGATAAAATATTTGATCTTATTACTTATTGGTACCCAGAGCTTTGGGGTGTTTTGCTTGCAGCCATAATTTTGATTCACTTACTTAGATTCTATCGGTGGCTGGCGAAGGAACTGTTCATGGGTGTGATATATGTTCTTAAATGTTGCTGTTGTAGGAACAAACAACAGCATCATCAGCTTGTGGAGAGTGTTTAAGAAGTAGACTTCATTAATTGCAGACTCATAATAGATAATATCTATTCACTTGGATATAGTCAGTTAAAGCCTTATGTGCAGACTCATAACAGATAATATCTATTCAATTGGATGTAGACAATTAAAGCCTTATTGCAATTGAAGTAGAAAAGATTGTCAATTATCCTCTGTTTTCTCTTTTGTTGACTTGTATTTATATTTCATTGATTACTGTTATGAACAAATTTATAGTTTTTTCTTCTTTTTGTCCTCAGTATTAATATATTCATCACCAGCTAAGAGATAATATGTAAAGTTTGATTTTAGAGTAAACTTCAGACTTATACTTCCTTCTTTTACAACCAACAACTGAAAAATCTAACTAAATAAATAATAAAGATAGATTGACAAACCCTTCTCACTAACTTTCTTTCGACGTGGCATGTAACTTGCATTTGGTCAGACAAGACCCATTTTCGGGCAGGTGAGACCCGTTGTGAGCTGAGCAATTGCGAACTGTTACGTCGCGTTTGTGAAAGAAAGAAAGTAAAAAAGGTTTGTCAGCGTAGTAACCAGCAAAATCTAAGCATATGAATCAGGAGCACAGCTTTCTACAGAGAAGAGCCTTTGTTGAAATTGAGATATCCAAAGAAAACTGAGATGTGGAAAGGCGTTTCATTGAAGGGGACGAGTGAAACTCTGTGAAGACTGAAGAATGAGAGGATCTTGTTTTATGAATCTGTTCAAGGTGTCTTCACCCCTCACGAGGCCTGCTTCAAAGAGCTTAATTATCAACTCTTTAATCCATCTCTTTTACTCTCCTTTTCTTTTCCCCATCTCTAACTCTTTAACAGTTTGAAACTGGCAAAAGTTACATCCAGGAAAGGGCCTGCCTTTTAACTCACTCATTAAATACTTGCAGAGCTTTGTCCAAATTGATTTTAATTTTGCAGCACCCGGATGGAGCACTGAAGACGATAATTACGTTATCAGAATGCTCTAGTTTTCAATTTGAGTTGAACATATTCAACATGACATCACAACTGGCAGGCATAGTATAGCAGCAGCAAGATAGAAAGTAACAACTAAAAATAAAACGAAGAATGGCAACTTTTAAAAATAATTCAATAAAGCAACAGTCAGATGTCTGTAACTGTTGAACGTGAATCTTAAATCGTGAAAATTCAATCCCCCTGGACAACCAATCTTCTTTCAAAATGTCTAAGAACCTTGCTTCCATACCAGTAGACCCAGCAAAGGTTAGCCAATTGCCCAGCAGAATTAGAGATTCATCAAAGATTCCCTTCAGCCCTAAGAAGATTTGCCCTCAGCAACATGGCCCTTACATCCTGATCAAATTCATTGCCAGTCTGCAAAACCCTTTGGAAAGTTGCATTTTTTTGATCTGGATGTCTTGCATACAAAATCTTGTTGTGTGAGTCAATGCGAGCCTGAAGAGATGTGATGATAGGGTTGATCAAGAAAAACAATACCAAACATTTAAACCCAAATTCTTCCAGAAGAACATGATTCTAAGCGAGGGTTCACAAAAATTTGAGAACTAATTTCCTGCACATTAAGATTCATTGATATAGGAAAAAAGTTTTGTATATCCACACCATATTAGAAATTCTATGAGAATTGCAAGAGTTGTTTGTCTCACTATGAGCCCCTGAAAGATAGCAAAATCACAACAGCAGGACTACCGTACTGTTAGGGTACTGAAATTGCCCCATTAACACCATATACAATTAACAGAAGTGTACGACTGAGTGAGACAAACAACAATCATACCTGTATAGAAGAAAGAAATATAGAAGAAAACAGCAATCATACCTGTATAGAAGAAAGAAATATAGAAGAAAACAGCAATCATACCTGTATAGAAGAAAGAAATATAGAAGAAAACAGCAGCAATCATACCTGTATCTGGTTGTCAGTAATCAAGGTTTCAAGTTCTTTCTCCAGCCCAGCAAAACTTGTTTTGAAAACATTTGCCATCATTTGCAAATCAACAGACACAAATGGATGTGTATACTTGATAAGGGCTTTATTACGGATTTGATCGTATAACGTCTCAACATGGTCATGCAAATGGATATCAAGTAACAGGTTTGCTTTAAGATTTCCAAGGTAATCCAGACATGAACCATAATGGCTGCAATATATAAGAGAATAAAATATTAAAACCAGAGTTCAAAAGGGCATTTATGCGCGGATAAGTTAAATTTGAACAGAGTGGACAGTGGAAAGTAGAAGAGGGAAAATGAAAAAGTAAAGGTAAACTGCTCTGTATCAGAGCTTGAGGCACTACTCCAGAATTCTCTTCAATTAAACATATATAAACCCAGCTTGCTGCAATATGTACAAAGATCAAATCAACCAAGAGTTACATTTTACCATGAGTAGAAATCATTGATAAGCTCCCTAACTTCAGGAACCAACTCCAGGAAATTCTGGAAGCTCACATTGTCTATAACTTTGCTCTGCCAAATAAAAACATTGAGTCAATAAACGATCACTAAAATACAAACACAATTATCAGAGGGGGGAAAAAAAGAAGAAGAACGCATGCCTTGAGCTCTGCCCGATCAAAACTTGCAAGTGCACAAAGTCCCCCATACGTTGCAACGTCTTGAGAAGCAATCACGTCCTTGTAGCTACTTCCCAGATCAGGACCCACTTCCACGAACGGCACACATATGAAGTACAGAAAATACAAATTATCTCAACATGCCCCCCATACAATTTCTCCGCCGAAAAAAAAAACCAAAAGGACCCGAACTCATTTCATCTAAGTCACAGTCCAACTAAAATTCAGTTGAATAATTCTTAACATTTACACAAGTTAAGCACAAACATGTTGGAGTTGTCGACCACTTCAGTATTAATGAGCCACGCAAACGCTTTCAGCAGTTTGCGCCTTTTTTATGAAGAGTCATTGAAAGATTTTTTTTAAGTTATTAATTCATTAATGGGATTAGGAATCCTTATAATATTAGGTTTTAGTCTTTTAAACCTAGTATATAACATACTTTTTTAACCTAGAACATTAACATAATTTTCTTTTGTAATAAGTGATAACAAATCATAAGACAAATTATATTAATTGTAAATGAGAGAGGTGATACAGTATTATAATAATATGAATATTGACTTTACTGAACGTAGCCTGTTAATTTGGTGAACCAAGGTAAAATCGCATGTATTTCTTCTTTCCCTTTACTGTTTGTGGTTCGTGTATTTACTGTTATTTTGGTTTCGTATTTCTCCATTCTTTCAAAACACTAGACTTGCAAAAGAACATTAACATTCAAATTGAGGTAGAAAAGGATGTTAGTATATGAATTGACATACCTTACGAGCTGCAAGGTCGTACTTTTTAGCCTCTAAGTGAGCCAATCCTGCAGCACAACGTACTTTTGCAACTGTAACTGGTTCAAGAGCCTCTGGTTTTTGCTCCGCTTTGCTAACATAGCTTGTCAGATGAGTAAACTGACCCATCTCAATGCTAACCAAAATAGCTCTCATATGCATATGAATAATATGCTTCGACGTAGTGCAATAATCACGAGCACGAAAATAACTTTTAAAAGCATCCCCAAGTGCACCATGAGCATAGTAAAAATCTCCAAAATCGTTGTATCCCATTCTTATGCTTTCTTTAATTAAATTTGTCTGCATTAACATATACATATATGTATATACCTTTCGTAGCTTTTTATTAACTTATAATTTAAATATAACATTAAAAAAGCTCATACCTTATAAGCATTGAGTTCGGTCTCAAGCTTCTTCTTTCGCCGTTCGGCTTTGCGATCCACCGAATCACACCAGGCCACGTCCATGGTATAGTTGGGGCCTAGTCTTCCATCAATTTTCCGCAAAACCTCTCTGAAGAGCTGTGTGTCCTCGCCTTTCTTAATCTCATCGTAGGCCATTCGTAGCGCCTCGAGCTGCATCGAAGCGTTGTCGCAACAGTGTTCGGCAATAAACATAAGGCGCGTGATCTTAGTCCTTCCTTGGTAAAGGCTGGCGTAGGCTTCGATGTCCAGCTGCTCAACGCTAATGATTGGCCTGTTACGTGACGATTCTTCATCGCCTTTAGAATAGATCTCCTGTATCAGTTCGTCTTCGGCTTCCATTACGTTAGAAGGGCGGTTATGGTTTGGTTGATGTACAATTGATAATTTGGCAGTTATTCATTCTTATTGGCTTGAGATGAGATTACTCTAGACAAATAACATATAGTCCATAGGCTTCTGTTTTTCTTCTTCAGAAAGCTTCTGATAATTTTTGCTGTCCTGACAAAGTTTGATGTGCTGTGCATTTTCAAATCCGACTCCGGCCTCCCCTCATTTGATTAACCAAGACCTGACGGTTAGTGAACCACGATGTGGCAGTTATAATAAATAGCAAAGCTGCCACCAGGCTGGTAGCAGCCGCCCCCACCAACATTCTTTCTTGTTTTTTAAGTAGTAGTTTTGATTTTAGTGATATATTTCTTTAAGTGGCAGCTAGGGTTTCTTAGATTCTTCTTAAGCGTTAGGGTTTTTATTCCAATCCCGATCTTCTTTATTTATACAAATAATCCCATCTGGGTAGTTTGTATATAAGAATTTGAAGTTAACTAGGATTACGTTTGTATATTGTATTCTTTTCCTTTTATAAAACCCCATCTGGGTACAACTTTGAAGCTATTTAGGGTTTATAAATTGTCTCTTTCCAAAGATCAAAATTTTCTTTTTCATCCAACAAATCCGAGTTATTTCTTCGTGATTAAGGTGAGGTTACTTGTTTATTTTATTTATTTTCTAAATACAAATATAATAAGAAAGAAATTAGCGTTTGGTTTGTGATTTTTACTTACATGATTTAGAATATTGAATTAGTCATTTGCCTGTGCTGTGCTTGAACGACGACATTCCAAGAATAAATTTCCTAGGGTATAGGGTTTTTAATGTTTATCTATGGAGCTTGAATTCTTTTCTTTTTTTCTTTACAGGGAAGAATGGTGAATTCGGAAAAAACCCAACAACTGAGTACTGGAGACAATAACTTCAGCAAATTACATGATTGTGTCATCAGTTATATTTTTTCCTTTCTTCCAATTGACGATATTCTCAGAACTTCTGTACTATCAAAAAGATGGAAATCTTTTTGGACCTCCATTCCCGACATTGTTTTCGATGAGACTAAATATAAGTTGAGGTCGAATATGAGGATAAGCTTTTTCCATTCTATAGAAAAATCTTGCCTTCATAGTGCCCATGTATAAGAATTTAGTCTATTTTGAAGGATGACAGTATTGGTCCATTTCGTGTTAATTCATGGGTATCGACTGCAATAAGTCTAAGGTTCAGGAACTTGATCTTCTCTCGATTTTCAATAGTGTTGCCTGATACCTTTTACTTCTGAATCACTCACATATTGAATTGAATTTTGGTTCGAGGTTCCTCTTTCCATACAACTCCCAAACCTTAAACTTTACATATACAGTTCGAGATAATCTATCTGCTCAACTTCTCGAAAAACTTTTCTCTAGTTGTCCGTCATTCAGGAGTTGGCTTTGAACATAGACAGATTGAATAACTCTGAGAAAATACCATATCTAGTCCACCTAAAACATTGTTGGTTGTTTGTGTGAATTCCTCTTTAAGAGAATTGAGGATTTTGTTGGACAATTTATGCAGAAAAATTGAGCTATCTCAAATTCATAAATTGTGCATAATGAAAGTTTTACCATGTAATTTATCTCATTACATTATGTATACATTGATGAACAAACTTCGATACATGTTAAGGAAATATGGTTCAACATGCAATAAATCTCCTGGGTGGAATTCATTATGTCAAATTTCTGACACTGTCAAATGATATACTTGAGGTATGATATGATAACATTCCTTCTTTTGAGTATTTTTTAGTCATTGTTTCAGAAGACAAACATGAACATCTATCATTTCTTTTGTTTTTGTGTTAATTCTTTGAAGTATCTCTCTTATGAAGAAAATCTCCAAGTTTATCTTCCTGAATTTCTTGCTTGACTCTTTGAAAGTGATTTGGGGGTGATTATACAAATCATCAAGTGTTAAATACTATTCTTCAAAATCTCCTAATGTAGAATCTCTTGAGATTCCTCAGTAGTTATCTAAACTGCATTAAAATTCACGAAGCCTTGTTTGTTTTTTGGCGAAAATATTTAAATTGTGTCAATTGTTATCTATGCAGGTTCTATTCCCGAAAAATAATTCATTTTTCACAGATTTACCGCACTGTTTAACGTCTTGCCTAAAATCTATTAGTATCTCATACTTTGATTTGGATGTCATGGACGATGGATTCATAAAATGTGTGCTTGAGAATGCAAAATTGTTGGAGAGAGTTACAATCAGTTGTTTTGAAGACTACGCTACAGATTTAGAGATGCAGGAGGAGATCATGTATCAGTTACAAGCAATATGCACCTCAACAAGTTGTAGTTTTGTAATAAAGTTTTGCGAGAAATGGTTTCTCTGAAATATGACATTTTCTGATGATTTGATTTACCTTTGTTCGTAAATGTGATTTGCTTTCTTGCACTGAAACTGCAGGAGAAAAACTGAAGTTGATCATACATATTGAACTCAAAATATATACTTCTATTCACTCTGGTGATTTCACCTTCAGTCTTATTCCTGCCGATACATCACAAAATCTAGCAACTGTGAAGCTGCCTCAGAATCTCCACTTTCATTTGAAACATCAAACAAGATGCATTTTTTTAGCTGCCGATGATAAACACTAAAATACAAATTCTCTCGATTCAACCTCCCCAAGAACCTGACCAACCAAGCTTTCAGTAAGTGACTGTTGAGAATAAATGGCATCTTACTAGGGACAACTGTTGTTGACAGGAAACAAATCCCACTTTCCTAATTGAATTTAATATACAAAAATAATTCCTTAAAAAATTGTTAGAATGTCAATCAATTAATTTCATTAATTTCCATATGTAATGGATGAATATATGTGAAGGTGAGAATAATTGTTACAAACTACAATGAATCCAGATACATTTTAATCATCCAGTTTATTTTAAGTGAACGAGTTCGCGTACTTCAATCTCTAAAAACCCCAATTATGAAATCTTAAAGTCCTAATTTCACTACGAAGCCCAGCTTTATTTTTTTAATAAGTAAAGTGTCTGAGCCAGTTACTAATTCCCGAAGGATATCGAACACCCTAAAGTGTCTTATTCTGAAATCCTAAATACGTAATCTCCATTTGAAAAGCTCACTAGAACTCAACTAAAAAGAGAATCCTTATTCGAGTGAACTCAAATTAAGAGAAGGAATCATAACTTCTTTAGGTTTAACATTTACTTTATATATATATGTGTTGAAATAACGGATTTTCCATGTGATGAAGATGTCAAGTTGCAAGCAAGAGTACATTATAGAAGTAAAGTGGGATCTACTCGATCCTGAAATTATTTCACGTCAGCCCACCATTAATATTGGTAACCCTTTCTTTACTCAATTGTTTTTAATTTTCTAATTTCAGTTGTCATGAATGATTTGGTGTTTTTCCAGGCGTTATAGGTCAAGCGGGATGTGGCAAATCAACTTTTATGAAGGCAATATGTGAGGTCGGCGTCTCTAAATTTAACACTAGTAAATTACATAATCCATTCATTCTGTAAATTTTTGCTTTTAATCTGACAGGTTTTCCATTTTTTTTTTTTTGTAGAGAGCTCAGTTGGAAAGGATTGCGACCATGAATCTTGCATTCGCAAATGCAAAAATATACAAATGTGAAAACGATGAGTGTCCTCCGCCATTATGCTACAAGTATGTGTGGACATCCTGTCAGCAGTTTGCCGTTGTGTATCGTGAGAATTTTCATTCTTGTGACAGTTTATTTTTTTTATTTGTCTTTGTAGGGCATATGGAAGTGGGAAGGAGGACACTCCTCTGTGTGAATTGGTTGGGTTTCAGAACTGCCGGATGAAATTACTCAGGCACGTCTCTTTTGTAGAGTGCCCAGTAAGTAGAAACTGCTGATTTTTTTTTTTTTTTTTTTTTTAATTGATGCTAATAAACAATTTTACTGCTTCAGGATGATCTCAATATTCTCATGCCGATGTTGATTACTTCAGTACCAAAAATACAAGGAGTACTACTTCTAAGCGATGCCAACGAAAGGTTTCCCCAAAAGCAAACTTCTGATTTTTTAGCTGCTCTTAAGGCTGTTGGCCTCAACCATATTATAATTCTTCAAACCAAAGTGGATTCCATCAAGGAAAGTATTGCCATGGACCGACTTGAAGCTATTAAGAAATTTATTAAGAGAAGAATTGTTGGTGAAGCACCTGTGCTGTCAGTTTCTGCAAAGTGTAAGTATAACATTGAAGATGTTTGTGAATATATTGTGAAAAATATTCCTCTACCTCAGCACTTAGTAAAACGGCCTTGTGTGAGTATATTTCGATCGATTGATGTAAGTAAACCTGCACCAGAGATTGGTGAGACAAAAGGTGTTGTGTTTTGTGGAAGTCTCCGTAGGGTAAGTATCACCTCTAGTACTTTGTTCTCTGTTAGACTTGAATATCAATGTTCGAATCCCTTTAAGGAGGTGAAGAGGGCCTTGTTCGAGTTTCAATTCTGTAAGTTTTTGTTTGCAGGGTGTTTTGAAGGTAAACCAGATGATTGAGATTGGTCCCGGAATTGTTGATAAAGATGAAAATGGGGAAATCAAGTGCACACCGATATATTCTAAAATAGTTTCTTTGTATTCTGAGCAAAACGAGCTCCAATATGCAGTCCCTGCAGGAGGTCTGATTTGGATTGGCACAATTCTTGATCCTACAATGACAAATGCCGATAGCTTGGTTGGTCAGGTTCTTGGGGAGGTTCAATTCCTTCCCAGTCTTTTCTGTAAGATAGCAGTAAGAAATTAACTGAACCTGCAAGAATCTTTTATGATTTTTTGCATCTAATTCTTGTTGAATTGAGGTGATGTATGATGTTTCAGGTGGGAGTCCAAATGTTGGAAGAAAGAACAAAACTTAGCAGAGGAGAGATTGTTAAGTTGAACATACACTCCTGCTCCATAGTAGCTAGAGTTTGTCAAGCATCGGGGGAAGGTGGCATTGTAAGACTGAAGGTGAAATCTCCTGTGTGTATGATGCAAGAAAGGTTTGCAATCAGTCGAAATGTTGAGAATCAATGGCGTCTAATTGCGATTGGATACATCAGAGGCGGAACAACTGTTGATGGAGAAAAAATTTATCCACCACATATTCGAAGGTTGGGGTGGAACCTTTGATAGCTGAAGAAAAATACTATCCTGAAAAATGCTATGGCATCGATGTAAATCTTACCAGATCAGAGTTCTTTATGAAAGTAACGCATTTATGAACTAGTATGTCAGATTAATTTTCAAAGGAATATAAAATTAAAAAAAGATTTACTTAAGTCAGAAGTTATGAATTGTTATCAGTAAGTCAAATGACTAGAATAATAATGTAGTATTCAAGTACCAGATTTCCCCATAGACTTACTTAAAAAATGTATCACAAGAACCATGAGAAAAAAATATGGCCAATCAGCCCATCTTTATTGATGATAATTCCGACTTCATCATATAGAATTCTTTGATACAAAAAATTATACTCTATTCTGACTCTGAGCTATGATACAACATTTTCCTGTACAAAATTTATCTCAGAACTTAACCCTGGAGTTACATTTCTTTCGCTTACCATATTGTCCATCTAAACTAGCACCAAAGAAGAAATTTACTTTCTTCTACCTGTGTCCACTTTTCAAAACCGAGAATGATTATTTCATCGTGCTCTTGGAAGGAACAGGTGAAGGCAACTCACTCCAAGCCTCAAAAATAATTTATTCCCTTGTATTCTGCATAAGCTCGAACCACTGCAATCGGCGAATGAGGGGTCAACTTTCAGTATGTAAGAAAACCAACAAACAAACAAAGGATTCACTTAGAAATGAAATTACCTGTCTCAGTAAATCCGCGAGAGTCCTAGGGAGGGCTTCAATGTTTCTCAAGACAATGTAATATGGGAAGGGAAAAGAATCTAGATAATTTGAAACCTTGATCTCTTTACCTTGAAATGATAATTCCTGCAGGCGCAATAAACGTTTGAGGAAATGAATATTATAAAACTAGAGGCATTAGCAGACCTTCTCTAACATGAAATATAATAATATTAAAATGTACCTTGAGGTCAATTATTGATTCTTGTGGACTATCCATAAGCAGAAACGCAACCATTCGCCTCTTTACTAATAGATCTCTAACCCAGCGCTTCAAGTGCTCCTGCATAGATTCAATTGAACACATTCAACAATTGGATATATTATAGACATTAAGAAGCTGTCTTATAATCAACATGAAATCTCTCAAGTTTCCTTTATGAAAATAAACGTACCTTCTCATGGAACCGACCATCCCCAATAATTAAAACTAGTTGCTGTAGTGGGTTTTGTCCAGAAGGTAACCGCGCCTTTGCAACTGCAGTATCAAGCATGTTGTTCAAGTACATCAACAGGTCAACAACTGGCTCATCTGCAATGGTATTCTCTTGCTTGAATGTCAGACCCGATATCATCTGCAACCAATTGATTGTGAAAGAAACAATAAGAACATTTTCAGTACATAGCCATGATAGGAAAACACTCTTAAGGTAACGACAAAATGAGACAGCAATAACACCATTAACCTCATCATTTTCTAAAGAAAAGAAAACATGTGATATCAGAAGACTAACCTTGATGCCAGCCACTCCAGTGAAGGGCTGATCAAAATCATGTAGCGACCTGATGTTGCCCTTCTTTCCAAAGCTCACAACAGACAAGTTTCCCATTTCCAGTTGAGACATGGCTTGACACACAGTCACCAAGGCTTCAATTGCAACATCCCCACAACCACTCTCAGACATGCTACGGGAATCATCCACAGCAATAACAACTTGGTAATCACGCTTGTTTGGCCTGGTTCGCCTTAACCATATTTTATCCTTCCGGTAGTGACTAGCTATGTAGGGAATTACCTGATAATTTCAAAGCACAAGTGAGAATCAATAAAAAGAACAAACAACGCATGGAAGTACAAACTAAGAGTGGGAAGAGCACACCTATTGTCCAAAATATAGTGCTTTACCTTTTTCATATTAATCCTTTTCCCAGTCTTATAATCACCTTGAAGCTTGCTGGCTAGAGTGGGTTCCATAATGAGACGCAATTGTTCAGCCAACTCCTGAGACAACCTAGTAGTTCGAAGTTCATATCTTCTCCAAAGAGCACTAGCATTATTTTTCATATCACCAGAAACCTCATCAAGTTCTAGGGCTTTCCCCATCTCATCATCATTTACAGATAGTTTACTCAGCTGATATAGATCCTCACTCAGGTATGACTTCTTCATAGAGACCAGACTCTCAGACTGATTCCCTGGATCACCATCATCATCTATGTGAACTTCTGGGGATCCCTCCATGGGTGACTTCTCTAAGTCTGAGATTTGTATTTGCTCCTCCGTCTTATTTCGGAGGATTGTGGAATGATGCTCGGTAGTGTTTGCCTCAGGAATTTTCTTTTCAATCTCCATCTCAGTTACATCATCTCTATGTGCTGCAAGATTATCTGAATCTGGTTCATTGCCATCAACATTCATGTCAATCTGCTCAGATGTAGCTGGACCTAAAGCCTGAGCTGTTCCCTTGTCAAATTCAGAAACATATCCATACTCATCTGCATTCTCATCCTCAACCTCAACCTGTGTTTCTGTGTTATCCGCCTGAAGATCGACAGACACATTTACCCTTTCTTTCCACTCCTCAAGTGCATCCCCAACATTCCTGTAAGGGTTTGCTTGGGTTTTCTGAACAGGAGAAGATTTCTGCTCAGGCAATTGAGTTTTTGGTTGATCATCAGTGACTTTCCCACTGGTAGATGTGCCAGAAACCATTATATCCATCTGAGAGGTATTACCAGGTAAGCTTGATAGAGGAGCAACGTCATTACTAATTTCATTGTCATTGAAAAAGTTTGCTTCTTGTGCAACATTTTTCAAATTTGATGACCGGGAATCACCATTTGGTTGAGTTGCAGATTCAGCATTAGGCACAAGATCATCAATGAAGTCAGACATTCCTGCTTCAAAAGTATCTTTCCTTGGAGCCATTAAATCCGTTTCTGTATTCTCTTCAGAATCCCTGTTTACATCATCCTTTTCAGAAGTCCCACCTGCTTGTTCATTCTCTGCTTCTCCCATAGTTTCATCAATGGGATTCTCATTCATCTCCTCATGGCTTCCATTCTCCACAGATTCATCATGCTCTTCTGGATCCACTTCTTCCTTGTTGTCTGTGCGATCTTTTTCATCCATGTCAATATCTTCATCAACATTTTCATTTGATTCATCAAGCTTCAGATCAGTTGGATCAGCAAATGCTTCTTCCTTGTCCATATTCGAATCTTCTATATTTTCAACATCGCCACCAAGATCATCCTGATCTCCGTTCTCATCTTTTCGTCCATCATTTACATCAGAATTAAGTTCCCCAAGTTCATCAGCCATGGAGGCAGAATCTTCCTTGGCTCTAAGCTCCCTACTACTTTCATCTTTGTCTTTAACCGATGGCCCAGGCTCATGTTTCTCCTTTTCAGTGTTAGGATTTTCTTCTTCTTCCTTATTCCAAAGCTTTTCATCAATAACTTCACTATCAGCTCCAGTATCACCCATTGCAGACTCAGGTGCTCATCCTCACCATCTTCATCATTATCCTCTTCACCAGAATCCTCACTAACACTAAATGTATCAGCTGCAAAATCCTGCTCCATCTCAATTCCTTTATCATCTTTACTTGGTAATTGATCTGAGGCATCTTGCTCATCACCAGCCTCCTGTAGCACAAGAAGCAAAAGTTGATAACTCGGGTTTAAGTTATATTTTAGACTCAAGGGATACAACAAAAAATAATCTAACAGAAATGTATTTGAAGACCACACCTTTTCTGAAGCCCCAAGGAGTTGATCTTCATCGGTTATTTGATCACTGACATCTTTCAGTCCTGCACCCTCCCCCAGACCTGTTCCACTCGCATCTTGAGATTTATCATCACTATTGTCATTTTCTTGATCTTTGGCAGAAATGCCAAATCCTTTTGAAAACAATGAAGCTAAAATATTCGCAAGTGCATGAGTCATTATAGATACCTGCAGTCAAAAATATCATAGAGATGTCCAAATAAGAAACAGAATTTGTTAATAGAAAAACTTGGAGAATAGCAAAATGCACAATGACTTATGGAAAAATTTGCAAAAAAAATTAGAATCCAACATTGTTATGTCAAAAGTATCTTCAACACTTAATCATCTGAATATGGTTTGTTAATATCCTAAATCATAATGTGTGTACACTGGAAAAATAAAATAAAAAAGCTGAAGATTTAGTTAGAACCACATACAGTTTTGTGCATTGCGAGGAAATCCTGCAGGAAGCCATCAGCAAAGCTCAAGACTAAGTCCAAAAGTGTATAAAGAGGGTAAAAATGTGCTCCAACACGGGAAGAGAGACCAGGAGATCCCTTGCCAGAATGTTCTACCATTTTCTCCTGAGCAAACAAACCATGTATCAGAACAGGTATCTATAAATTATTTAAGCATAAGAAACTTTCATGGAAAGAAAAAATTAATAATGCTATATCCTACCGCACAGGAAACAATTTCAAGAAGTTGATCATTTAATTGGTCCAAACTCAAACTCCCTACAGATGACTTAAGTATGTTCTCCCATGAGGTAACACTCCCAAATAACTTTTCTGAAGGAACATGATCATTGCTTAATGACCCTAGCTTTTGCAACACATCCATAATATTTGCATGTGTACTTGTGAGGGCTTCACCAAACTTAGCTTCAATTTCAGAATAACCCTCATTGCAATAGCTGGCCTCTTCACTTGGATTTTCTGAGTGATTTTGAGCTTCCATGGCAGAATCGAACTGTTCAGCAATAAATTTTCCCTGAAAAAAATTTGAATAATTCAGCCCTAAATGTTACTGCCAAAGACTAACATAAATGCAAAGTCCAGATGATGTAAGTCCCAGTGACACAGATATTTGGCAGAACACGTAAAACACTAGTCCTACAAATTTATTCTACTGACAATATGATACTTAAATTAGCGCAGCTAAATAGAATCTAAGAACTAGCAAACTAGCAAAAAATATATTTAGTACATCAAGAATACCTTCTTTAACAAATCGTCAAAGTGACTGAGAAGAGTCTGTATGACAGAGCTTTTACCCAAGTCTTGCTGACGGAGACTAGAGAGATGCTCCTGAAATTCATTAATAACCTGGAAGTTTTTAACTACCAACTGTTCTGTTTGTTTTGGAATAACAAAATGATGGAAGCATCCAGTCATTAGAGTTATAGCTCCACCGGAGCCAAGAAGATAGTTATCCAATAATTCCTGTAACAGAGTTAAAGGAAATAAGCAAAATCTGGCACATAAGTCTGAGGACAACACAGTAAGAATGTATAAGCGCACCTTAGATTTCTGGATAACAGGAATAAATTTGTCAATGAAAGAAAGAACATTATGTGCTGTAGCTCTGACACTTTGACAATTATTTAAATGAGTGCTCTCAACTTTTCTCAATAAGAGTGATTCTTCAACCAGCATAGAATACAAACTATCAAACAATTGCTGCAGACGAAAAGAGAAAATAAACTTAGTAATACTTTCTAAAGGTAAAAAAAAAACCAAAACACAGAAATTACAAGGCAAGAACCTACCTTCTGTTGCCAAATGCACTTAATCATGTCCTTTTGGCCTCGTGCAAAAGCACACTCATTGTCAATTCTCTGGTTTAACTCAGTGCACTTAGAATACAAAGTTCCAAAACCAGATGTACATTCACGTAATTGCTTTACATTCTTAGCAAAATCATAAGCAGCATCTCGTTGCATCTGTTGTATGACTATGAGATGGTTGAGAAAAGAGATTGACCTACTAATCTGCATAAAACAAAAATTATAAACAAGAATGTGAAGGTGTAACTACAAGAAAAGATTCAGCACAGTTATCAGTGTTCGATGAAGGTAGCCATTAACTCATGTAAATGAACAGGGGATATACATATTATATAATGTGAAATTGTTCTGTAACCATGACCTACCTGCTCAGACGTAAAATCTTCATGGTGTTTCAGGCAAATGTGCTGCAAAAGTTGCACTGATGCCAAGCTCTTGAAGTAGAATTCGTTTGTGGCTTTCCATTCAGGATCCAATGCTCCACTAGGCAAACACTGATAATCACCAGCAGCCTCAGACAGTCTACTACGTGGCAGCAGGAGATGCTCCAAGTCATAAGAAGGCTGAAGGAACAACCAATTCGACTGATTGGATATCTATTAAGAGAAAAAACAGCAGTTAGTCATGATAATCTATAAATACAAATGTAACCAAGAAAATAAGTGTGGTATTTCTGTTACCTTCATTATCTCAAATTTGTGCTTGTGCAACCCACTGTTTTCTAACAATTTTAGAAGTTCAGAAAAAGCCCTCCTCTTCCCCAGACTTTTGTTTACATCCTTCCACAGATTACCACAATCCATTGTGGTTTTACATATAATTTCAAGTGTTTGCCACAAATCCTTCCACTCTTCTGGGTGTAATAGGCTCTCTGATTGGGATGCTAACAATTGCCTAGTGCTATCAGTAACTCCTATTAAAAATAAAAGCACTTAAAAGTGAAGAAATTTACAGTGTAAGAGAAACTAAATTATAGAGTTATAAACTCTAATAAATATAAACGTCACACGAGAAATAAAAACCTTTAGCATCAAGGAAACATAATTCTGCTGTCCCTTCAAGGACCAAGTTTTGCAATTTATGACACACTTTTTTCCGCCAATTGCTGTACCAGGGAGACCTATATCATAAACATCAAACTGGAGTTCAGAAACCAGGTCATTTATGGAAGCTTAAAGATAGAAAAGTATACAAACTATCTGACCTCTCTTCATCATTGAATTGTGATAAATCTAAAGTAGCATTCAACAAACCCAGACTCTCATCTGAGATTTCACTGGGGACCCTCGGACCTTGTACTGAGAGAACTTTCAATCCTTTTTGTGGTGTTTGTCGGTTAAGGATAAGCATCACAGGTTGTTGCAGCAGTTCCTGTTCAACAAATAAATATCGACATTGCTTATAGTCACAGCCTATTGCATACAAATAACTGAGAAGGAGTGTCAGAACAATAATAGGAAGATAACTACTCCACAACTAAGAAAAGAAGATGAATAAAGATGGACAGGAAAGATTGGCTCAAATCTTTACACTTTTATACTTTCAACATACTGTTACTATATGTATGACGGTATTGCATCATATAAATAATATATATTGATATAAAACAAGGTTTGGATGAAGCATCAAACAAGAAAATGAATTGTCAACACTAACATAGATCATTAAAGTGCCTTCAAAAAATTATCTTCAAACCTCACATTAGAAAGCAAGTTTGTTTGGTACTGGCTTTTTGAGTTTACACCTTAATAATAATGCTATCATCTGAAGATGATGTATTATATTCACTTACAGTGTACTTCTGCACTAGTTTCCGGAGCTTCTGTCGGACCCTTTTCAAATTATCAACAGGCATAAAACGCTCCCATCGGCACAGCTTCAAAAGCTCTCTCACTTCTTTCTCAATATTTTTTCGATTGGCCCCTATATGCTCCATTATTCTGAATAAACAATGTGGTAAGAAACTTCAAAACCACTACACAGATATTTTAAAAACAATGTGGTAAGAAACTTCAAAACCGCTACACAGATATTTTTAAAATATAAGTATTGATAGAAAACTTACATTGGCAAGAATTGCACATAGAACCCATATAAATTGTATAAGATCTTCTGAATTTCCTCTTGCCATGGACTGCAAGATTTGTGAATAATTAGAGCTCTTGAAATAAAATATATTTTATAAGTGCAAAACTCAGTGATAAAAACTAAATAGTGTAGCAGCTTCCATAATCACTCAAATACAGTTGAAAGGACACACAAAACTTGAATAATATGTGGCTAATTCAATAAAAATTTCCTGTTCTTCTTTTCTAAGGTAAGAATGCTATTAAAACATTTCCCATTCTTAGGAAGCACAAAATACGAAAGCAAGATCCAGAAACTAGCATTCCTTACCTGGAATAAGTTCCCAAGGATCTACCAATCATGAATTGACCAAGAAAAGCAAAAAGAAGTTGGAGGCGTTTTCTAAATTCACCAATGCTGGACGTTTGAATGAATTCCTCCAAACTGAAAGACCCATTTCATTTCAAGTTAGAGAGAACAATACCAAATTCAATACGTACATGAAACTCTTTGTTAATCAAATTTGAATTGAACTTCAGTGCACAAAATAGTTTAGCTCATGCCTTTGGATGGTAGACTGATCATATCCAGCAGTATCAGCGGACTGTGTACGAAGAACAGAAAATAGTGGAAACCACAGCTGCAACAAATAATACAAATTAAACAAAAAGAAAAAAAAGAAATCCCAAACATTTTAGCTCTCTGATCCATGCAACTAATATCATTTATATATGTAGCACATCTCTTTCGTGTATATCCCAAGATTAGCGTTTTTGGTTTTAAGTAGAACAGGTATAGACAAAGGTTTGGACTAATATATGGTACATCCTAGTTTCATTTATGGTATAAGCCAAAAATACATGAATTATGGCCCTAAAATTCTACAGACAAAGGTTGGACTAATATATGGTACATACTACTTTCACTCTCAACATTCATTATTTCAGTAACAACTATCGTTCATCAATCCAAATTGATATACCTTCCCAGCATTACTCTCATACTGATCTTGCACCTCATCAAGCAATGCAGGCCAAGACTCAAACTCCATCTTTTGCCATGAACATACCAGGGAAGTTATGGGTTCCAGCAGATCTGTGAGCATGGTCGAATGAATTTCCATAAAAATGCAACAGTTCAAACAGCAAAAAGGCATTGCAAATTTACAAACCAGAAAGAGGAAATTTTGTGCCACTTTCCAGTAACATCTGAGCCCTGTTAAGCAAAATTTGCAACCCTGATAGAGCCTTCACATAAAAACAACAAAAAATTCAGTGTTTTGAAGAACATGATAAGCACAAATATTGAAGCAGCAAAAATTTCTCTCATCGTTCTGCTTCATTGTGCAGACTACTGGACAAGTTGACAGCATCTCCTTTTATGGTCAAAAACACCCTTAAAAAAAGGAACCATGTAAACAGAAATAATAGCTATAGTCACTACCTTTGCAAGAGGAGTTGTGAGAGGAATAGCCAACAGCATTTGAACCACATCCAAGATCTTCTGCAGACCTGGGTGATCTTCCCACTCACTCAGAAGTGTAAGAACCCGTTGTTGAAGAGAAACAAGTAACTTGACCATTTTTGCCATCACAGGGGCATTTGAATCCTATACAAATAGTAATGGGAAAAGAAAAATTAAAAAATGAGGAAATCAGTACTACATGATGAAACAAAAGTAACAGTAAAGTAGTGTGGTGATTAAGTTTGAAAACCTTGTAAAAATTGTATTTGCAAGCTAAGTGATTTGATGAAACAAATTTCTGCTCGTGCTCCAAGCAAAGGCGTAGGATATGCTCCGGGGAAAGTCTAGCATCCAAAGTGGAAGAACTTAGACCCCCTAAACCTGCAAATTAAATGAGATGGTAAATATTTTTCCTTGGATTAACAATTTAACCTGAGAAAGCAACAACAGGAATTACCTTTTAGCATTTCAACTCCCAATGTATAAGAGTTGCTGAAAGTATGCAATCTGTCTGCATCAGAGATTTTGAAGGTCCCAGGCTGGGGGAGGAGGGTCAAAAATTTTTTTAGTATACATAGATTTTTACAAGACAGGTAACACACACACACATAAACAGAAAAAGATGGGAAGATACATTTCCCAACTGTTGCCATACCTTCAATGGAGACATTCAGTTGAAAAAAGAAATTAGAATGAACCATACAAATATGTAAAGAGGAGAACTAAAATTTTATATAAACACAGTATATACCCTAGTGATATTTTTCATTTATTAGTCATGAGAGCTACTCTGTAGAGCAATAATCAGTAGAAAGCCCAGTGATATATCATTTCAAAGAACTTCTTATCAAACTAACTTCTATAGTCAAACTCTGAAATTTCACCAAAACTAGTGCATCTGCAACATGTAATGAAGACACTTGCCATAAAAAAAGTGATGCCTGTGGTTTATTGATCAGAAAAAAATGGAAAGAGACAAAAGTACTTTAGATGGCAGTCACCTTCAATAGTTATCATGAAAAAAAAAAAAAATCTATCCTGAAATTAAGTCAACAATGCATCAAGGAACTTTCATAGATTGACTTACTCTTAAGACAAGATCAGTAGATCCAAACAATTGATTGTGTATTTGGACCATGTTATTCAGAATATATTCCTGCATAAGGTTCCATTCATCCTCCAAACTTTCAAATTCATCATCAGTTTCCACCTGAATGTATTACAAGTATGTTAAAACGGCACCATTAAATAGAAAAATATACAGGCATAAACAGTTTCCAGTGTAACTATAAAGCAAGACCTTTTCAGTAATTTCTTCTCCAGAAAGCAGCTCCTGCCATTCTGAAAAAGTGTCATTTGCAAACAACTTGCATAGTGTTGACTTATCAACTTCAAAAACTCTATCAATTGTAAAGGCACGAGTCCTGAATTTGTATTGTTGAGAGTCATGATCTTCCCTGGTTTTTACTTGGACTTTCATGTTCATCCAAATGCTTGCAAACTCACAGAAAATTTTATCCAATAACTGATCCAGAACATAAGGTGCAATATTAGAAAAAAAAATCCACTGTAAGAACACATGAAATTCAACTCAACAATAAGAAAAAAAATCTAACCATGAAAGAGGCCTTATCCATTAGTTGAGAATTAGCTACAAAGTATGCCACACGTATAAGAGCATTTTGATGAACAGAAGCTCTAAGCTGCAAGACAGAACCCTCCTACAAACAGAAAACATTCCAGGGGCAAAAAAAAAAAAAATAGATGTTAAATTCCATCATCATAAAGAACAAGGTTATGGGAATTAGGAAACACAAAAGACAACAAGAAAGTTGGCATTCATAAAATGACAATAAAAAGAACTATAATTATCATTATGAAGAAAGTATTCAAGAAGATAAATTACTTTTGCAGTGTTGACGTCCCTTGAAAAAGTGACCAGCTTCTCCAGTAAACTTATATCTATAGCAAAGAGGTTTGAAGAAGAATCTACATCACCGAAATAGTACTCAGGCACCCTGGTTTTGGGGTTCACTGTTACTAAATCAAATCCGTAGCCTCTAGGAAATCTCATAAATGAATAAACCGAGTCCTGCCAGGCATAAGTCAGCCATTTAAATCCAATAAATTAAACATGAAAGCATAGAAGTTAATTTCTAAACAAAAAAAAAAATTAAAAATCTAGATTCACCAAAATTCTGTCCATATTGTCCTCCTTGATGCTGTTCAAAAAAGCATTTTGCAAAGTGTTTGACAGCAAAACAGAAAAGCCCAATTTCATTTCATATATGGCCACCTGAACTGGTTGAGCTATATCTACAAACTCAGCATAATCTTCTGACAGTCGATTGATAAAACGGGATGCAGTTTCCTACGATATCAAGATTGATAACAATTAGGAAAGTACAGGATTGTAAACAATCAGAAACATTCAACAAAGAATTATATCAAATTATAGGCAACTAACAAAGAAAAGTACCTGCCAGTTGCACACTTGCTCAATAGCCTGTTTAAGGTCCATGACTGCAGTATTACTCACCAAATTCATGGACGAATTAACAAGTTCAAGAAACTCATCACATTCTTTTTTCAATGCCTTGAACTTCAGAGGATTAGGGCGATATACAATCTTCATGCAAGAAGAAGTTCTTTTAATTAGGTATATAAGAAAGACAACTAAGCAGCTATTAACACATTAATCCACCAAAGAAGGAAAGACAAAGGAATGATAAACCAATATAAGTGTAACAGAAATTTTATTACTAATTGTTAGACGAAAAGCTTATATTTAAGGAAAAGTGAAGACAATGTTTCCTAACCTTTCTTTGTAGTCTCTTATGCTCAGCTTCAAGCTTTTGTAGTGCAACTGCTCTTTTCTTATCAGCTGCTCTTGAAGATGACCAACCAGCTAGATACTCACATTCTTGTCGTACCTAGAAATAGTCAAAACAGAAGAAGTTGGCTTAAAACTGCAGAAAGAAGGAAACTCACAACAGCAACAGATGAGGTCATTCAATTGAAACTGGATTTTCAACAATACATTCATCAAAACGGGGGCATACTACCATGTATAAAGAGGCACACCTCAAAAGTCTCAAGTATAAAGCCTAAGGCAAACTGACAACTTACTAAAAACAAGTAATACATAGCCAAAAGTGCAGCAAGATGAGACGAATGAGAGGATCTAAAATTTGAGAGCACAAAATATACTATTGAGCTACTAGAAGGGAAAAAAAACACTAATTATTGATCACAACACCGGAATTACATACAGCAATTAAATTGATCATGAAATGGAGCAACATATGTCAAGAAGGGAACCTTAATTTCAAGTTTGAGCAATAAAATCTTCTCTTCCAACTGTGAACACTTCCAAGAGTATTTCATGGCAGGATCCAAAACATCACAGCTGATCAAGAGGTGAAAACGTAATGCCCCAATCCTTATCCATGCATAACCAAGATTGGAGAAGAAACCTAAAACCAAATAATAATTGACAAGATAAGACTCAACACATCTCATGTAAAAATAAACCAAAAATGATCAAAAGAAATATTGTTGTCTATCCAAGAACTCACAAGAGCAAAATAAGCAAATAAACATACCATCACCAGAGGGAAAGCAGTGTAGAAAGAGTTCTCTAAGCAGTGGCTCAATAAACAATTGCACCAAAGACTTCAATCTTCGATGGCTTGAAGATGCAATAAGTGAGCTCAAACCATTAATGCTATCTTGCTGCCAAAGAATAAGATTTATTTAAAATGCACACCAAATAGAACTATGATAAATTTATAGTCAGTCAGGTGCTCTAAATATGAAGTATTTTCATGCAGAAGATGAGCTACCAACTCTATGAATATGTGAAATACAGATTCCAATGAATAATATCTGAACAGGAAGAGCATAAGAAATAAAAAATAAAATGCCCAGCCTTAGGCAACATTCAGAGTTATTTTTCCAGAAGAAGAAATATAATTTAGAAAAAGAATAATACCGTAACCGTGTTCTTCTCAAAGGCACAAAGCATGGAGTTCATTTCAGCAAATGCACCAGCATCAAATGACTTTTTGTGTGCATATATAATCTGGAATCATCGTAATGTTAGATTTTAAATTATAGAACAATAAGTACACTATAATTCATTAAAAAAAATACAATACCTGATGAAAAAGTGAACGAGCAACAGATAAGAGAGAAGTAGGTAAATTTTTTGGATGTGGAGGACTTTGCCAGAGATTTCGAGAAGCAACTTTGAGCTTCAAAGAGTACACAGTATAATCTTTGATGGCAAATATGCTTTGCCTGGAATTAGGCCAAGAAAATAGAAGTTAAGAATAACATTCCCTAATAATTTATGACAATCTAGATAAATAAGAAACATCCATCAAAAGATTCAGCTCATATACTTTTTTTTTATTAGACATGCTATGGGGCAATAAGGGTGAATAAAAAGACAATTCTTCTTCACTTGAAATATCAATTAATAAAAGCATTCTTCTTCACTAGAAATATCAATTAATAAAAGCACCATGCTAGAGAAATGTCTCATTTTTACTATCTCCCAGTAAAAATGATTCTAATTTATATAAATCATTATATAACCCCAAAAAAAAAAAAAAACTTTTCTTTTATCTTAAAGCTTAGTGTGAGATCTCATTCGATATTTTTGCCATATTAAAACCAAGGCCATGGATATACCAATAGACTGCATATGAAACACAACATACACGGTGCATCCTCACACATACAAGCATTGGGCTATGCATCTACATATCCATTTATTTATCGTTTAAAAAAAAAAAAAAAAGCCTTAAATGAAGCAGATTATGGACGACTAACATAATATAAGTAATTATCTTACAGAGTATGAGAGATAACCGCTGTTTTCACGGGCTGAACGAGCAGAGCAGGAAGAGGAACATCATGGTTGCCAATTTTTGCAAAGTTCTACATATCAAAAAGAAAATCTTCTAAATTTGACAAACACATTTTCCTAATAACGTAAAATGCTAAAAACCTGTGTTCACTACGCATACCATGAATGCAGCAGGACTATAACTCCACAAAAATGAATGCCACCAAAACCACATCTCAAGAACAAAACTGGCAACTTTCAAATTCACTGTAACTCAAAAGAAACAGATTATTAGCATGTTGATAACTCTTAATGATTGTAAATATTACATAAGGGATCATTAGCATGCAGGTAAAAATATTAACAATTAATTACACCAACCTGCATCCACTGACGTCCAAGCATCTAGCATCCACAAGAGTTTTTGATGTGGTACAAAAGCTTGAGGTGGCCTTCTTGAGCAAGTCAATGAATAGCTCAAAGCAGATTCCAGAAGGTCAGATACTTTACCCAATTCCTGTTGTTGGGGATTGGCAAACAGATCGTAAGTTAAATATGATAAAAGAAATCATAGAATCTCCTATAGAAACTATCAAGCAAGAAAAATGTGCATTGCACTTCCAAAAAAAACCAGAGTCTGATACCCTATATATACACTGAAAAGAACAGTTGAAGTCTAAAATTAACCTCTAACAAGCACATGACCATTCAAGAGTTATATATTAAATCACAAAGGTTATTAATACAGCCCAAGCACAATTCATTCAAACAAAGCATCTGAGAATTTAGAACCCTTCCATTTATGCACATGACAATATGAGCTTAAAAATCAAGTAGTGATTCTAAAATAAAGCGAGCAGTTCACAAGCAATCTTCCAAATATCGACATCTTAATCAGGCAATTAGCACAAAAAGATGCAGAGAAAAAATTAACCAATAACGAGAAAAACCATAATAAAGCGCAAAATGAAGTGATTGATCTTACTAGCCGCATTTCTTTGTGATCAAACACAGGGATCTGCAATAACTCTTTAAGTAAATTTATGTCCAGGAACCAACTTGAGCTGTCATTTATAGGAAGTGTGTCCAACCAACTGTCAAAGCCAGGCTTCCGACACAATATCTCAGGTTCAAAAACACAGCAAGAAGCTAAACTTGAACCAAGTGTGGCATGCTCAGGCCCCAATTGTTCCGCCAGTTTGCATTTTTCATATTCAAACCTCTTTACAAGCATCTGAAAGAAACCAAACTACTCCAAGTGAATATCCCATACAAGCCGAGCAGATGAAACTAAAATTTAGAAACATCAAGGGTAAGGACCTGACAAATCTCCTCCAACTTCTGGGCAATATTGTCGTCATCTTCATCAGATTTGCATGCTATATGTGATGACATACTCACACCTAGAATTATGAACACCAGTCAATAAATAAAGAAACCTCTAATCGAAACCATGCAGTAAGCACATCAGAAAAATGCAGAATACAAATCACATAGATAAATACCAAACCTTGCAATGCCAATAAGCGAAGTTCAGGATCGGAAGATGCAACAACATCAAGACAGTCACTCACTGTTGCAGCAAATATTTTCCAAATTATATACAATAGATGATTGAAACTCAAAAGAGTTTTCCATGCTATTTCAGAATCAGAATATTATGAGCATACCTTGCTTTTGCCACAAAAAGTGACAGAAACTTAAAAGCTGATGTTGTTGATGATATAACTTAGAAGACCGAGGCAAAAAAGGATGACCACCATGAACCCATAGTAAAGACCTTTGTGATTGAAAATGCCAAGAAGAAAATTTACCCAGATTCTTGCCTTCCATCTACACAGAAGAAAGAAAACTTATTAGACTCAAACTACAAGAAACAAATTCAAAGAAACTGGTGGCATAGCATATCATAGTGAGAATACCAGGACATTCTCAACTTCTTTTGGACAAAAGTTGTGCAACTTTGTAGCATTCTTCATCAAAGAACGCCAAGAAATCAGCAAGCAATCAACCTGAGATGAGGTAACACCGCTCCAAAATAGTATGTGATTTTCAAGAAGATCAGTGTAAAATTGTATCAGCTTATCAAATGAAGGAGAATTAACAACCATTTTCAGGACTGAGTTCTCCAAATTTCTTAGAGATTTCAAAAATGGTTGGCAATACCAAGTTTCATCAGTGTGGTCATGCTCACCCTCAGCCTTCCACTGTTGATAACTAAGCCTCAGAAGGTCAACACAGTTAATAGCATTACGGAGTAGGTTACTCTGCTCCTCTGACTTATCACTTGATGCAGTTAAATCAACTTGCTCCATTGAAAGCAGTGCAAACGGAAGTGGATGAGAATCTAAATCGACTAGTGGATCTGATTTAAGCACCTTGTGGAAGCAGAATATATCTTTCCAGATTTGATCCTCCAACTCCTCCCGGAGTGAAGCCAGGAAAGAGTTGAAAAACTGGCAATAGGGCTGCAATTGAGAATTAAACCAGCTAAACCAGAGAATATGCAACAGAAAATCACTTTCTGTTGCTTGTTCGATAGTCCAGTTGGCAGCAAATAACAACATTTTATTAACCAAATTTGACTTAAATTCTGTCTTCCCACCAGAACTGGAAATTGTGCCATTTGAAACCATAGGAAACATTATCCTTTGAAGCATCTTCACGTTCATCAAGTAAGTTACTGCACTGTCACTGGAAGACAAAGCTTGATCCACAGGGCTACCATTCCAACAATTTTGTAGTTCACAAGATGCATACTGAGCCCCCAGGAACTCCAAATACATACAGTTCTGTTTGACAGATGCCTCTTTTGAATACCATACCAAGTCCCTTAACTTCAAAGGCATTGGCCATCCTCCAGGCAAACACAAAGAACATCCCAACGATGAACCAGTTTCAGACGATTCAATCATTGACATAAATGTGTTCTTGGCATGGCTAATTATATTTTCTCCTTCAGCCCCACCTAAAGAAGAAAGATAAGTATGCTCCCAACTAATCTGGAGGCTCCACAAAGGCTGATTGCCATTCACAAGAAGCTGCTGAAATAATTGAACCCAACGTGCAAGCTCTAGATGTGTGATCCGTTTATTAAATTGCAAACCTTTAAGAGTAGCATAGACATGAGCTTTAGCCATTGATTCAACCAGCTTAGTAGAAGGAATACCAGAAAGAGCAAGAAATCTCTTTGCATCATTTAGCTCACTGTCCTCAAAGGTGGAGCCTTTTTCTTCATCAAATAGCCAATATGGAGGCATCATATATATCTCAACACCTCTATTTCGCATTGCCCTGGACACTTCACCATAGCTTGGATTAATTGTGAGAAACATTCGAAAATTAGGGTGTGGATGGAGAACAACCGGTTTTCCATCAACAGTCCCACACTCATTGATTGTAATTGTACCACTGGGCTCCACCAAAGAGTTGATTCTATCAAGAACCTAGTAATGAAAAAGCAAATTAGATTAATGGCTCAGATAGTCAGTGCAAACAGGATTCTGGAAGATAAAAAGCTAACAGTTTTAAGAATATATCACATACCGTTGGATTACAAAGATTTGCATTCTCCAGAACTATCCATTCTCCATTTTCTATGGCCTTTATCAGTAACCCTGTAACCCATTCAAATTTAGCAGAATATGTTTGCTGCGTATCTTGCAACTTTAATATTGTCTTCATTGTACTATCCAGATCTTTACTTGACCAAGAAAGAGGTAAAACATTATTCTCAAGATCCAATCTCAGTTTCTGAATAATTTCAACCAATAAACAAAGTGAGTTGCCAATGCTCTTCCAATTCTCTGTATATGTAGAAGGTGAACTTGACATGAGAGTAAAATCCACACTAGATAAGAAAGCAAGCCACCTGGAGATTAAATCCTTTTTTTGACTGACAATTGCATCTACAGAGGACTTCAATTGCGAACTGCAATACTCATTAACATACCGCTCAACTTGAGCAACAACCAACCGAAAATTGCGAAAGGCATTGTATTGCTCAAAGCATCCAAGTAATTCAGATATGTCAGTTGCAGAAGAGAGATTTAATTCATTTAGTACATTTCCCGTTAGCTGAGCTAGCAATCTTATCAATGAAGTCTTTCCAGAAGACGGTGAGCCAACCAGAATGCATAACCATTGTTGTCGTACACAATGTGAGGCAGCTTGCAAGCTGTGACGAATACCTGGCAAAATTTTCAGCTGACTACTAGAAACTTTAGACGACTGAGTATAATTTCTTTTAATAGTTGTGTTCCCCACAACTAAGTTGTGAGCATTGAGCTGTACTCTTGGATAAGGATTTATAAATGGCTTCATCCCAAAAACCTCTTCATACAGCCGGAGAACATATCTACGGTCACTAGCAGTACGCATTCTTTGAATGTAGAGGATATCAAGAAAGAAATCAGTGTCTATCTTCGCAGGTGCACCTAAGTCTAAAACCATATCTACGAGTTAAACCAGGAATATATATGCTGAATAATAGAACATACTGAAAATAGGATAGCAATTAGCAAGAAAGAAAAACATAGCCAACCTTTTATAATCTGACATGACCTAATCACATCACGAAGGTTAAACTCCCAGGGCGAGCCATCCTGAGCAAAGTTGTGATATACCATGGTCTCTTCATGTAGCCGCTTATTAAATAAAATCAGCTTAGAAAGCACAGGCCTTGGGATTGATGGATACAGTGAACTACATATGAAAAGATAGTCACCCTCCACCAACTCATCAACATGTACCTGAAACCCAAAAAGAAAAAAAAAACACACACACACACAATGATGACATGCATTAATGCCAGGTTAATCATTCAGTTTCTTACGTGTTATAAATCCATAGCTGCAATGACAATTTGATAAACAAACCTTAGTGAACCGATTGAGAAAGGACCTCGGGAGGCCTTTTCTACCACCACCCTGATAAGAAGGATTTTGACATGCAAAAACTCTGAAAGACGGTGGACACCTAAAAGTTAGACCTAGCTCTGGAATGAAGACCTCACCACGATGATCCAAAATAGCATTCAAACCCTAATAAAAAAACAACTAATTACTACCATCAACATGTAACACAAAAAGTAACTAATAAAAACAAGTAAAAGCAACAGAGATAAAAACACTGCAAGTAATAGAATTAATAAGGTTTAAAAGCAGTGCCTCTAAAACAGATTGTGGAGCAAGATTAAGCTCATCTAGCAACACCCAACAACCCTCCTTAATAGCCTGCCAAGAAGAATGCAAGTATTTCAGTATATATTGCAAATGAACTAAACACAAAAGCGTTTAGGTAACACGTCTTAACCTGCAGTAAGATTCCATCGGACCATGCAAATTTCATTCCTTCATCACTCTCAACAGGCAAGTCGGACCCCAACAAATCCATTATGTCAGTCTGAAACCAAAGCACAATCACATTCATGTCCATTGAGAAGTTATAAGGCTGCAAACGAAATGGATGACACCAGAGGACAAAGAACAAACAGAGCAGACACAAACAGAAAACACTAACCTGCTCAGATAAGTTTATGCGTACAACTTTATGCCCAGAATATTTGCCCAAAGCAACAATTAGACTTGTTTTCCCAACACCTGGACTGCCTTCAAGTAACACTGCAAAATACAAGATGATCCGAGATGTAAAATAGCATGAAGCTCAAAAACACCCAGGCGGAGTTTGGGGAGATCCATCAGCAATAAAAGAGACAAACCAGGCTTCGAAAGCTGCATAGCTCGCAATACCCGCAATGCATTTCTACGTGTAGTTGGTGCCAAAAATTCAAAACCTCCAATCTCAGTGTTTTCATGACCTGCAGATATAACCCACAGATTGTCAAGGAAATATAATTGCACGAGTATAAGTCTTTAGAGGACAAGGATTCAAATTGTATATTTGCACAGATATTAAACTGAACTTCCACCAATAGTTGGCTCATTTGAGATTTCATTAAAAAAAAAAAATAGTCAAAGAAACAAAAGAATGACAATCCAACAGGAGCATCATATTTGTAACTTTGTCCAAGAAAGCAACCAGCTGCACCAAATTAATAGTCATCACTAAGTTGCAACTAGTTGTGTCCGCATAGCAAGATAAAACTATCAATGATTCAAAAGATCACCTTTTTCAATGTAAAACGGATCAATCCCAAAGACATTGTCACATTGCATATCATGATTGTGTGAAATATCAACACTTGTTCCAATATCACCCCAACCATAATTTTCCATAGTTGACAGTTTTGCTGAAAGCGCATTGTTATCTTCCACCTATATTAGTAGAAAGGAAATCATGGCCTCATATATACTACGAAAATTCAAACAAGGTAAGAAAAAAATAGTTACAAATAGTTTTCAAAATGTGCACTAAAAGAATAATAATAATAGTGTCACAGTAAAAACTTGCATAAGAACACGGATAGATGGCTAAAGCTTTCTATAATTTATTTGAAAGAAAAGGCTTGGCAACAATACATAACAAGGAAAACATTAAAACAGTGATGATAGACAAAGTGCTGTCCCAGTCAGCAATTAATCAGATCTAACTACAAACTGGCTGCAAAAAAACAATATTTCAGAAGCCCATTCACATAACCCTCCTAATAAATCTTATTGATGCTACAACAAAACTGGATTGGAAGATACAAAGGGACAAGAAAGTTGAGAACAGGTCTATAATATTGCCAATAATGAAAACAGCATTGCAACAGATCCAATAAACGGAAATGAGTAAGAAGTATGAAAGAAAAGTTGAAGATTAAGAAGTTCAACAAAGAAGTGAAATAAATTAGAGTATTTATTTAAAATTCCTAATATCTTTTAGGTATTCAGCAACAATCCTATGCATTTAACTTTTGTGAGCGAGTCCTAACACATTCTTAGCCTAGATATCAAAATCCACTATTCCTAGAAGCAACTGCAAATGGATGATACTGCATTAGAGATGGGAAGATTTCTCACCAAGAACGGTATGACTCCGAATAATAGATAAAGTATCACTTAATCTGATACTACAAAACTACAGAAATTGGTTAACTTTTATTTTTTTTATGAAGGAAACTAATAGTTCAACAATAACGGATATTTAATGCATCGACCAATGGAGTTGGAAAAACTGATTGATAGTCCATTCATTTAACGGTCAAAAGCAGAATAAATAGAAGGAAACACACCTTTAGCTGTTCCAAAAGAAAAGACAAGCATCTATTTCTCAACTCGCCAGCATCACTTTTAGAAATACCAGTGCCTAAGAAACATGTGCAAAAGAAACAACATAAGAGAGGAGAATAAGGGTTAAAAAAATCAAGAGTGTTTCATTCAATGGAAAATTTTAACAAGCACTCACCACTTAATAACTAAAACAAATAAAAACCAGTTACCATCAATAAAATAGAGAAAATAGGGCATATTGTAGCCTAGAAACTATATAGTATCCTACTTAAGCTGCATTCAAACTTCGACATCAAAGCTCCCTTGTGTACTAAAGTGTAACAGAACAGGCAAGCTATCTGGTGCAATGTCAAGGCATATTTGAACAAAGAAGTGCTAATTTTGACGCCTTTCAAGCGACATAAAGGGAAAACAGATCATTGAAGCCAGAAGACTAAACTCATCAAGATATGTACACAGGATAATACTAATCCACAATTCTTTCATGGATCTTCAGTTCGGAAGATGCTAAAATTGATACAACTGATAAATGATTCCCAGACAGTGTATCATGTCTGTTTCTGAAAATAAATGCGAGAAATCACAAAAAGCAAATGTAAACCGAAGTAAGAAACTACCTAAACTCAATCCATCAAGCAAAATAAGGAAAACCCCATGAAGCAATGCATAAGCAGGCCCTAAACTTGTCTCTGTCACATTAATGAAGGAAATCCAAGACAAGAGGTCTCTCACAGTAAGTGCTCTTCCTGCTTGTAATTGGCGGAACCACTGTATAGAAGAGCAAATAACAGAAACCAAGTAATCAAACCAATAGAACAATAGCACAGACACCATAAATAAGACCAACCATCATTGTATCAGTAGCCACATATCCCATCAAGAACATATCAAAAGTCTGCCTAAAGTGCTCATAAATGCTTCAAAGGTACAAAAGTTTAAGAGTTTGTGACAAGTACAGGTGCAATCATGCAGGTACCAAATAAAGTCATAATGTAACACGAAGCTAGAGGCAACGAACAGATACAAGTTTAACAAGGATAAAACAAAAACTACAATCATAAATGACTAGCCTAACAATATCAATTTAGACAAGGTAAAACAGACAACAAGTTCTAAAAGCAAGACAACCATGATTATGAAGCACTTCAATCCTTACAGGAATCTAGGAGTTAACAAAGACCCCCATTGACATAAAAATGAAGAATATATAATAAGAACTATTCTCCACTTAAAAGGTGTATCTAGAGTTGGCTATGGTATAATACAAGATCATGAAATGCAATGGTATGCATAGTAGAGAGCTACCTGTGCCAAAAATGACACCTGAGTTGTCCCCATGAACCCGACAGCATACAATAGAATTAAAAAATCGGAACTTACCTCCCAGAAACTTAGCATAGGATCCACCAATAATGAAAGTCCAGGGTTGGCAACTCTGCAAAAATAAACTTCTCTGATTACGATTATGCAAGAGACTACATTTATATGAACTAACCCAATAAATATGCTCCCCAAAAACACAAACCTTTGCAAAGCAATGTTTCTTAGCTCATCTACATCACTAACAGGAGGAACCCATATCTCAGTGAACCGATTACGAAGAGCTGGAGATAATTCCTTCTTACCATAATCACCACCAGGATTCATTGTTGCCAAAACAAAGAAATTTTTTTGAGCAGTGATGTTTTCCAGAACGGGCCCTCCTTTCTCAGCCAAAGACTGGAAAGACAAAACCAGCGACAATAACAAGGCTAAGTCTGATAATTCATGCAACAAAATAACTCAGGAATCATCAAGTAAACGAGGTTCCAAGAATAGGGCTACCCACCAATTTTCTTTCTGGCTCCAACACACTGTTCAATCTTTCCAGTACACTATCATCAGCCAAGGAAATTTCATCCACAAGAAACAGACTACCCTCCTTCATTGCTTCAACAAGAGGACCATCATGCCACATAAAGATAGTTTGCCACCTCTGGTAGAGCTGAGTGAGGTCTGATATCAGCTGTTCAAGACTGTCAAGATCTTGTGGAGTCACTGCAGCACTTGGAACCTGACTTTCTCTATACCATTTAATTATTGTAATCAACTTATTAAGAGTAGAAGAAGCCTGACTGATGTCTGAAGAAATGGTCTACAAACAAGGAATGCATGAGAGAATATAAGTACCTGATAAGACCAATCATAATCTCAAGATAGCATAGTTTATGATTATCATTAAAAAAATTACCGTCTCCCCAGGATACTTAATTAAAGCCTTTGACATCCTCAATTGTTCAATTAGATATTTGAATTCAGACATCAGTCTTGATCTATCTCGAACAGGATAGAAACCCTGTTAAACAGTTCATCAGTGTACATTTAAAGACCATTAAACCAGTCAAAACATGCAAGCAGATAATTGAACAAATAAAAGTAGCAACAAACCCCAATAAAATCAGATGTTTCAGTGTACTGGTGGCAATTCAAAATACGCAATTTGGACCCCAATACCAAACTCAGCAATTGACAGACAGTTGTCTTTCCACCACCGGTTTCACCAACAAGCAGCACAGGTTCACGTAACTCATAGCAACGCTTTACAAGAAAGTACAATCTCCACATACTTGTTGTACAGATGACACTGCAAGGAACCAATTAGTAGTAAGATAATGACACTTAAATACAATAAAGCAAACCCATCAGCAACAAGAAAGAAAATGTTCTATGATTCATACTTTCCAAGTCTCTCTGAAACTGAGTCACTTCCAGCAACTTCCTGAGTTATCCACAAAAAAGAAAAAGCACTTCAGATTATTCATCACTGAATCAATCCTTCCAAAATGATAAACCAATGAAATGAAAATAATAGAATCTGAGTGTTTAAAACATAAAAATAAATCAATAACAAAATTTCTGTAGAGCAGAGCAAAATACTGCGTTAACACCACAACTAATTACTTTATGATGTAGTAGGCAACGTTTTGCATGTGATAGTGAGATACAAAAGTACAATACCTTTTGGTACAAGTCTTCTTTCACAAGTCTTACACGAAGATGTTTCTCCAAAACTTCTTGAACCACACATTTCTCACCATCATCACGCAGCCTTTCTGCCAGAAGATAATAACCATCCCTGGCCAAATCTTCATAAGACTTTCCAAAAGCCTTAAAACGAGTAGCCCACCTAAACAAGTCTCGTGGAGTTATGAATCCATGTTTTCCAGCAAATACCTTGCTACTTTGCCTGTGCAACTGCAAGTCTTTCATGACTTCAACCATCTTCTTAGCATAGCTTTCAGGGATTTGACACCTCTTTTCTAATATCATGCTCAATTCATTTTCAGGGATTTCATCAACATGAATCTCAACAAAACGGTTGCGAAAAGCTCGAGAAAGCATTTTACGGCCACCATAGAAAGTAGGTGGGTTTTGAGTGGCAAAAAGCATAAAATCTGGATGCGCCTTTATAGTCTCACAGAGTTCAGGCACAAAGAGCTCTCTGTTGTCATCTAGCAAACGGTTCAATGCTTCCAGCACATCAGACGGAGCTAAGTTAAGCTCATCTAGGACAATCCAATGACCACTCCTGACAGCCTTAACCAATACTCCTTCATGAAATACAAGCTTCCCAGAAGCATCAGTTATGTAAGAACCCAAATATTCCTGCAGATCAGTATGCTCATGATTATTTATTCGCACAAACTCATGACCAGTTATAGCAGCAAGATATTGCACAAGACTAGTTTTCCCACTAGATGTTGGCCCCTGTAAGAGAATTGGATATCTCTTAATAAAGATTGCACGTGCCAGATTGCTAAGATGTTCTTTAACACTTTTCGTAAGAACGTAGTTCTTCAAGAATTCATCCGACTCTGAGAGTTCTCTATTAACTACCAAGTAAGCATCAAAAGGTACAGGTGGAGGCGTACTTTTCCCTACTACATAATCAATCATCTGTTTCATAATCTTCGCACTGGGTCCGTCTAACAATGTGAGGAAAAACATGCAGACCCCATCGTAAAGTGCTTTCCGAAAACCAAATTTTTTCTCTGCCTTCCTTGTAAATTCCAGAGCACGATATAGAGACCTTAAGCTGTACTGTGGTTTCTGATTAGCCCCATCCTGCAACTTTTCTTCTGATTCTTTTTTGGCTGCTTTGTAGAAACACCTAATTTTTTCCACTAATTCTCTGTTTGATCTGCCTTCACCCAAAAATCTCTCAATAAATAGTTCTAAGTCTTTGTCATCTAATATGTCATCAACAAAGAATTCCGTAAATCTACTGCGTACAGAGTAAGGCAGGTCACGCTTCCCAGCATCAGTTGCAGGGTTCATACAAGCAAATATACGAAAATTAGGATGTCTACATATATGACTGGCATCCCCTCTTTCAGCTAAACATAGTGAACCACTTTCTCCTTCAAGAACGCCAACAATTCTCTGCAAAGTCTCTGGAGGAGCCAAATTCACCTCATCAAGCAAAATCCACTCACCTTTTCTAAGTGCACTTACAAAAGCTCCTTCTACAAATGAAAATACCATTCCAGATGCAGCAATTTGTCTGCCAGCCGTTTCAAGTTTCATAGAAAAATTCTCCCACTGCTCATCCAACGGTTTCTTCCGCTTTTTTACCTTCTTTTGGTAGTCATCAACATACTTTCGAAGTCCTTTTAATAATTTTTTCCAATCCTTATCCCTCAAAATCTTTTGCAGACGGGTGAAAATTGTTTCATTTCCCTAGATGTAAGAATACAACAGCACAAGTTATCTATCAAGTCTATCTAACACAGGATAGTCAAACAGAAAAGAAAAATGTATCTATTGATTTTTGTGAAAATGAATGTGAATAAGAAAAAAAAAAATCTATTACGAAGAAGAAAAATATTATCCTAAATTATTAGAATACCGTTCGGGAGAATGTCTTAGAAAACAAATACTCAAACTCCTTATATAATGGAGTGCATATGAATCGTGCATCCATAGGCTTAAATCCTCCTAATAAATCAGCAACGTCGCTCTGTTGACTCAAGTTCTGGAAAAGAAAAACAGAATCATAAGAGATCATCACCCGCCTCAAAAAAGGGGGAGGAAGGAAGAGAGATCCACTACCGACATACCAAAACAGTAAGTCTCTGACCAAGCATCCTGGCCATATTCTGCACAAGTGTAGTCTTCCCAGTACCAGTTTCACCAACCAACAGAACAGGCTCATTGTACTTTACAGAGCAAGCTATTCTCTCAAGTGCATGCAGAGAACTCCGAATATTAACAAACTGTCTACTCTGGTCATGTAACTGTAACAATACATGAAAATATCAACAAAAGATAGTTATCCACAGAATATCTTTGGGACAACAAAACCTGAAAATCAAGGCAAGTTTAAGTGCATACACCAACAGCTTCATTGCATTGAAGGATAACTCGTCCAATCCTTAGTTCTAAGGGGGATTTCTGCAAATCAGTGGCAAACATAAGAACTAATAATATCTAACAAATAGAATTATGCATATTAACTTGAAAAAATAGACACCTGGATAACAGGTTCATGGGAAGGGTATAAGGTCTCAGCCATTGAAACAGGAACTGCCCACATTTTCGCGAGTTCTTTCATCATAGTCAAACGGCTTGCAGCAGATGTTGAAAAAGATGCAAATATATCTACAGCCTGAGAACAGAGAACAATATACTCAACAATTATGTAGATGAACAATAAAGGATACAGAAAAGCAAGAACAAAGAAGAAAACTGACCTCTTGATAGATGAATTGACACTCATAAGGTGACAAACCATTTAGCCTTGAGCTAAAATCAAAACCCGCAATTCGCTTGCACCATTTGAGAAGATCCCTGCCATTAGAAATGAAGGAAAATGCAGTAACCGATTTTCAATTGACCTCAACATGTGACATTAAAACTACAATGCAGTCAGATACCTTAATGAGAACCTATTGAGAGAAGCAACTTGGTGCAGGGGGTAAGAGTTAATTCTTTTGAAGGTCTCTGCCATATACATCAGCAATTAAAGCTAAGACATTTTTAACCTGAAACCATAAAAAAAATAAAAAAAAATAACATATAACTACACCCACCTATAAGTCTATCAGCAAGGGACTCCAGATTTGGATACCATGCTTTCACTATATTTTGCAAGTCATCATTACTTGGTGGCATAATCATCACTCTCCTCCAGACATTACCAAGTGAATTCCCGCCTACCACCAAAAAAAAAAGTAACTTAAACATAGAGAAACAGTTTTCTTAAACCGTTCTTATAATAGTGACAAACAAAATAATAAATGTAAAAAAATATGCAAGCAGACTAATGAAAGTTCTAAAATTTTTATATTGTGTTTTGGGGACTCTTTTGGGTCATTTGAAATGGAAGGAACCAAAGAATTTTCGAAGGTGGTTGTGAAGCTGAGGTGGAAATATCATAGACAGAAAAAGTTCAATCCTAGCATGTGTGTGATGTCATTTATGAAGAAATTTCAAAATAAATCTTTTTCTCTATATTCTAAGAGATTGGGGGCTTTAGTTTGATTTTTTTTTTTTTTTTTTCCCTCCTTTTTTTCTCTGGTGGAACATGTGGATGATACAAGTGAACCACTGGTTCACAAAACTATGTAATTTCTGTTTCTACTAATCAAATCTGTTCTTTTTTAAATCAAAAAAAGAAGAAGGAAATAACAAAGTCAAATAATTGAAACCAACAAGCGAGAAAAAGAAAAGTGCAGGTGATTATGAAACTAGATTGGGATACAAACCTTCAGTACCATGAGATACATCAAGCTTGGAAGTTGAAATGGTAGAAAATAGTCGAAAACTTTCTGCCACCCTTATTTCCTGCAAAATCCACACACTTGAGTTTAAAAACACGAAAAGTAGACAACAAAGAAAAAAAAATTGTTGTGGGAACTCATGCTCAGAATAAGTTGAAAAATAAATGTCGCATAGACTTTCATAAGTATTGTATTAAACCAAGAAAAGGCACATATAAATAAGACAGATAGTCATAGAATGCAAAACAAGTAATTCAAGCAAACCTTGAGGTATAAAAGTGCTATTCAATACAAACATCATCAAGCCTTTTAGTCTAATAAAAAGTTCCCGAGTGCCACGGAAACAAAATTCAGTGCAAATATTCAACACAGAACCACGGCTAGCATACTAGAGCCCATCAAGAAATACAATAAATCATGAAAGACAACACAATTAAATATATAAAAGCAACATATAGTACCTAAATAAGCCACAAAGGAATTGGACATAGATGTTAGCATTGCATCACTATGTAATGATCAGAAATCCAATGTGATGCATTATGTGGATTGTGTAAAAAGTAATTACCTCCCCATGGCCAGTTATGAATGAGCTTGCACCTTCCAATAAAGGTAACAAAATGGATTGCACATCCGATGGAGCTTTATCAATATCCTCAAAAACAACCCAATACCCATTTAGAATAGCCTGTAAAGGAAGACAATTTGAAGCATTACAACATGGTAAAAAGATAAAATAAAACAAATAGCAATTATTCGAGAAGGAACCAGACCTGGGTGAGAGAGCCAGGTTGCCATCTAAATTCACCAGGTTGCTCAGTACAAACATAACTTCCAATTAATGTTTTGCCGTCAACTTGATCATCCATGTGAATTGATAGAACTATAAGATAGGAGGAGGACAGAGAGAAAGTTTGACTGTTAAAGAGGTATCGTCAAGTAACAATATAAAGAAAAAACCAAGAGAAAAAGCTCATGGACATGCCGCAAGTACTGACACAGGTTCTAAATTTACAGGATTCACTTCAATAAACATATCATGAAAAGAGACTTCTTACAACATTCAGTGGCATGCAAAAGTAATTTAGTTACAGATTGCAAACATATCCAAAAAAAAAAAAAAAAAAATCCTTAAGAATTTGGCACTCCAAAGCCATGGTCAATGACTACATTGTCTAATTCAAACTACCCACTGGTTCTTCAGAGATAAGGCATGCAAAGCCAACATAATCGAGTAAAATGGGATTTGCAGAAAAAGGAAGCCATGTCACATAATATGTAAACAATAAATTTATTTTCAAAACTAAACAATCACACTCAAAGTGATTAATTTATGAACTACTCATGCCTCTTATGTCCAAAGGCCAAAAAAAGCAGTTTCATAAGACAGAATACAATCTAAAATAGATGCAATACAGGAACTAATAAGTGAACAGAATTTAATAGAAAAATAGGCCCAATTTACAGGCTAAATTAATTTTCCCAAAAACCACAATTCTTTATGCAAAAGGAGTTTAGAGACGTAAAAGTATCGATAATAAAGATACCTATCTTACAAATAGAAAATTACCTTGGTTACCACTTTCACATGCCAACTTATTAATAAGGGCAGATTTTCCAGAGCCAGCAGGGCCGTACAGAAGAACAGGCCACTTTTGACTAACTGCCAACAAGACAACCTCAAAACTTCTCTTCACTGTCGATGTCAAGACAAATGGATTCCCATCCAATTTATCATCCCTGAATTCCAAATGGGCTTAATGTCAGTATGTTCCTTTAAAAACTAGTCATGAGACCTAAAAGTCTAAGGAAATGTTTTATGACAGTACAATAATAGATAGAAATATTCTTCAGTTTGAGAATCCTACCATGTCACCAATCTTCGACGTCTGGTTGATGGCTCAATTTCATGAAACTGTGATGAGGGTAGTGAATTAAGGCCAAAACACTGCAAACAATTTTCTTGATTGAAACTGAAGTCACCAGTACTAGAATCCAGGTTATTGCTGTTAGGTGATTCGATATATGAGCCAGCCCGCTCTAATGATGTATCGCGACAAAACTCCTCCCACCTGAAAATTGAAAAATTAAGAGAAATGTTGTAGGATTGACGAGCAAAATATTTAAACAATTATTTGTTAGAAAGCCTTTATTAAAAAGATAAACAAACGAACCGCAATAAACATGAAAGTGCTTCTTCAGCTTCAACACCAAAGTTTGAAATTGCTCTATCACTCATTCTGAAAGTTAGAGAAAGTATCTGAACTCCACACCATCTAATGTCTGCAATATCCTTCTTCAATTCGGCATCACTGCTCAAGTTGGGGTTTCCAAATTTCTTAACAAGATCCAAGAAACAGGACCAATCCCAAAGTTTACGAAAAATCTCAGGCTCAATTATGAGGAGGCGATAAGATGTCCTAATAGCATTCAAGTAATGACTTACCACCTGAAATAGAAAAGAAAATAATCTGGAATGTGACCAAAGAACAAACTAAACATTCATGAAATACAAAAAAAGAAGATATTCTGCTAAAACAATGGCACATTTCCTGCTTTGCAATCTCAACAGAACACACAAAAAATTATTTTTAAATATTATGTTCCTTCTTGGTAAGTTCCATACACACACCAACTTATACCATTTAATGTCTACACCAGAACTGGAGGATCATAATCCAGAAAAATCAAGGTGCAGAGACAGAGGAGTGGATTTCCAATATATTGGGTGAATATAAAACAAGGCAAGGCTAGTTCCAGTATTAAAACTGATCAACGTACAATAAAATAAGAGGAAGGATATAAATTTATAAGTCTAACCTCACTTTTGTAGAATTTTCTAACAGAACCGATACATCAATCAATGTCCAAGAAAAATGAGACTCTTTATTTGATCAGATTTTTCACATAGACTATATATCAACCCAAGCAAATTGTCAAGAGATTGTAAATGGTACAAGAGGACAATCATTAACAAGGGAAAGCCGGTGAGGGAAGTTATTATGGTCTACCAATTATGCCAAAAACCTTTATGGGCCTTCGGACAGCTTACCTTTTTGTAGGTCTTGTATATTATTTTTTCTTAATACAAATTTTCTTGTTTCCTAGCAAAAGATTATATATATAATCTTAATATGCCTTCAATATATGATACAAAATATTTCAAAAAATCTTACACATTATTAACGAAGTGAGGCAAAATTTGTAACATAAACAATTTCATACACAGACTAAGCTGTATTATGCATATTACGGTTAATTCAATACAGATATAGCGGGTACTAAGAAGGTGAGCAAGAGTTTCACAAATAATTCATCCAAGAGAATCCTACCAGGAATACTTGTACATACCTTTACAGACAACTCGTGGACTGTTCTTTTTATCAAAAACCGTTCAAAAGGTGGTGGAGCAAATTTAAAATATGTTAATACAGACCTGCACCAAACAACCAAGCATGAATCAAGCACATAAGGAAGATCGAAGAAAATGTCAATTTAAATTTAAATTTCCTAAAACAACCATTTAGACAACAACCAGTACTTGGCTTTATAAAATGGGTTTGTTTCACCTGATTGGCAACTCAAGAGCTCACTAATAGATGCACAAAACTCGATTTCACAATGTTTAGAATTCTTTAATTAGTTAGAGAAAATGGGACACTGAAAAGATATGATTGGTGTGATGCATTGCATGATTTTTGTTGTACAATTAGAAAAACCTATCAACCAAGATATCTCACACTTGATAAGCTTCTCACCCTGTTCTTTATCTATTACTACAGCAGGATGCTGGCCCTTCTCAAAAAATAAGATGAAGGCAGATTAGAGTATAAGTTTTCAAAATAAAAACAATACTGAAACTTTTAAATTAAATTAGTTTTTTTAATAAGAAACTGATCCTTGCATTAAAGTAATTAGCAATCAGAAGCAACCATAAATTGTTTATTGAAAGAGTGGCTTCTAGTATGAGCAAAACCTATTAAGTATACATTCTATTCATCAATTCCTACTTTCTTTTAAACTATTTTTCCTCATCCACAAATTAATGTATGCACAAGTGTTATTTATAGAAGGGAACAAAGAATATACAAAAGTGTACCCAAATAAAAAAGGAGCCAAATCAAGCACTCTACAGAAGGCCAAGCAAGCAAGCTCGTGAAGATTCAATCCCCTCCCACTTTGAACATGAAACTGGATAACATTAACAACATTCACATCATCAAAATGCCCTGAATCTTCCATTTGGTCATCTGAATTCAACCTCAGATCAGGTACAAGACGAAGCAAAGCCACAGCTTTATCCATAATTTTCCGTGCTATTGGTCGGAAACACCCTATCAAAGGTATTGTATAATGCGGGTGCAAAGACAACTCGGCCACTGAATTTACCACTTCTTCTTCTGTCAAGTCACGTCCCTGCACAACCCAATAAATCACATTTCAGTAGAAAACACAACAGTTGTGGCACTCTTCAAAAAAACTTTAATTGCCACCATAGAATGAATAATACCAAAAGGATATGATATAAAACCCCATATTTCCAATTCTTTTAAAATTCCCTAGTTAATTTGAGTTTAAAATTTCCTCAGAGTGAAAGCCGGAAGTTATTATAAACTCGAATTTCTCCTCATTTTCACTTTCCTATCCATAACTAAGCCAAGAATGGTCAAGCATACCTTTTTAGCAAGTGAACTAAAACGTGGTAGACACCCAAGCTTGGGACACCGGGCAAGGAACCTCTCGAGCGCGGATTCAAGACTGAAACTCCCATCAATTGCCATTTTAAACTCAAAGTATATGTATTCACAAACCTATAAGTCAAAATTGTGTATATTGAACTTTGGATTGCTAACAAAAATGATATACAACTTCAAATGCAAGTCTTTTTATCAAGCAAAACCTGCATATCACCAAATAATATTACAAATAATCAGTAGCATGAACTTAAAGATAAAAAAGAAGAGCTAAAAAGTACTGAAACTGAATTAACTGGAATTCAAATTTCATAAATACCCAACAAGAAAACGTGTTTTGAAGTTTCAAAAAAAAAAAACACACAACTTTTTATTTCCGTAGGAGAAAACTTCAGCGAAAATTTTAAAAAAAAAAAAAAAAAAAAAAAAAAAAGAACTTTCTAGTTTAAATTTGATTTTTCCCTGAACAAACCGTACCCTTTGGACCAACAAAGAATTCCCATAAAGAATTTTCAGCACTGGTCTTTGTAGGAGAAACTGTAAACTCTCCCGGAAATTTTCTGTTATGTTCCCGGGAAACAAACACTGGTTGAAACGCAGAAAAATTAAAACTGACAAAGTTTTGGCTAAAAGATCGATTCTTTGTTTTATGAACTGGGTCTTCCCACTGTTGTTCACTTCTCCTTTTGCAGTCTCTAGCACAGGGTTTAGGGTTTTGCAGTAAGTCATAGCATATATATACATTTTGAGAGTGTGCCGCTTATAAAAGTTGGCGGGAGTCGGCGGCTCGGCTTAGTTGGGGCTTGTTGTTCAAGTTTTAAAACTTTGGGGTTTTTAAATCTTCATGTTAGAAAGGGGTTATTTTACTCCCAATATTTTTAATATATTACTATATACCCCTAAAAATCTACTCTTTAACTATTAAATGCCCATTTCAAAATGAGAAAAATTCGTCACGCAGCCTACAGTTTCTGAAATGCATCAAATAAGGACCAAATTCCAGACGACGTGTAATATCTGTTAGGGCTTGAAGGGTTGAATTGTCTTTTCAATTTTTATGCTTAAAATATTAAAAATAAAACATAAACTCGGTTAATTGACTTAAATTTTCTAAACACCTTCAAGAATGGTAAACTTATAAAAGAAGGTTCTGGTTAGTACAAGCCTCACGAATCATATATATTTATAACATGAACTGTGATATATTTAAGTTGGCGTTTAGTATGATGTTTCGTTTCATGTCACAAATTTTGTATTTCACGTTATAAGCTTGTGTATTCTAACAATATTATTGAAATAATACTATACATACTTAATTATAAATTAATTATTACAAATCAACAAAGATTTTACAATGTCATTGTTATATTATTTAATTTAACTTTGTTTAGTTTATGTTTTATTTTCGCTAATTCCTTTCTTGTTAAGTTGATGTACATGCACACACAAAGAGACAGATACAAACACACACAAAGATATATAATTGTATATACCTCAATTGTAGATTAATTAATATAGTATGTATATTCAAAACCACTCGAAGTTTATACAAAAAAAGTATCGTAATTTTCGGAAAGTAAAGGCATAAATTCAATTGAATTTGCTAGAAATGTCATAAGTCCAAATCGAGTTCGGTTCATACAGGTTTAGCTGTAACCTAAACTAATGAATGTCAAACTCGAACCCCGATATTTAATTGGCTACATATCTTATCATGATCTCGACCAAAGAAATATATGGGACCTTGCCATTTATACTCAATCCAAATATTACTTGATCGAGATAACTGGGGTCCCTAGGATTAGCATGAATTAAGTATATAAGATTACCATTTTTCAGGTAATTTTTTGAGCTACAAAGATGAAATTTTTGTTTTTGTTCAAGAAATTTCAGAAATTATTGGCTGTAAGCCTGTAACCACTCGCCACAACAATAAATTCAAGAAAGTAGATGTAATTTTATGATGAAAACGGAGGCTAATTGAACAAGAAGTGATGTTTCTTTTTATGTATCTTTTGGGCCATGCTCAACCACCATTGGCCCAATATTTGTGTTTGGGCCTGATCCATAACTCTAAAGCCTAAAGGCCATGTAAATGTACTAAAGTCCTCTCACATGGAATTATGTTGTTTGTTAAGCAAATATATATATATATATATCTTTATTTATTTATTTTTCTCTATTGCATGAATGAATTAATCATCATCAAGCAATGGTAAAACTTGATAGAGGTCATGTTAATGCTTATATGATTATAATATAATCACTAAGTTTCAAACCAAAATTGTATATTTTACTAAGATCTTGGCAACAAATTTTAACTATTTTAACCATAAGGAGAATTTATAAGAATTATTTTAAGTAAAAAAAAAAAAATTATTATTCAACTAAACTTCAAGCTTTAAATATAATCGTCCATCAAAATCATATATTTTCAATCTCAGGAATGGAGGAAAAAACATGAGATTTTGTAGAGTTTTTGCTTTTTAAGATTCACATAATCCGTTATTCTCAAAAGTTACTTCTGTCTCAAGTTATAGCAAAGCCAAAAGTGTAAAGGAAACTGATTTATTCTTTGAGTAAAGATCATCTTCTCCCAACAAATATCATTCAAATTCTTTACTTCAAATGACCTTCTACACTTTGCATCAAATTCTTTCTTTCTTCAAGAGTAGCTTGTTGAAAGTTTAATCATTAAAAAATCAATTGGATTATTTTAACTATTCTTGTATCATTATAATAGCTTGTAGATTGAAGAGACTTCCTATTTTACAATAAAATATGCTCAAAGAAAAGAATGAAGGAATTGCTTGGATAACACTTGATACTTTAACTAGTATCAAAGCAAAACTTTGGTTTGGATTTATTCCTTGGTCTTTTGCATACACTATAAAAGTTGAATGGATGTTACAGCATCGTCAGAACATAAGCAAACCAAATATTTCGATTTCTGATCAATCTTTGTTTAATCACTTACCATCATTCAATATGGCTGAAGCGCTTGTTTCCACTGTCTTGGAACAATTGGCTTCCATCGGTTGCCAACAGGCAGAAGAAGGAATGAGGCTGATTGCGGGTGCTAAGCAAGAGGTTGAGAAACTTCAAAGCAACTTCGTGGCCATTCAAGATGTGCTTATTGATGCTGAGAACCGACAAGTGAAGGAGAATGCTGTGAGATTTTGGTTGGCCAAGCTTAAGGACGTGTCTTATGACATTGACGATGTGTTGGATGAGTGGTACACGAAGCTTCAGATTTTAAGAATTAAGAAAGATGAAGATGCTTCTAAGCCTCTAAAAAAGGTACGTTCCTTCATTCTTCACTGTCTCGGTTGTAGGCCATTGATTCTGCGTCATGATATTGCTGTCCAGATAAAAGATCTTGATAGAAAATTAGATATTATTTCTACTGAGAAAGAGAGGTTCCACTTTAGATCAATCACTGAGAGTAGTAAAGAACTAGAACGGCCAATGACAACCTCTGTTATTGATTTAACAGAGATTTTTGGAAGAGACAATGATAAGAATACAATAATAGATTTTTTGCTTACTCAGAGTAGTCATACACAAGACCTCCACATTATCTCTATAGTAGGGATGGGAGGAATTGGTAAGACTACTCTTGCTCAATTAGTTTTTAATGATGATCAAGTGAACACCTATTTTGAAGAAAAAATATGGGTGTGTGTTTCCGAGCATTTTGATGAGCTTAGGGTTGCCAAAGCAATCCTTGAATCTCTTAACAATGATGCACCAAGCTTAAATGAGTTAGAAACTGTGGTGCGAAACATACGTCAACATATTGATGGAAGGAAGTTTCTTCTTGTCCTAGATGACATATGGACTGAAAATCCCAAACACTGGGATCAATTAAAGCACTCTCTTAAGTGTGGATCTCTAGAAAGTAGAATTTTGGTGACCACACGTAAGGAGAGCACTGCAAATGCTATAGGAACCACCAAAATAATACCACTAGGGACATTATCTGAGGAAAAATGTTGGTCATTGTTTAGTAAAATTGCGTTTTCAAGAAAAAGCAATGAAGAATCTAATGAATTGGTAGAAATTGGTAGGGAAATTGTTAAAAAGTGTAAGGGTTTGCCACTTGCAGTAAAGACTTTAGCGAGTCTTTTGTGTTTTAAAAGAAAATTTGTCGAGTGGAAAAATATCTTAGAGAGTGAAATTTGGGAATTAGAAGAGGTAGAACAAGAGGTTTTTCGACCTCTACTATTAAGTTATTATGATTTATCCCCTACTTTGAAAAAATGTTTCTCATATTGTGCCATTTTTCCAAAGGATTACGAGATAGAGAAAGAAAAATTGATTAGGTTATGGATGGCTCAAGGTTATGTAAAGTCAAAACCAAATAAGGACATGGAGTTAATTGGTGAAGAGTATTTTGAGACATTAGCAATGCGTTCTTTCTTTCAAGATTTTAAACAATATGATAATGATATTGATATATTTTCTTGCAAGATGCATGATATAGTGCATGATTTTGCTAAATTTCTTACCCAAAATGAATGTTATACAATAGAGGTTGATGATATGAGAGAAATTAAATTAGAATCTTCTTATCATAAAGTTAGACATTCAATGATAATGATTCATGGAAAAGCCTCAAGTTTTAGATGGCTTTATGGTGGGATTGAAAGAGAGGTCTCATTTCCTAGCTCTATTTATACTGGAAATACTTTTCTACGTAGCCTTGTAGTTGATGTTAATTCCATTGATTACCATAAGATATTTTTGTCCAAATTAGTTGATCAGATGACATGTCTAAGGTCATTATGTTTGAAAGGATGCTCAATTAATGAAATTCAAGTAGAAATCAAAAAATTAATACACTTGAGATGCCTTAATTTGTCTGAGAATAGAAGATTAAATGAATTTCCTGAGACATTGTGTGGGTTATATAATCTACAAACCTTACTCATAGGTTATTATAATATCGAAAAGCTACCTCAAGGGATTGGAAAGCTAATCAACTTGCGACATTTTTCTAGTTGGTGGACTAATACAATTTACATGCCAAGAAGTTTGGAGCGACTAACTAGTCTACGAACGTTAGAATATTTTGTTATAAGTGAGGGTAGTTATGGTAGCAAAGCATGTTCTGTTGAATGTCTAAAAGCCTTCAATCACCTTCGAAAATTAGGTATAAAAGGGTTTGGAAATTTGCGAGAGGTGGATGAGGTTAGGGGAATAGAATTAAATAATAAGAAAAACTTGCGTGATTTGTATGTAGGCTTTGAGGGGAGGATGAATGATGAGCAAAATCAAGAACTTCTTGAAGAGTTGCAACCACATCCAAATTTAGAGATATTAAGGCTACGAAATTATAGTGGCAACACTATTTTCCCTAATTGGATGATGTCATTCACCAATTTCAAAAAGTTATTTCTTTGGAATTGTATAAACTGCAAGCATCTGCCTCCTTTGGGTAAGTTGTCATCCCTTGAAATTCTTCAAATTTGGAAATTGAAGAGTGTGAAAAGAGTAGATAATGAGTTTTTGGGAATAGAGAGTGATGTCACATCATCATCTACATCAATTATTGCGTTTCCCAAATTAAAATATCTTGACTTTGAGGATATGATAGAATTGGAAGAGTGGAATTATGAGATTACAAAGAGAGGAGATGAAGATATTAGAGTCATGCCATCTCTTCAGACCTTGAAACTTTATTCTTGCCCCAAATTGAAGTCTCTACCAAACCATCTCAATCAGATGACAACGTTGAAGAAGGAAATTTATGGATGTCCGAGCTTATTATCATCTTTGCCTAATACTGATCAAGTTCTCTAAAATCATCAACTTCAACACTGATTTTCTTCCAAACCATAGGTAATTTCCTCTCTTTTCACTTTTAATTATTTGTTTTATTACATTCTTTATGATTACATCTTTTAATATTTAATACCCTAATTATTTGTGCTCTTTAGTTATCTTAATGAATCTAATTATACACTTAATATAAAGCTTGTAATTTGAGAGTCGGTTTGCATGGATATTTTATGTTTTTCTATAAACGTAACAAATTCATTTTGTCTACTCAGAATAATAGGATTTGAACCAATACAGGGTCTCTGTTAAAGTGAAGAACATAGCAACAACATCTCTACTAGAACCAGAAGTGGGTGGTCGTTCTGTTCCTAAAAGAACTTCAGTGAATTGACATATCGTCCAGTTTTGACCGACATCTCATGTCTAAACTTCAACTTTGGTTCTGCATATTAAAAAGGGACAACCTTTAAATTCTCAAAATACTACAATCCTGATCAATCCACAAGTAATTTCTTCTCTCCTTACCTGGTAGCTTCAATTTTTATGAAGATTATTTAGTGTCAATGCTTGTGAATAGGCAATATTTTTATAACTTCTTGAATAAATAATTAAAGCAGTAAATACGTGACAACATGGGTAAGGCACAAATAATTTTGCAACAAAAAGTCATAATGTTATTCAAAAATCATTTTTAACAACAAAAAGGCTCCATCAACTCGCCATGGTTTTTTTCTTGCAATTGTTGTCTAATGCTAGAAAGTGGAATTTTTAAGCACTTAGTATGGAATTTTTAACTTTGATCTGGTCTTACATCCTATTTTCAAGAGAATTTTGATCATTTTTACTTCATTTTTGTTAATGTGACTCTGTGTTGTTCATTTTAAGTTATCTCATGCTAAAGTTTTATTATTATTTTTTTTTCTTTTCAAAGCAACTAAACAAACATACACTAAAGACTTCCTCTGATACAAATGTTGGATATCAAACACCATTGCATTGTGAATACTGAAAGGCTCCATCAACTCGCAATGGTTTTTTCCTTGCAATTGTTGTCTAATGCTGTTGGATGTGAACTGGACTACGTAATGTGGCCACAAGGAATCTTATATAATCTAGTATGTATAAGATTATAGAGGCCAGGGAGAAGAGGATATTACAGTTATGCCACATCTTCATCAGATACTGTGCTAGATGTTCATCGGCTTGAAAGAACTGAACTGATTCTGGAGCTTTACTTTTTCTCAGGTTCAAAGCATAATATTGTTAATGAAGAAAAGGAGCTCGCATACATGATCTAATTAATTCAATATCTTTTTCTAGATGCAGAACTTAGTGACGTCTTGCTGTTGATTGAACCCTGACTCTTCCACCAACTGGCACGAAGATAATACACTAGATGCTTAAGGGCATGTAGCAATGTCCTGTTTCAAGAACTTGTCTTTTTCAGGTTGTAGATTACAAATATATAATTGTTAGTATAGAACAAATTTTTTTATATGTATATAATCATTCATTTTCAATTCTGTCTCTTCTAACAACTGGCTGCCTTTTGACAGAAGGTTGCAGGAATCTATGGATAAAAGCAGAATATTGAATCAGGTTGTAGATGGAATGAAATCACATCTTCACACCATTTTTCATACTTTGACAATGGACCATTTGATTTAGTTCTGCATTAGTCTCATATTTCTGTCATAGGATTTTGAAACATTGCAAGGTCTCAATTTAAGTGAAGGACATAATTTCGACATCTCTACTATAATCAATATTAATTGGTATTTTCATAATCAAAATTAAATAAACTTTATCTCTCCATTTTTCATTATTTGAACTTCATATACTATATTGCAGCATATTAACATATTGGTCTTTTGTTTGTGCTATAGGATTTGGAACATTGCAGTCTCTACTCAATTAAAGTGATTAACAGAACACTGCAACATCCCTTCTAAAATCAGAAATTTTTTCGTGGTAAAGATTCCTAACCACTACCTTATTTGTCTTCATATAATAACATTGCAAGGTTTTCTCATATTGAGATCTAAGGTCATTCCAGGAATCTTGTGTCACTTAAGCAAATTAATCATCCCTTGTGGACTATGCTGAAAATGGAATGAGGTATATCTTACTATCATTTTCTTTGTTTCATTTCATCTCTCAGTTGAAACAATAATCTCTCCAACTTTTGCTACTTATACGAGTCAACCGTTTTTTTTTTTTTTTTTTTTTCACATTATTATATACTTATCTTTGTTAGAGACTGATTTTCTAATAACTTTATTAGAAAGATTGTATCATTGTACTATTTTGATTTATAGTGAAAAATCTTTGTCATACTATTACCGTGGATGTAGCCCAAAGGGGTGAACCACGTAAATCGTTGTGTCTCATTTACTTTTATCTGTTTTCTTTGTTTATATGTAGTTGATTGTTTATCAAGCCACTTGATCTAGGGTTGACCCATTAACCTCTGCCTTTGTAAAGTTGCACCAGCTTGAAAACAAAACAAAACTTTAGCATGATGTCACTTTAAGAGAGCACACAAAGTCAGATTAATGAAAATTAGATGTGGGTATTTGGGACGGGGTCCAAAAACCTAGCCCAAAAACCCGATCCTAGGAGATCTGGTCCCAAAACAAGACCAGGCCTAAGGAGGAGAGCCCGATCCCTCCATTGGGCCCTCCGCCAAGCCTGAGCCCAAATTTTTTTAAATATTTTCGTTTTAGTCTCTTGTATAATTACATAAAACCCATTATAAATTTTAAAATAAACATAAATGATAAGGATTAAAGAGAAATTTTACAAAATTTAACCAAAAAAAAATTTCTAGGCCCTGAAAAATTTATAAATTTTACCTCTGAAAAATACTAAAAACCCTATACAAAATTTTGTTTCGCCCCTAAAATATAAAAAAAGATTAGGGAAAAAGAAATTTTCTAGGCCTATAGGACCAGTACTAGGGACCGGTCCAAGTCCTAAAATTGCTCATGGGCCTGGATCGGTCCCAGGCCCATGAGCGACTGGGCCCAAGCCCGAGCCTGCTTGGGATTGGTCATTGACTAGCTCTAAATTGAAAATAAAGTTTAAAATGATCAAAATTCTCTTTAAAATAGGATGTAAAACCATAGTATGAAGTTAAAAATTCCATGCTAAGAGCAAGGGATGTTGAAACTGATATTTAGTTAGCTTTACGCCCACTTATTCACTATTTCTCATACTTTTTTATTTATTTATTTACCTTTCTATTGTGAAAAGTAAATCCCAAGTCAGATAAAACCCTTTCTATCGCTTTAGAGCTTAAGTTCACTCATGATTTTAATATCACTATCAGAGACATACCATGGATTCAATCTCATTCTCACAATCAATGTATATTCTCAATTGCAACGCAATCCTACCTTTTTATGGAAGATTCAACCCTAGGCAGTAACAAACTCCACTACCCGAAATTCTCCTTAATACTGACTAATGAAACATGCTCTTCAACAGTTTCTAACCATTAGACAACCTAGAACAAGCTCTCCAGATTTAATGTAATGATTACTTTAAGTTCCAATGAAATAGATTAATCTAAGCAACAATCTCACAACCTCAGATTATCTAACTTAGATTTTGTTATTCAAGTAATAAGATGGAAAGTTTATCCACATCTTTTACTACTAATCGCTACTGGGTGATTAGGAATAGATCGATTACGTAATACAATCCCTAATTCTAGTAATCGATATCAATTTAATCAATCTACTAGGCTTGAGTAAATTAAACAAACCAAATATCATATTCCATTAAAACAGAATAATATAAATCAAATTCATAGAAAGGTAAGAAATTGCATTACTTTATCAATTATACCATTAATATGTGTTAGGAATTGAAATCCCCTCTAACTGAATTGAAAAAATCTAGCCAAACGTCTTAAACTTACAACAACAAGTATTTCTGAATGAATCTCTTTGTATCTATGTTTTTCTCTATTTTTTAAAAACCCAATGTTCTATTTATAACCCCTTCAAATGACCCTAAAAACATGTGTACAGCCTCCCAAATGAGAATTTACTCGGTTAAGAGATTGTTGGTATCGAAAGCTGTGAAATTATTTCTTTTAGTATTATTAATATTCACATTTTATATCTGAGAATTTTTTAATAATATATATATATATTTATCTATTCAGTCAATATAAAGATGAATGATTAAATTTTGAATTAATGAGACATTATATTGTGTTTCAGGAAGATATTGATCTGATGGTAAAGCTTAATTTTGATGCATACCGTTTTTCAAAATTATCTGAAAAACTCAATTGATTTTTGGAATTTCTGAATCCTTGAAGAGGGAACTGGGGAAGTAAATCAGCTAGGAGTTGATTACTACAATAGATTGATTGACTACATGGTTCAAAAAGGTAAAGAGGTTGCCAATAAATTCTTTCAAATAAATTTAAATAATTGGACTAGAAAAATTAATCTAATGTTTGAGTTTATTATAGGGATTACTCCATATGCAAATCTATATCATTATGATTTGCCATTAGCTCTTCAAGAAAAGTATAATGGCCTTCTCAGTTGTGATTTTGTGTAAGTATTTTTTGTATGAGTATTTGGATGATTTTTTTTTTTTTTTTTTTCATATTATAATATCTTAAGTAATTGAACTAAACCAAATCTTTCAGGAAGGATTACGCGGATTATGCAGACTTTTGCTTCAAAACGTATGGGGATAGAGTTAAGAACTGGTTCACATTTAATGAACCAAGAGTTATTGCAGCTCTTGGTTTTGATAATGGCATAAATCCTCTTTCAAGGTGTTCTAAAGAAGCCGGAAATTGTACCGCGGGAGACTCTGGAACTGAACCCTACATTGCTGCACATCATTTGATTTTAGCTCATGCCGCAGCAGTTGAAAGATATCGCGAAAAATATCAAGATGTTTATCTTCTTAATTTCACAGCAATTAGTAAATGGTATCTTTAACGGAGAAATGTGTGTTTATATTATCTCAGAAAGAGCAAGGAGGAAGGACTGGAATTCTTTTGGATTTTGTTTGGTATGAACCTCTGACTAGATCAAAAAAGGACAGATATGCAGCTGAAAGAGGAATGCAATTCAGCCTTGGATGGTAAATGTTCATTTATTAAAATATTAATGCGATTGAAACAATGTTTACAAAAAATTTCACAAGTTGATAGGCTGAAATTGAGTCTTAATTTGTAGGTTTTTACATCCTATTACATATGGTGAGTATCCAAGAATAATGCAAGATATTGTTGGAGATAGGCTTCCCAAGTTTACGGAAGCAGAAGTTCAAATGGTGAAAGGCTCCATAGATCTTGTTGGTATTAATGTATACACTGGCTTCTACATGATGGATCCTCCATGGCCTAAGTCCAATATCACAAGTTATCAGAATGATTGGAATGTAATTTTATTGTTTAATTTCTATTTGTTTCAACACCCCTCCGATTTCTAACAAAAACAAACTGTTAAATGCCGAAGAAAACAAATTATTTGATTTGTTCTTAGGCAAGTGTTCTTTCCAATATATCTTTTATTTTGAAACATTGACACTTTTGGTTCCAAACACACTTATAGCCAAGTGATTTTGAGTGTCAGAATTTTCCATTTCGCTAATAAAAGTACAAAACAATAACACTAAGAACTTTCCCACAAATAATTAATAAACCCTTGAATGATGCTTGAGTCTTATTAAGACCTCCTATTGATTATATATAGGAAATTTTTTCTTATATGTTTGAGGATTGAAAATACAATTCTTCAAACTCTTAAGATTCAAAAAAATTTGTAATACTGCGAGAGGCTTACAAACAAATGGTATTTTTTTTTGAATCTTAAGAGTTTGAAGAATTGTATTTTCAATCCTCAAACATATAAGAAAAAATTTCCTATATATAATCAATAGGAGGTCTTAATAAGACTCAAGCATCATTCAAGGGTTTATTAATTATTTGTGGGAAAGTTCTTAGTGTTATTGTTTTGTACTTTTATTAGCGAAATGGAAAATTCTGACTAGTTCTTCAAACTGACATTCAAAATCACTTGGCTATAAGTGTGTTTGGAATCAAAAGTGTCAATGTGTCAAAATAAAAGATATATTGGAAAGAACACTTGCCTAAGAACAAATCAAATAATTTGTTTTCTTCGGCATTTAACAGTTTGTTTTTGTTAGAAATCGGAGGAGTGTTGAAACAAATAGAAATTAAACAATGAAATTGCATTGAGGAGAACTTGTGTAAAAGAGGAGAAAACGTTTATTCATCATAAACACTAACAGTTTTGTGGGCTGCTTAAGACTGAAAATTGATAAGTTAGGTGGAGATACAAAACATATATATTCCAAGCTGATTAACAAATTTTGTGACAATTTAGCTGTTAGAGAATATCAAATGTTAAAAGACTGGCTCCTAAGCAAGCATGATCTCCAATGCGTTGGCTTCAGGTCAAAGCAATCATGTCATCCCAAGTTGGTTCTACATCGTTCCTTCCTCTCCCTGTCATTCGCCATTCCTTAAAATACTGCAGAAACTTCAATCTATGAAGGGGGTATAATATCCCAATTGTAAAACCAATTATGAATCCGAAAACTCCTCCAGCAATTAGTCCATAACCGAGCTCATTGTTTGAGGATTCCCTTGGTTCAGGAGGACTATTCATTTTCGGTTGAATAGAACAGTTCTCTAAAATATAACCACACAATCCTGGATTGCCTTCGAAGCTGGTGCTAGGAAAAGTACGAAACTGACCTCCTGCAGGTATTGTTCCTTGAAGATTGTTATCTGCAACGTTGAATGAAGACAAGAAATTGAGACTACTGAATGAAGCAGGGATTTTTCCAGATAACTGATTTGCAGAGAGATCCAATTGCTCCAAGTTGGTGAGTTGAGACAATTGGTTCGGAATTTCACCAGACAATTTGTTATGGCTGAGGTCAAGCACGTGAAGAAACTTCAACTGACCAATCTCAATGGGGATACTGTCACTAAAGCTGTTGTTTGCCAGGTATGTGGCTGGTGGTAGGTACAAGATTTTGTTATACTGCAGATTGAGAGCATTGATCATTGGAATAACAAAGATGGGAAGCTCTAAATTTATCTTGTTAGCTTGATCGTTAGCTTCTTTCGATGTGAACATTGGGATTTCGCCAAGTTTCTTCGGAATTTTTCCTGACATAAGGTTTTGTGACAAGTCCATGTAGAACAGACTTGTCAAATTCTCTAACAAACCTGGAATTTCACCAGTGATTTGATTCGCTGATAGGTCTAAAACCTGTAGCCGTCTGAGTTTACCTATCCAGGTTGGAACTTGACCTCTCAATTGGCAGCCTCCTAAAGCCAGAACCTGGAGATTTTGAAATCCGTGTGAGAATGTTATTTGGTTATCATCTGGGACTGCTTCTTCAATGAAATTCACAGAGAGGATGAGAACTCTGAGGTTCTGGCAACCCTTTAAAATCCTGATGGCGCCTGTGATATTTGTTATAAAGTTCCTAGAAAGTGAGAGGTACGAGAGAGATTCCAGGGCAACTATATCCGGTGAAATTTGCCCCACTAGATGGTTACTAGAAAGCCTAATTGTAGTCAGAAATTTGCATGAATTAAAAGTCAACTGTAAGCTACCTGTAAAATGATTGTTACCGAGATCGAGTTTGCAAAGCTGGAGAAGAGCTGAGAAGTTAAATGCTGAAAGCTCTCCCTCAAAGGAGTTATTCCGTAAATTCAACGTGGTGAGATTAATACAATTCTTCATTGATGGGGGAAGAGACCCAGATAGGTAGTTATCATAAAGGAGCAAAATTTTTAAGTTGGTAAGCTTACCAATATCTCTGGGGATCAAGCCAATCAATTGGTTTGAGTAAAGTTCAAGAATTGAAAGGCCTGAGAGGTTGACGATGCCATTGCTGATGGAACCGGAGAGATAATTGACAGGTAATGAGATTTCTTCAAGTGATGTGACAGAGAAAATATCTTCAGGAAGTGAGCCTGAGAGGCTATTGAAACCCGCTCGAAAAGTCTTTAATTTGGAGCAATTTCCAAGTCCAAGAGGAACCGGGCCACTGAATTCATTGTAGGAGAAATCCAGGATGCTGACAGAGCACACAGATCCGGTCCAGGTTGAGGATGGAACAACACCAGTGAAACTATTGTTACTGATATTAAAAGTCCTTAAACGTTTAGCTAGCCTGAAGAAGGATGATGGGATCATCCCATGGAAGATATTGCTGGATAAGTCTACAATCTTGATGTAATTGGATGACAGTGATGATAGAAATTCACCAGAAATATAGTTATAGCTCAAATCAAGAGTTTCAAGTCGAGTTAACGATGGAAAGTAACTGTTTGGAAGAGGACCGGAGAGGCGATTGTGGGAAAGGTTGATATGATAGAGATGTGTAAGGTTCCCTATAGAAGGGGAAATGCTACCACTAAGGCCTCTGCAGAGTAAAAACAGATGAGTGACATAACCATCGGCGTTACATTTGATCCCTTCCCAGAGGCAGCATTTAATGGAAGAAGACCAATTCAACGGAGGGGATGGTAAGGTGAAGTTGAGAGACAAGAGAGACTGTTGGTCTAATCGGTTGCAGGTTTGCTGAGGATAGGCAAACCAGGACATGAAAACCAACAATACAAGATCTATAATCAACTTAACCATAACTCTTATTTGATGTGTCTGGTTATTTCTATGAAGAGGTTGCTAAGTGCATCCGTTGAGCTAAATCTTGTTGACTAGAGAGAGAGAGTGAGAGAGAGAGAGAGAGAGAAAGGACCTTGATATTCAAGTAAGTAAGCATTTACTTTTGGCGCTTCCAGTTGCGCCACTTGATGATAATTTATAAGACAGTGGTGGAAGTATGGCACTTAGTTTATAGATTTTAGATATTGACCCATTTTTAGAATAATACTTTGCGTACTAACGGATATTAATAACCAATTTACTAATCTTTGTTAAAATCATATATAGTTTACTAATCTTTGTTAAAATCATATATAGTATCTATACTATATTTTAAGTTAGTATACTAACTAGTAAAATCTATTAGTACACATAGTATTACCCTTTTTTTTATAGGGAAGAAGTTGACAATTTCAATCATATTTAGTCTTACGTGTATGGAAAGGGAAGTCATTAACTAACCATTTGTAATAAATAATTTATTTTGTTTACATCTTGAATGCTGCAGAAACTTCAATCGACGAAGAGGCTACAGTATCCCACATGTGCACCCAATAATTAACCCAAAAACGGCTCCAGCAGTGAGTCCCCAACCGGCTCCTTGTTGGAAGACTAATCATTCTTGGTTGAGATTCTTGAGAAGGACATAAGAGCTGTATATTAAAATCAGACAATTAAGTAAATGGTGTACTCTGTTGAAGTTGTTGACTACTTCAGTATTAATGGGTTATGCAGACATATTCGGGGGTCCCGTTGACTCATCAGTGGGCGGGGGAACTGCTTCTTGGTGAGCGGGCGGGTGTCATGGGGGCAATGCCCTTGAGCCCGTAGGTGGTTTGAGCCTTTTCCATGAATAACCGTTGTAGAATTTCTTTAACTCATTAATTTCTTATTGGGTTTGGGCTTAAGAATAAGAATTCTTGTAAAACTAGGTTTTGTCACTTTAAACCTAATATATAAACATATTTTTCTCTTGTTATGAGTGCGATAGCAACCATAAGACAATTTATTCATTGTAAACGAGAGAGGTGAGAAAGTATTACTATAATATTAACTCAGCTAGACATAGCCCATATTGTGTGAATCACGATAAATTGCGCGTGTTATTTTCTCTTTGTTTATTGTTATTTTGTTCTCACTATTATCTCTATTTCATTCATAATCCTCCCTGGAATTGAATTCCACATATTTTTGTCCAGCTTGTAAAAGATTTCATTACATTACCCATTTGATTAGGATCTTTTTTTAATATATCATAGTTGAATTATATTACAAATATAGCTGTGTTTGTTTCCGTATTCATATTATATCCTATTCAAAATTAATGTTTATCTCACTATTCTCAAAATCCGATTGAATTCAATTCAATTCAAAATATTTGGATTTTTTTAACTCCCTAGATTTATTAATTTAACTAAACACCCCCAACAATAAAAGTTTATAAATCGAGAAAAGCACTTTTACCTACTCACATATTCCCAGTAGAGTTGGCCACCGCCGCCGACATTTAATGGGTGGGTAGAGGTGTTTTTGTTAATTTTAAAATTTTTATTACAGGGGTGTTTATCTAAATTAAAAAATATAGGGGATTAAAAGAATTTTACCAAACACATTTTTAAATTCAAATTCTACCTTGTAATAATAACTTAACTCAACATTTTCAAAAATATTACTCAAAATAATAAAACAAACACACCCCTCCGTTTGGTTCGCAATTTTTCATTACTCTATTCCCTATTTTATCCAAAATACACATTTATTTCTTCATTCTCAAAATATTATTCTATATTATTCAACTCTTTTTAAACCCCATAGATTTGTATTCAATTTTTTTAAACCCCTTAGATTTGTTAATTCAACTAAACACCTCCCAAAAAATATATTTTAGAAATTGACAAAAACACCCAGCAACCCACATTTGCCAGATTATGGCCACCACAGTCGAAAGCTGGCTGGAATCTGGTATAATAGCACACTACCAGCTGGATCTGACCAGTAGTGCGCCGATCTGGCCGGAAATATCTTTAGTCGTCGTTGACAACCAAATTCGGTTAGATTTGGCTGTCAATGGCCAGATCTAGCCGTAGATCTAACCTTTTCCAACTAGATCCATGGTGGATTTGGCCGAAAAAGGCCATATCGGCTTACGACTAGCTCAATCCAACCGATCATGCGCCGATACAATGACTTTGGCCACCCTCCGGTGGTGGTGGTAGGCTGTTGGTATTTAATGGGTGGGCAGGGTGTTTTTGTTAATTTTTAATATTTTATTATGAGGGTGTTTAGAAATAAACAAACATAGGGGGGTATTTTTGTTAATTTTCAAATCCTACATCGTAATACCCACCCAATTTTACCTTTTTCAAAATATTATTCTAAAAAGTATCATAATAATAAACCAAACAGACCCATAATATTCTAATCTCATAGTATTACTATTTTCATCCTTTGATCTGCTAACATTTGATTTGCAAATTTATATCTTGTTTTAAATTTTTATTGTGGGCCGTGTTGTGGCCCCTTTATTTCATTATTTTTTCTGATTAATTGGGGCCTTGTTGATTGGGCCTTCTATGACCCATTTATTTCATTATTTTTTTCTGATTAATTCGGGCTTCTTGTTTGGGCCTTCTTATGGTCCATTGGTATCACTATTTTGGGTTGATTCTTTAGCAAGATCACATTACAACTTACAAAACCATTGAAAATATTCAAAAATAATAATTAAAGCCAAATACAAAACTATTGAAAATATATAAGAAAGACTTTAGAAATTGAAAATATACAAAACTATCGAAAATATCCAATTTATATAATCCATCTGAAATTTTAAAAAAGATAATCAATGAGTTGAAAAGGCAACATTTCAAGACTTGTCAATTGTCATACACTCTAGACCAACAAAGATTGCCAAAACTAAGGACCAATCCATTTGATTAAATAATATAAAAACGGCATGAAGATAAGCAAAAGAAAGAAAACCAATAGAAGCAAAACTTATCAAACCAAACCAGATTGGCACATCTCCAAATCAGCAACTGTGCATATAACAAAAGCACAACTCTACGACTCAGTTGTGATCTAACCAGAATAGAAAATCAATTATCACGGTTCATAAATATCAATTTCATGAATACAAATTCAAAGATGTTGATTTCACGATAGCAAGTTATCACGTCTCAAAGATATTGATTTCACGATAGGAAATCCAAACATGCATAACTTTCTCATAATGCCCTTTTTTTTTTTTTTTTTTTTAAACTTTCAATTATTTAAACTTAATACACAAGATATGTATCCACTTATATGGTGGTGAAAGTTTAAGAGCAAAAACAAAGAAGCAACTTTGTGTGTATTGAACCTAGAGCTGGGCATTTGGGACCGGGCCCAAAAGCCCAGCTCCAAAACCGGGTCCTCCAAGGCCCGGGCCCGGGACCGGTCCCAGGCCTGGGCCCAAATTTTTTTGTACTTTTTCAATATAGTCTCGTGCCAAATTATATAAAACCCCCTATTAATTTAAAATAAATATAAATTATGAGGGTTAATATGAAATTTTACAAAATTTATAAAAAAAAATCTTCCAGGTCCAAAAAATTTATAAAATTTATAAATTTTACCCCTAAAAAAATACTAAAAACCCCCTATAAAATTTCGTCTTGCCCCCAAAATATAAAAAAATTTGAGGGGGGAAAATAAAATTATCCAAACCCATGAGACCGGTCCTGGGCCCACGGGACCAGTCCCGACCAGGCCTAGGGCCTGGTCCGGGTCTTGGTTTTTCTCATGGGCCTGGGACCGGTCCTAGGCCCATGAGTGACTGGTCCCATTTGGGACCAGTCCCAAACGGGCCCAGGCCTGGGCCCGCAAGGGACCGGTCCCTTGCCCACCTCTAATTGAACCCATGGAATTGATCTGACAGTCAAGGAGATTTGCTCACTTTTTTGAGTTCTTAGGTTCAAATCTTGAGACCACTTATTATAATAACATCGTAGTTTACCCGATCCTTTAGACTTGTAAGGTGTTCAATGAACCCTGGAGATAGTTGAGGTGCGTGCAAGCTCACATTCCATATCACTGTTCAATAATATCTCAATATCCCCCCTGGAGCCATCGTCCTGAGGCACAAAATCATATATTTTCAATCTCAGGAATGGAGGAAAAAACATGAGATTTTGTAGAGTTTTTGCTTTTTAAGATTCACATAATCCGTTATTCCAAAAGTTACTTCTGTCTCAAGTTATAGCAAAGCCAAAAGTGTAAAGGAAACTGATTTATTCTTTGAGTAAAGATCATCTTCTCCCAACAAATATCATTCAAATTCTTTACTTCAAATGACCTTCTACACTTTGCATCAAATTCTTTCTTTCTTCAAGAGTAGCTTGTTGAATTTAATCATTAAAAAATCATTGGATTATTTTAACTATTCTTGTATCATAATAGCTTGTAGATTGAAGAGACTTCCTATTTTACAATAAAAATGCTCAAGAAAAGAATGAAGGAATTGCTTGGATAACACTTGATACTTTAACTAGTATCAAAGCAAAACTTTGGTTTGGATTTATTCCTTGGTCTTTTGCATACACTATAAAAGTTGAATGGATGTTACAGCATCGTCAGAACATAAGCAAACCAAATATTTCGATTTCTGATCAATCTTTGTTTAATCACTACCATCATTCAATATGGCTGAAGCGCTTGTTTCCACTGTCTTGGAACAATTGGCTTCCATCGGTTGCCAACAGGCAGAAGAAGGAATGAGGCTGATTGCGGGTGCTAAGAGGTTGAGAAACTTCAAAGCAACTTCGTGGCCATTCAAGATGTGCTTATTGATGCTGAGAACCGACAAGTGAAGGAGAATGCTGTGAGATTTTGGTTGGCCAAGCTTAAGGACTGTCTTATGACATTGACGATGTTTGGATGATGTACACGAAGCTTCAGATTTTAAGAATTAAGAAAGATGAAGATGCTTCTAAGCCTCT